GGAGACAGCACACTCAACTCGGATCGCATCATTCTCTCGGTTTGACTGCTCTTTATCAATGTGTTTATCAGAATATCGATAATTTTGGGAAGTTGTCCTGGAAAGGATTGAGAAGGACACCTTATAGCCTTTCAATTGTATCGGCGGGGCCGCGCGAACGCAGCCCCTCACGCAAAAATTTAGCTGTTAGCGAACCCCAACTCGGAGCTGCCACACGGGTCAACACAGCCAAAAAGTGCAATGACCGCATCTCACCATGGGGTTTCCGCCTTTGTGATCACGAAAGCCCCCCAGCCAGGTAAGTTTATGAGTGACACGAAGGAGAGACTTAACCAAAAGACGTGTGCCAGATCGAGAGCGATTACGAGTGTCCACAAAGGACATCCCTGGGGAAGACAGGTTGCCACGGGGATTTTCTGAGAAATGTTTGTTTATGTTAAAGATTCATAATCTCAAATTTTTAGGCCACAGCATGTAGTCTACTTGCTAAAACTATAAAAGGACGGCACGATCAGCTTGGAATCAGTCACTTACAGTAATCCTGGTACAGTTTAACTGTCGCCACTTACAGCAATCACCATTTGTGTACAATAAACCTGTTAATTGAATATCACTTAATTCAAGAGTTCATTAAAAATCCCCTTCCTACATTTAAAGTTAAAAGGTTAAAAGTTAAAACAACTTAAAGTTAAAACAAGATGATCGGAGGGGAGACTTAACCGAAAGCCATGTGCCAGATGGAGAGCGATTGTGCGGGAGAGTGATTGTGGTTAATGACAAAGAACACCTTGCAGTTAATGACAAAGATTTTCCCTTTGCTTTGATGATACAAAAAGAAGATATTCAGCTGTGAATTTGGGTTATCGGGGGTTATCGGAGTCGGGAAACCGATTGGGCTATTCATTTGTCGAGTCTATATCAAACTTCGGTCATAAACTACGGTAATAGAGTTTTTCAAGCTCCTGATGCCAAAAATGGTAAGTGAAAGTAGCTCTTTTCTCACTAGAATTTTGAATTTGTCAATAAAGAATTGAGCTTTTTTCCATCAAATATCTTTGAGCAGCAAGACGCATTTGAAAATAATAGGTTACTGATGGATTATTCAGATAAAGAAATGAAAAGAAAATAGAAGAGATTGAGATTGGTATTTTACAATTTCCTAATAGATAAGAACTCGAGTTTAAGTAAAAAAAAATCGGATTTTTCGTCTAAATGTCTTTTTTGAAATATTGAACATGTTTATTAGCAAAAAAAAAAAAGTTCTGGATCAATTTTTTCAATGTCAAAATGATTAAAAAAGCATCGTTTTTTTTCAAAAGATGAATTTGAAATGGATTTTTGTCTGAAAAGTTTACGTTTAGTACTGAAAAAAAAAACGTTTGAAAGCTAGAATATCTCTTTATTGTTCAAATCTTTTTAAAAACAGCAGTGTTTTTTTGTAAATGATCTCTGTCTTTACAACAAACGTGCACAGTGATCAATCGTCATTATAAAAAGTAGATTTTAGAATACATTTTGCTAAACTTTGTCATCTTTTACCGTAGTCTTTTACTTTTTATCCAATAATCGTAAAAACCGTAAAAACCGTCCAATAAACCAATAATATCCAATAAATCGTAAAAGCTCTTAGAAAAAACATTTACCTTTAGTAAATAAAGTAAAGTTAGCAGAGATTACTTTATGTTACTGTATTTGAGAATGACGCTAACAATGGATTGCACTTACATTAGAATTAGAAAGTACATTAGAATAATTGCAAGTGAAAGGATGAACAAGCTAGTATAAAAAAAAAGTAGACAAAACTTTCAGAAGATGATTGTTGAATGAAAATAAAAGTTCAACTTCTTCCATCATTTTTCTCAAAGCTTCACTCCATCAATTCGAACGACGCGAATTTGCCCAAAAAAAAAGCTGATTCTTTGATTTTACGATATTGATGACTAAACTCAACCATTCAAATGCCAACTATGATATCTGATGACCAAAATTCTATTCAATGATCTCTTTCAAATAATAAAATCGGATCTGTTTTGACCAAAGAAAATCAAAGGAAATCAAGGGAAACCGGTGGTCCCAAGAGATCTATCAGAACAGAAAACAAATATTAAAAAAAAAAAGAGTTTAAAAACAAAGATCCATTGTACTAGACTCAAAAATCTCCATACTTTAGCTGATTGAGTACAAAAATTCCCCAAAAAATGATCGTTTTCCACAATTCCCTAGACAATTGTGAGTGAACAATTTTAGAGAACAAAAAAAGAAACGAAACTTTGATTAAAAAGCGGATAAATCTGTGAAAAAGAGGCCAAAAGAGTTTCCAAAATAACACAAACACCTGGTGGAATGAGAGAGAAAGATCCCATGAGAATACAAGAGGAAAGGGACAATCATTTGTCTTCTCCGATCTCTTTCTTTCATTTTGATCTGATTCCCCTTTTTCTCAGTTCTTTTCTCTTGTTTTCTGTTCTGATAGATCTCTTGGGACCACCGGTTTCCCTTGATTTCTTTTGATTTCCTTTTGCCAATAAAATGTTTTCGTGTTGAATAGAATGAGACAGCTGAGAGGCTGGGGATCAAACTCTGAAATGAGAGCAAAGTTTTGACTCAATCGGCCACTAGGCAAGCCTAACCAAAAGCCTAGCCAAAACCAGACTTAGATTCTGGCCTGGCTTTAGTCGGCACGACTTATTACAAGATCAGATTCAGGCTTGACTTTGACTTAGCCTTGTCTAGTCAGCCTGATCCATACCTAACTATTCAATTGTACACCTGGTTACAAAAATATAACTAGGCTACATTATAGCCCAGTTGATACCCTGACCCCACATTAGAGGACAGAATTGGACAAAATTGTCAATCTGCACTTTAGTAGCAAGGCTTGTAAGCGTGTCACAGTTCAACTAACCCAACCGGCAGAATAATATAATACCTTGTTTGATAAAGTACCGATATCAGGAAAGCAGACAAAAGCCCGACAGGAGTACCGACTTTTGTCTTTTGTCGAATTCTAGTTCTAAATATTTGTACGAGATACTTATAAGTACAGAGCGATCAATCACGCAAACCACTACGAGTACTGTACAAGGGGGACAAAAGCCCGACAGGAGTACCGGCTTTTGTCCCCCGTGTACAGTACTCGTAGTGCTTTGCGTGATTGATCGCTCTGTACTTTATCTCGTACAAATATTTAGAACTAGAATTCGAATTCTAAAGCTCTCTTACTAATAATTGAACTTATAAAGCTCGATTTTTTAATGATCTGATTGTCCTCTTTTCCTAATGATCTCTCGGGACCCATTGGCTTGATTTTGGTCATTAAAATGTGTTGATGATAAGCTGAAAAGACAAGCTTTGATTTGTAGCTTTCGATGGTTATTAGCTGATCTTTCAAATATTGATGTACAATTAGAGTAGACGGATTCAATTCAAGAAATCTCAAAAACCACGTCCCACGGGATTTCGAAGTTCAAGAGGAGCAGGCTCTACAAGAACAAGAGGTCACGAACAAGCCAAAAAACCAAAGCCAAAAGAGTTTTCTGGGCCAGGCCAGGTCTGATATGATCCTAACAATCCTTCTAAATACAAACTATTAACCATGTTATCACTTTTTAAAGCCCTCTTTTCCTTCTCTTAAAGCAGTGTTGTCCTGCTGTCAGTTGTTCATTTTTTTCAATGAGATCCCATTTGTGAAGTGAATAAAACGTGACTAAATGATCACCTTTCTTTTCTTTCTTTTTCTTTTCCTTTTTTATACTTTTTTACCTTCAAAATCCTTTCTAATGATTTCCGGACGAAAAAAAAGATGAAAACTTTTCTCACCTGTGACTCAAAAAAGACCAGCCAGATCAGACAAAGATTACCAAAAGACAAAGATTATCGAAAAGTTGATCTTTCACTTAATATAAGAGCATGCTTAGATGTAGATTGTATAGGTCTAAAATGTATAGGTTTAAGTATAGGTTTAAAAGTAGCCTAAAGTACTGTAAAGAGTACTGCAGTACAGAAGGCTCATTTTTACCGCTTCATCTGGGAAACAATACCGTACATTGTTTAAACCAAGAACGTTGTTTAAACCAATCAAAAGCAGACTGAAAGACTCAAAAGTTTTGAAGCTTTGATCGCATAGATCAGTTTTAAGTTTCGATCGTTAGATCGCATAGATCGTTTTTCTAATCCGTGTGTTTTTAAGTTTTTCTAATCCGTTTTCTAAATTTAAATTTTTCTAATCTAATCTTCTAACGTTCTTGGGTATTGTTTCCCAGATGAAGCGGTAAAAATGAGCCTTCTGTACTGCAGTACTCTTTACAGTGACAGTACTTTAGGCTACTTTTAAATAATAATTTTCTAATCTAATTCTAATCTCAATCTCAAATTCCAACTATTTCAAACTTTGATAGTTAATTTAAGTAAATAAACAATGAAAAAAAGTTCTTTACTATTAGCTAAAAACTATTTTTGTGCCGAGAAAGCGATCAAACCAAAGCCAAAGCCAAAGCCAAAGCCTAAAAGCGTCAATTGTTCTAGCTTTGACCATAATCATTTGCACTTGTTAATTCAAAGTTTTTTTTTGTTTTGGAGGGAAACGATGATGAACAGTTGTCTCGTTTTGGCTTGATGTCATCTGTTTTAAAAAGAAGAAAAAAAACAGGAACCAAAAAAAAGCGAACACACAATCAATCAATCAGATCAACATTTCAGCAAAATTCTTTATCTTTTACAAAACATTGGCAGTTAGCTGATTTATATTGGCAGTGTGCTTCGAGAAAAATATGGCTTTTGGTTCACTAAAGTTTTACAAAACTTTTGATGTAAACGCAAGCGAATGTAAACCAGAATGGTTGTAAAAATTGAAGCTTTTTTTGCAAATGTTTTACATAAAAAACGGCTTCTAGTGAACTAAAGAGATCGTTTTGGAGACGGAGCATTTTGACACTCTTTTATAAAAAGATTTGGATGTGCTAGAGGGCTTGCGTTTACAAGAACACAAAAAAAACGAGTCATCCTTTCATTCTCATCAAGTAGGCATCAACGCGTTCTTTTCGTTTCATTTGCTCTGGGTCACAGTGGAATTCTTTTTTCGGAGTACAGTACCTGAAATCGACAAAAAATGGCGTGTTTTTGTTGTTTGTTGTTTCAAAAAGGAAGTTTCCCATCACTTACCCCCATTCCATTTGTCGTCCATAACCATTCCATCGCTCGATCACACACGAGTTGAACTTCTTGTCGCAATGACAACCCCAATTACTGAAAAGCGTTTCGATCAAAGAAAATCTGATAGAGATCTGAAAGATTACTTCTGAAAACTCTTTTCTACTCACCTCCACCGATATCCGTACGACAAAATGCACCAATCTGTCGGCTCTCTCGACTCGTAACAATGAGAATGCTGATTGCACGGTTGAAAACTGCAAGTATTCGTTTTTTCTTAATTTATTTGAAACGATTTAAACTCTTATCTGTTTTCCTTCATTTTTTAACTCTTTAAGTCTAGCATTTAATCCAAAAATATAAGTTTTACTATAGTTTTTGGTGTTGAAAGTCTTCACAGTCACCAACCTCCCCAAATGTTCTCTGTGCGCGCGCATAAACGCGCACTTTCTAGCTCGGAGAGGGGGTCATTTCAGCGCCCCTTATCTTTTCCCTTAACTCACAATCCATCGCTTTTCACGAATTTTGCTCCAAAACAGCTGAATGTCGAGTCGTTTTTCATCCACCATTCTTGCCGACAGAAACGAGAATCGGCCAAATGTTCTCTAAAGTTCTTTCGATCAGTTTTTCATTATTTCAAACAGTGGCCAAGCTCCAGACTCGTTTGAATAGTCCTGCTTATATAGTTAGAAAGAATTATAAAGTTTCTAATCTCTAATCAATTTAGGGTAAAGCTCAGGATAACGAAATCGTTACCACTTCAATAAGCTTGTCTTTTGCCATATTATTGAGGTTTAGTTTAGGTTTTTTGGTATACCAGAATACAAACGAATCGTCAGCGAGTCTAACTATAAGATTTATTACATAAAACAACAATCCGTTGGCTTGATAAACAAACAATCAAAAGTAGTCAAAGGTAAACCTCGGTGGTGGGTCGAAAATCCTCGGATTGTGCTCATCGAAATGCAATGTTTCATTCTCAGCCACCGTAAATGATGTGAATAACAGAAAGATAAGCATTAACAGTGTTTAGACAAATGTTGCAAGGACAAAAAAGACAAAAAAAGACTTGTTTCAAACGAATTGAAAGATCTTCTCGATAGAGATCTCTTCTTTTCGTATGCATTTCATTTCCTTTCTCAATAGAAAAGGAATAAAAATGGGCAGAAGACTTCCGAAATAATGACTCTAAGACAAAAAAAAGAAGAAAAACATTTCTTTTTGGGGAAAAGAAATTAATGAAGAGTTTCGTCTGTGGCCACTTTTATACGCCGGAAAACTTGTACAGCCACTTTTACACTTGTACAGCCACGGAATACTTGTACAGTTACGGAATACTTGTACAGCCACTTTGATACTTGTACAGCCACTTTTATACGCCGGAATACTTGTACAGCCACTTTTACACTTGTGCAGCCATGGAATACTTGTACATCCACTTTTATACTTGTACAGCCACGGAATACTTGTACAGCCACTTTTATACGCCGAAATATTCAAAATTTCCAATGGATTTTTAGTGATTCTTTGCTAATTTTAAGTATGAAAATGCAAATTGCAAATGTTAACAATAATCGCATAGAATTTCATTCAAAAATTTGAAAGTTTTACTCGAGTTTTTTGGTGTTGAAAGCCCAGTCAGTAGATTTTAGAATACATTTTGCTAAACTTTGTCATCTTTTGCCGTAATCATTTACTTTTTATCCAATAATCGTAAAAATCGTAAAAACCGTCCAATAAACCAATAAAATCCAATAGATCGTAAAAGCTCTTAGAAAAACACACTTTAGTAAAAAAGTAAAGTTACAGCGTTACTTTATGTTATTGTATTTGAGAGTGACTTAACAATGGATTGCACAGTACATTAGAATAACTGAAAGATGAACAAGCTAGTATAAAAAAGTAGACAAAACTTCAGAAGATGATTGTTGAATGAAAATAAAAAGTTTACGTCTGAAAAGTTTACGTTTAGTACTGAAAAAAAAACGTTTTTGAAAGCTAGAATATCTCTTTATTGTTCAAATCTTTTCAAAAACAGCAGTGTTTTTTTGTAAATGATCTCTGTCTTTACAACAAACGTGCACAGTGATCAATAGTCATTATAAAAAGTAGATTTTAGAATACACTTTGCTAAACTTTGTCATCTTTTACCGTAATCATTTACTTTTTATCCAATAATCGTAAAAACCGTCCAATAAACCAATAATATCCAATAAATCGTAAAAGCTCTTAGAAAAAACATTCATCTTTAGTAAATAAAGTAAAGTTATCAGACGTTACTTTATGTTGCTGTATTTGAGAATGACGTTTACAATGGATTGCACTTAAGTACATTAGAATAAAGTACAGCTACTTTTATACACCGGAATATTCAAAATTTCCAAGGATTTTGAGTGGTTCTTTGCTAGTTTTAAGCATGAAAATGCAAATTGCAAATGTTAACAATAATCGCATAGCTTTTCATTCAAAAATTTGAAAGTTTCACTAGAGTTTTTCCAGTCCAAAGTCCAGTCACCAATCTCTCCAAATGTTCTCTGTGCGCGAGCATAAACGCGAGCTTTCTGGCACACGCTCGGAGAGGGGGTGATTTAACCGCTGCCCTTTTCACGGGCTTTTGCGTGTGGCGAGAAGATAGCTTTGGGGGTGACTCACAGATCTTTATGGTCTATTTGAATACCCTCGGGAAGGTCTGAGGAAAGCCCTTGTACTTCCGAGAAGGAAGACGACTGAATGGTCGTGATCACGAAGAAGAAAAGTTCTCCTTTCGGGGATTGGGAATCGGGATTGGCCAGCTCGAAAAAGCTGAGTGCGATCGTCTATGCAAGAGAACACAATTCAGACTACTCTCTCAAGCCACACAATTTTTTTTTTTTGGTTTTGCAAATTCGAGTTTAAAGTGATCAGTGATTAAACCTTGTTATTAACTAGTAATCTGTAGAATATGACCGTAATTCGGGATCACGATTTGAAAAGATTTATCTATCTATAAAGAGCAATTTTGAGAGTAATTTTTCATTGTTTTCATCATCGAATCAAGGCCATAAGAAGCGTGAATGTGATTGAAAAGAGATCTGAAGTTTAAATGATTTAAAAAGTTATTAAAACTACAGGGTACTGTAGGACTACAGGGACTACAGGGTACTGTAGTCACTCATTGAATTTACTAGGGCAAGTCATTTTTGACGTTTCTAATCTCTCAAAGTTGAAAGTCTCTTACCAAAATATCCTCGCGAAACTTTCGGTGTCGTTGATGGATTTGTAGGGTTTGCCGATGATGACAGAAAATCCAAGATTGATAGATCTTGGCAAAGCTGAAAGGAAAAAGTTGTTTTCGAAAAAAAGTTACAATTAAATCTCTGGATTCGTTTTGTAAAACTCGTTGACTTTTTAAAGTGAAGGCCAAAATCGGAAAGCTTCTTTCCGTCTTTCAAAATTTTATAAATATTGTCAAGAGTGAAATTTCATATAAACAAAAGATTGAATTCCAGTTGAGTATCGGTTTGACGAGTATGGTGTCAATGACTGTTTTGTTGGACATGCTAGCTACAGCTATTCCGAAGACGGCTGTTTTTCCTTTGTTGGGTGAGTAAATACTCTAATAAAGCCATAAAGCCATAAAGACAGGCGTACAATCGCGTAGTCAATGATTGTTTTCCTTCTTTCAAAACCAGCAACCTTCTTTCCTTCTTTCAAAATCGGCAAGCTTCTTTCACCAACCTTCGCAGCATCACCCGGATTGTACAGATCGGCTCGTTTCTCGAAGACATCCAGGCTACAGTACTGTGAGTTCATTGATCGATCACAGCCTGTCACATATTTTGTGATCTCATCGAAATCGTACAGATCCCCATCGCCTTGATGGTAGAAAACCTGAATGACTTTAAGAATTAAAAAAACAATACAATACAATACAATTAAAATAAGATACAGATGATTTAAAGGATACAATAGTTTACGTTCAAAAGAACTCAAAAATAATCAAAAATCAAAATTTACCTTAAAATAGGCTTTCCCTTGCTTATCTTGCCACAATTCGACCACAGCCGCTGAACTGTACAATGGATATCCATGGGGAACGACCTGAAAATAAATGACGAATTTAAAGGAGCTTTAAAGGAGCTTTAAAGGAACTAAATAGGGACTCTAAAGGAGCCTTAAAGGAGCTTTAAAGGAGCTTTAAACGAGCTTTAAAGGAGTTTTGAAGGAGCTTTAAACGAGCTTTCAAGGAACTAAATAGGAACTATATTTTTGTGCTCTCTTTCTTTCTTTCTTGCAAACGCACACTTTCCAGCACACCAAAATCATCAATTTCCTTTGTTAGATCTAATAAAAAAAAGATTACGAGTGTACCAGGAGTGCGTTTACATTTTGCTGTTCAAAGTACAAGCTAAAGCTCACATCATCTTTCGCTCCAAGAGTCGCCAAGAATGAGGCGATCGTCTCATCGTGCTGAAATTTATCCTTTCGATTTCACTTTTAGATTTCGTTTTTTTAGATTAAATTAGATTTTTCTACGGCTCTGATTCAAGAATTTCTTCTTATCATTTTTTTTCCGCAAAAATTCTCTACTCACCGCCGAGTACGCGTAATACTTTAAGCCGTTTATCCAGCTGCAGTTTCGAGTTGTCTTCCCGGCGCATGAAAGCTGAAATTTTCAAAGAGATTTTCATAAAAAGATTGGTGATTTCATTATTAGATCAGGGATTATACAGAAGACTAATCTTACTAACAAGATCAAGACAATAAAATAGTGAGGGTTTTGGTATTTCGATCGCAGTACAGTAACAGTTTATGGTATGAAACTTCGCTACTAACAAGGGAAAGTCAACTGGATGGGCTGGCCAAATGACATGAGCCATAGGCCTAACGACGTAGAATTTCACGCTGAATCCGAATCTGCTTTCCGTTTTTACTAAACGGAACTCTGTCAAAAGGATCTGATTCACAAAACTTTCTCAAAATCTAGATAAAGTCAAGAAAATAGGCCGAACTTATCGTTAGCTTTTTGGCTTTTTTTTCTGAAACGACCTATGAAACTATTTGTGGGATTCTTCTATTTATCAATAGGTTTATGAAAAATTGGCTTTTGGTTCCTTATCTCTCTAAATTTGTTTGCTTATTTCTAAATTGGGTTCCTTATCTCTCTAAATTTGGTTCCCTATCTCTCTAAATTTGGTTCCCTATCTCTCTAAATTTGGTTCCTTGTCTCTAAGTTTGGTTCCTTATCTCTCTAAATTTGGTTCCTTATCTCTAAATTTGGTTCCTTATCTCTCTAAATTTGGCTCCTTATCTCTCTAAATTTGGTTCCTTGTCTCTAAATTTGGTTCCTTAACTCTCTAGATTTGGTTCCTTATCTCTCTAAATTTGGAAAAAATAGAAAAAGAAAATCTACAGGGTGCGCCATAATTGTCGCAACAAGATAAAGTTCTGTTTTTATGGTAGACAAGAGCAAAAAAGACAAATTTTTAACTGAATAACATTTATTGTATATTAACAATTATAAATGAACTATCAAATTCGAATCGGCCACCATTAGCATTTGAGCAGGCTCGCACGCGTTTCGGGAAGGCGTCAACGGTGGCGACCATAACTGATCTGCTCTCAATTTTCGCTTGTTTTTATCGGCATTCGAAAGAAGTTGAGCCTTGAGCCTTGTTTTTCTTGTAAGCAGTAAATTTGAGCTTATTTTTGAGGATCCGACGCAATGAGGTGCTTGAAATCGTCACCTTGCATTTGCCGTTTGCCTTGCCGACTGGTTTGGCTTCTTCCGAATTCGGCCCCTCACTCGCTCGATGTTTGTCTTTGTGACGACAGTTGGGCGTCTACTGTCTTGGTGCATAAGCAATGTTCCTGTAGCTCTTGGTACATCAGCAATTGTTTCCGTGGCTCTTGGTGCATCAGCAATTGTTTCCGTAGCTCTTGGTACATCAGCAATTGTCCCCGTAGCTTCGTAGCGTTGAATAGTGTGGAAAATGACACTTCTGTCGACTTTAAGACGCTTATGAATCTCCGGCGCTGAGACTCCTCGCTTTTGCAATTCGATGATCGATGGAGATAGAGGGATTTTTCAGCCATTCTAAAAAAACCACAAATTTTATATGAAAAAAGTTTCAATTATATTCCAAATATAATAAAAACACAAAGAAAAATCAGAAATGAAGCTTAAATGAACGATTTATTGTCCTTGAACGCGCGTGAAAGCTTGTTGCGACAATTTTGGGCGCACCCTGTAGATATATTTTAAAATATACCTTGATGTCCATATGCATTCTCATATCATTCGTCAGCGCGCCGGCTCTCAATTTCGGTAGCTCAACAGCGAAATTGATCCCATTCAGCGCTTGGAGGTCTAAAAAACAGAGAATTCCAGGAATTCTGGCCGTAAAACTCTAAAAATGAATCCAGTTTCCACAACAGCTTTGCATATTTCTCAAATCTCTCACTCAATCCATCCTGTAAATCCTCAACCCGATCATTGATATCAGTCAAGTTATCCTGGAAACTTTGACTCCACCACGTTGGCATCTTCAAGTTGTTATCGTTCTGGAAAAATGGAGATTTATAAAATATAGATTTGATTTGATTTGATTTGATTTGATTTGATTAGCTTAGATTTGATTAGCTTAGCACTTAGCTTAGATTTCGAACCTCAATAAAAGTGACATCATGCAATTTCCACAACTCATCCACTCGATAAGTGATCCCGATGCTTTGATTGATGTACGCGATCAGATTTTGGGTCTAAGATTATCGATGAAGCTGTAACTATTGAACTTTTATTGATCAAAATACTTACAGCGGGGTCATCGATGATCTTTTTCACTTCGGGACAATTCTGATAACAGTACTTCCAAAGGGCGTCCTGTCGAGGGCAATACGCGTTCGCGTTACCCAACTGAAACGTTTAGACTTTGATTTTATTGGGAAAATTTAGTTTTATTCTATTGCTTTCAAAGTCTGTCTCATTTAGTACAAATACAGTAGTCAAAGCGCAGAATAGGAAATAGGTTACGATAGTAATGCTCTCACATGATCAGTGTTGTCGTCGACGGTGTGAACGGCTATCGGGACGAAATTTGATGGCCATCTGAATAAATGAAGACTTAAATTATAAAGATAAACTACAAAGATCGACTTTAAACCCCTCAATAGACTCACTTATACGGCGTGCCAGTGAAATCGGGATAATCTCTGTTCACTCGATCGCTGTCACCTTGGGCGTACATGCCTAAATATATCATAAGCTAGGATTCAGACCCATGATCCATCCTAGAGCTTGTATGCCAAACCAAAGCCAAAGCCTCGTCCAGCTCTTTCTGCCCTGGTTTGACTATAAGACTTTTATGGACTAGATCAAGCTTCGTTTCTGGTTGCCTAGTTTACGCATTTCCTCACCAATCATGTTCGACATTGCCGAAATGATCGTTCGATTCACATCCGTCGATCGGACATAAATCTGAAATATTTGCAAAAAAACTGAAGCCTTCCCTATCTTCTTTACCTCAGCCGCATTGTAGTATTGAGGCAAATGTTGGTTGTATCGTTTTTTGATTTTCGCTCCGAGCTTCACATGCATTGCCATACCCCTCTAAATAGTAGGTTTATATCTCATGTTATCTACTATATATATAAAGTAGTAAGGTCATAGATTGTAACTCTCACCGTTGTCAACTCTCCATATCCACCTCTTGCATCCCAGAAAGTTTTATCGTAAGCATCACCCGGATAGGGATCGGTCGGATTTCGGTCACCATGTCGCCAAACCTGAAAAAAGGAAAAGAAAATTTCAGTAGTCTCAGGAAATTCAATGTCTTGTGGTGCTAGTTTGAGCATCATCTTGTCCTACAATCACTAAAGGAATGGCAAAGAAAGGTTTTCGGAGAAGCGATTGAACGCTCGACCCCTCGACTTTTTTTTGCTTTCTAGGCAGATGCTCTAACCACTGAGCGATTCGGTATCTTCTTTCTGGAGAAGAACGAGGAAATACAAGGGGAAGAGAAAGAAGAAAGAAAGAAAGAAAGAAAGGAAGAGAAGGAAATAGACTAATACAGACCTTTCTGATGTAAGAAGCTTTTTTGCTTTCAAAGTTCTTTAAAATGTTTCGCGTTCACTTGCTTCTTCTGTTCACAATTTTTGAATTATGTTCTTAAAGCCTACCAGAGAATATATTTAGAATGAAATTAGTTTTTCCTTTTCTTTAGTCCTTTCCATCGTTTCACTTACCGACTGAACTAATATCAACGTTTTATCGCCATCGGTGATTTGCGAAAAAACAATATTCAGTAGAATAGTCAAAGTGATTATCCGAATAAGCATTTTACTAGAGAATTACCTGAAAATTTTGAAATAAACTTTTAAAAAAATAGTATTTTAAACGAAAAGATTGATATCTCGTAAATTACGTGTGATTGGTGGCGTGTAAAAACGGGCATGAAAATGACATAATTCAGGAGTCTTCGAAAAGAAAATCGGCTTTGGAAAACCCCTGAAAGTGATAAGCGATCCATGGAAGCTTATTTGAGGAAATTTCTCTTTTTGCTTCTGCAAAAAAAACGAAGCACACAATTTCGAAGTAACCCAATCAGTGGCAGAGAGCAGTTGTAAATGTGTAGTTGGTTTTCAGTTCTCAACGGGCTATATTTCAATTCAACTACCATACAGGCTAAGGTTTTCTAATAAGTTAACCTTGGAGACATTAAGCTTATAGACTTTAAATCAAAAATTATCTTTTATTGAACTTCCTGGATTCGGCAGGCTCAACTGTTTGGTAAAAATAAGCGCAAAGAGAGTTTTTAAAAATATTCAGTTAAAGCTATTCAGCTAATCAGTTTAAAACTTTAAAACTATCCAGCTATTCAGTTTAATAATCCCAGCTTCTAACCAGGATCGTTTGAAAATCAATTTTTCCGGGTCAGAAGCTAGGGCTAATTTGGTTTACGAGAGATCAGCCTCATTTTCGGCCGGATTTCAGCGTAGTTTAGCCTCAATCCATGATTCACAAAGCTCCTAGAACCTGGAAAATCTTGGTCATCTTCTCTTCTACATAATTCAGCCTTAGATTTACTTTGTCTTAAACTAATCGTAAAGTCTTGAAGTCTTTTCTTGAACATTGGAGCAACGTGTTGCCAGTTTCGAAAAACACAAATTTGCTATAAAACCGAAAATTAAACCGAACACAATGTGGAAAACACACTGGCAAAACTTCGGTAAAAGATTATTGAAAAGAAAAGCTATGGCAGTAAAATTTTGCACCTGACAGTAAGTCTGTTGTGTTTCAAAGTTCCACCTTCATTTCTCTTCCCCACTCTCCACCCATTTGATCATTGATTTGATTTGATTGGAATGAAAAAGAGAAAATCTTTTCCATTATTTACCGCTCAATCAAAACTGGTTCATTTGACCGTTTATTTTCTTTCTTTTCTTTCTTTTCTTTCTTTTCTTTCTTTTCTTTCTTTTCTTGGCCTCAGCAATTTTCTGTTTGATTTTTGCGGTCAGATGGGCGAAATTTCAATGGAAATCAAGGAAATCTGATGGAAAAAGTGTGAATTTTCGTTTTCAATGAAGAGATTTTCATTTAGAAACACTTTTTTTCTTTAAAAGTTTCTTTAAAACTTTTAATCTGATAGAAAAATTGCAAACAAATTGTTTTAAAAGTTTTTTCTAGATTTTTAAACCAAGATTGAGTCAAGACTTGATCCATAAAGTCCCTATCTCGCAGCCGGAACCATCCTGTCCTCATGGCGCATTGCCAGTGTGTCGGTCTCTCGCTCGAACCCTCGCCGGTTCGACTCCCGCTTGGCGTCCCCAAAGTAAGGCGGATCGTTTCCCATTTGTAAACGGTTTGTATCAAAACTGGGGCCAAACTGATCAGAGGCATTTATGTAACTACACGAGTTCTCTTCACACGACTCGCGTATGCTCCAACTTGTCTACATTTTTATTTTCTACTGTAATCCCATACGTTTTCGATAGTATAGTATACTTTATAGCAAAAACTTTTATTTAAAACTTTCAAATCAATTTCTTTGTAAGAATGCCCAAATGAGGACGAGAATTGAGGAGATCAGACCTGAAAAAAAGTTGAAAAATGCCTGTAATTGCCATTCAATCATCCTAACTTTAGCTTTATTGAGTATTTAAAAGATATTCAGTCAATCTTATCGACTGAATACTTATTATACTGTAATGAGCCAAGAGATTGAACTTTTGAGAGCTTTCTCTGATGGCTGAAGTGGTTTAAAGCATGCCCAAGATACTCTAATTACTCTAGACTCTAATTGAGTCTACTCTAGATCCCAAGATACTCTAGACTCTAATTGTAACTGTAACTCTAACTGTAACATTTAGAAACCGATTTACGGGTTACGATAGGCTTTATGCTTTTAAAAAATGAGTTGGCGTTGAAAATGAGAAAAGTTTCCAACTCTGGGCTTTAAAATATCATTATGAGCAACTCTACCGTTATTATAAAATGCAAATTTCTTCTCCGAGTTGCCAAAAAGATCCGTGTCAGCACACATCTGAATTTTAACATAAAAAACAATTTCTCTTTTTTTTTCTTGTTTTATCTCTCACCGCCTCGGCACCGCCCCATTGGCTTGATGAGAGGTTGGCGGCCACCTAAAAGTTTCTAAACTTTAGAAAAACTTTATTCTATTAGGTGTGTGAAAAAGTAATCCACGTTTTTTATTTTTATCTGATGATCAAATAAGACGCTGTCTTCTCGAAAACACTCGTTCAACCTCTTCAGAAATAGGCCTTACATTAAATTGTGATGGGTCAACCGTAAGGAAACGCTTGAATGCCATGAATTTTATCAAAAAGTTGGACAAATGGATACCGCATGAACGATAAGGCGCGACCACATGTCTCTTTACAGACTCGACAAAAAATCAGAGTGTTGGATGGAAGGTTTTACCACATCCACCTTATAGTCCAGACCTTTCTCCATCTGATTATTATTTATTTTTGTCTCTGTCTAACTTTTTGGCCAATAAACGGTTCAATTCCGAAGACGATGTCAAAACCGAGGTTGATCTTTTCTTCGCCTCTACGGACCAAGATTTTTATTATCGTGGAATCTCTTTACTTGTAGAACGTTGGCAAAAGGTTGTTCTTTCGAATGGTGATTACTTCGTTGAATAAAAATTCTTTTAACGAAACTTATGGTCTTTTATATTTAAACGTTAAAAACGTGGATTACTTTTTCACACACCTAATACTTTATTGTAAATTTTTAGCACAAATTCCATTTCTCAAATGCCCAAACAATAAACGAAAACGAATCTGGGTTTCATTTTTTTTTCCACTCTGAGTTTTCTTAAAAACCATTTACCGCTTCAAATTTTTCAAATGGACAATATATTTCGAAATCGCGACACGCTTCGACCATCGGTGTGAACACGGTGAAATTGTCGCCAAAGCCATTGTGATAGACGAACTGAATTGAGGAGTTCATTTGGGAACATGATAAGGCTGGGGTACTGGATTCTTTCCAAAACCACTCTTTCTGGGCTATTTCTTTACGTAGAATCCGAATTTCATAGTGGAAGCTTGAGGAAATGCGTTTTAAACTGACTTTCGGGAACCCGAAGTCGTCACCTCTACAGGGGGAACTTTAATGGGGGCTGTATTGAATGTGAATCACCAATCTAAAGCCTCAAAAGATTTTTTCCAACATGCAAAAACACTTTTTTTTTGGTTAACTCAGTGTTCAGAATATGAAAATAGCAAAATTCGAAATGAAAAAGTAAAAATGGAAATTTCGAATTTTTCATTCTTTTCACCCAGGGGCGAAAATTTCGCAAAATTTAGAAATTTTTATTTTCAAATTTCCTACTCAAATTTGATTAGAATTGATTAGAATAGCCTAGAAAAAGTCTTTTTTAGACAGAAAAAGGCTCATTAAGTTCTTTCTGAGCCCTTCTTATAGGAGTATTACAGTGAAGTACCCCGTAGAGACGGTGGCTTCGGGTCCCGAAAAGTCAGTCTAAAACACATTTTCCTAGGCTTCCACTCAGAAATTTGGATTCTACGTAAAAAATTAGCCCAGAAAAAGTGGTTTTGGAAAGAATATAGTACCCAAATCCCACAAGTACCGGGAACACTTGCTTTTGTGATCAATAATAAAGGAACAAGTTTGCTGTAGCTTTTGAGTTTGAATTACTTCAGAATTAACTCACTAATGAGATTAATGACACTTAATATCGACGTTTACAGCTAAACTCAAGAGAAAATCTTTTCACTCACCTTCACAAAATCGTTCTTTTTGCTGTCCCGCCAGTGCTCGGTGATGACAGCGGCTGAATAATGTGGATACCCTCCATCAGTGATCACCAATTTCTCCGAGTTCAACGCAGTCAAATACGCGTAAACGGTTGTGTCATGCTGAATTGGAAAATGTTTTTCCCCAAAAAGCTTACTTACTGCTGAGTAGACGAAATATTTGAGTTTACTCATCCATTCCGAGCACAGCGGTGAGCTCTCCAAACAATCGCGCTTTTGCTTGATCTGATCGGTCACTAAAGGAGAAGAAGTTTATCAAGTTTTCAGAAAAAAAATCGGTCTGGGCATTACTTTATCATAAATTCATATTTATACAGTGCGTTTCAAATTCTTAAACGCACCCTCTAAAATAGCGAATTTTGCATTTTGACCACCGCTACAACTATTAATCTTTTTCTATTAGAAAGAGCATGTCTGAAAACCTAAAAAACACGAAAAATAAGCATACTGTAAAAAGTAAAAATTTTCAAAATAGAAACTTTTTGCTAAAGCAACCGTTTCAAATTCTTAAACGCACCCTCGTTTGCTGCTGTTATTTGAAATTTTTCGTTTTGTTGTGCATATTTTTTTATTAAATTTATAATTTTTGTTAATTTCCAAGTAAATGGCACACGGAAAGCTGCTCAAGGATTATGAGGAAGGCCAGATTGATGCCCGTTTGAGGATTGGCGACTCAATAATGAAAATCGCACAAAATTTGGGCCGATCCGACTCTGCCATGCGAAATTATATAAAGTCCGAGTTCGTTTCTGCACCAAAGAAGAAGCCAGGACCAAAACCAAAGCTTACACCGCGAACTAGACGCCATATTGTGAACAACATCCACGGAAAAACGATCAATGAAGTGAAAACGGAACGGAAAATCGACCCTTCGAAGTCGAGGATTTGGCGACCCATCAAGGAAAATCCACATATCGATCGACGATTACTGAACATGCAACCGGTCGTGAAGCTTTTGCACAAGAAAGCCCGATTGGCGTTCGCCAAGGCTTATATGAATCAGGATTGGTCTATGGTTAGAAAGCCGCTTATGTTTTATTATTTTTTTTGCGTTTAGGTGATCTTTTCCGATGAGAAGAAATGGAACTGAGTTGGTCCCAATGGCGCTGACTACTATTGGAGGGATCTTCGACGTGATCCGATTGTGTTTGGAACTCGAAACTTTGGCGGTGGTTCTGTGATGGTTTGGGCCGCCTTTTGTGCTGATGGAACGGTCACTCTGAAGATGGTTTCGGATCGGATGACTCGATAGATATCTTGAAAAGTTGCTTGTTGCCGTTTTTGCTCCTAAATCCAACCGTTCCCGATTTGTTTCAATACGACAACGCGTCAATTCACCGCCGGAGACACCCGAGACTGGCTGAACAACAACAACATTGCAACTTTGGACTGACCCGCTCGATCTCCCAATCCGATAGGGAATTTATGCCGAATACTTGTCCAAGCTGCATACAAAAATCATCGTCAGTTTCAAGACGTATTTTGTACTTAAAACAGCGATCCGTTTGGCCTGAAGCTATCTCGACGTCTTTGCTTTTCAAAACCTCATCAACTCAATGCCAGACCGCCTTTTTCAAGTAGTTAATCGTTCTGGTGCGTGTACAGATTATTAGTTTTGATTTTTTACCTTTGATTGTTAATTTCTGTCGATAAATAAAAATACTTTCATAGTGCGTTTAAGAATTTGAAACGGTTGATTTAGCAAAAAGTTTCTGTTTTGAAAATTTTTATTTTCGACAGTATGCTTATTTTTCGTGTTTTTTAGGGTTTCAGACATGCTCTTTCTAATAGAAAAAGATTAATAGTTGTAGCGGTGGTCAAAATGCAAAATTCGCTATTTTAGAGGGTTCGTTTAAGAATTTGAAACGCACTGTAGCTGTTTTCTAAACTTTTTTTCTTAAATAAATTCATGCGTTTTAAATTGCACCCACAAAGGCCGAGCATCGATCCGGAGCGGATTCGTTGCATCTCTTTCGACACATCAAAACCATTTACTGGGGAAAGATCTAAATTCCTAATATTATATTTTAAAGTTACAATCAATTCCTGGCTACAGTATGCCGCTGAATGTTTGCAAAAACTGTTTAAATGAAAAGAAAAAGTTCAATCAAAAGTAATTGAGGCAGATACACTGAAGTGAAACAAGAGACCAAAGTTGACTCATGGTCAAACCAACAGCTTGCCTTTGCTTAATAAACTTTGAGCTAAAGAAAAAGTTGCTCTTACTGATTCCATTCACAAAGTCTTGTGCCTGTTGATTGAGTTTGAAGGCTAGATTGTACAAATCATCCGTCATCCATCCCGGATTCGAAATGTTGTAGGCTCTCTGGAAAAAGTAGAAATACCAATGACTTCGTAATACCTACAGACAGTAATAAAGAAGTAAAGGAATTGACAAGAAAAAGTAGATTTCCGAAAAGGGGATTAAACCGTCGAACTGCTTTCCTGGCAATTGCTCTAACCACTGAGCGATTCGGTACCTCAACTTGCCAAGAGAAAGAGGGAAAAACAAGGGGGAAGAAGAAAGGAAGGAAGAAAGATATACCGTAGCACATTTGCATACTTGGACTTTAGAAAATTTTCAAAATCTCTGAACCTCGATGAAAAACGCGTCGACCACCTCCCAGAGTGAACCCAAATCGTAGGTTTTGTTGCACTGTTGTTTCAAAATGTCGAACACGTGTTTAGTCTACTCAAAACATTAAACTCTAAAATGTGACTCAAAATACCGTATTCAGAGCCAACAGTGCTTGAATTTCTTTACTCTGCTGAGCAAGAGCCCACACTTTGAGTTGACGAGGGCAGATCATGTGCGGATTTCCCCACTAAAAAAGAAAAGTTACTTTAACACATTTTGAACGCCGGCATTTTGAGTCGTTAACTGTTTTTACTGATAACTTGGTGAAGATTCAAAGATAAACTAGACTATTTTAATCATTCGATAGCCCTGAATCTCCTCTTGAAAACTAGTACCAAGTTACCGGAACTTTTTGCGAAATAAATAACAAAAGTCCTTGGGATAAGATTAGTTAGAAGTAACGGTAGTTTTCAAAAGTTGAACGATTCTCTAATCTCCATAATTTCATACATAGTCATAATCATCATTGATTGTGTGAATGGGAATCGGAACGAATCCAGCCGGCCAATTGTAATCCTCGTTTCCCTTCAGCTTTGGCACATCCTCTCCAAGTGTCGCTGAGCCCTGGCCATACATACCTGAATTGGCTCTTCGTTTTCGAAATATACTCTTGAAAAGCAGCACTTTTTATGCTAGTTTGCTGTTTGTGGATAAGTGAAGCTGAAGTTAGAAAAGTTCTCGTTTTTTCCTCACTCACCAATTGTATTGCAAACAGCCGACAAAAGCGTTCGATTCACGTCGGTGGACCGGAAGTAAACCTAAAATCAATTAGAAATTATTAACTTTGTTTTTTAATTCTAACCTCATTAGCCCTATATCTCTCGTTCAAGAATCCCGTCTCAACGTATCGTCTTCGAAGCTTTCGACCAAGTTGCACGTGCATTTGCATACCCAGCTGAAAACCAATAAAAGGCTACTGCATTCAAATTATACTCATACACATTTGTGCAATGTATTAGGTTGTCCAGTTATGAATGCGCGCCTGCTCTTGAACAGCGTAGCTTAGGGCTATCCAATTTTATCAAACCCTATTCTCTATCTGCTGTTCAAGATTTCTTATTTATTACAACTTTTCGTGTTTTTGACGTTAAACCAATTCATTTTTGATTTAATTTCCGTGTTTAGATGACCGAGACGAAGTTTCGTCTTCGTGCCAGTCTTTGGTTTGGCTTCAAATTGAGCAAAAATGCCGTTGAATCCCATCGAGATCTCTGCAAAGTATTTGGCGAAGATGCTATTTCGGAAAGCCAGTGTCGCCGATGGTTTCAACGATTTCGAGACGGAAATGAATCTTTGGAAGACGAAGACCACCAACGACGACCTCCTGCGATCGATAATGCAGTACTGAAGCAGGCGATAGAAATGGATCCTAGACAAACTACACGTGAACTTGCAGAAATATTTAGAGTAAGCCCTCAAACAATTTCCGAGCATTTAAATCAATTGGGGAAAACAAGCCGACAAGGGAAATGGGTTCCTCATCTTCTCAGCAATGCCAATAAAGCTACTCGTGTCACTATGGCGGGTATTCTTCTTCGTTTGGCAAAAAATACTGGGTTTTACGATGAAATCCTTACTTGCGATGAAAAATGGATTCAATATGATAATTCTACACGGAAACGGCAATGGCTAGAACCTGGTGAGGAGCCAATACCAACATCAAAACCCGACTTCCATGGCAAGAAAGTAATGCTTAGTGTCTGGTGGAATTCCCAAGGCATTGTTTATTTTGAGCTGCTTAAACCTGGACAAACAATCACGGGTAAAACGTATGCACAACAACTGGAACGAGTGAACAATGTATTGCTACAAAAAGGCCTTGATCCTTCAAACATAAAGTTCATTCCAGATAACGCCGGCCACACGTTGCAAAGATTGTTCAGAAAAAACTCGAAGAGTTGGGCTGGGAAACTCTCCCGCATCCGCCATATTCTCCGGATATTTCTCTTTCGGATTACCCTTTATTTCGCTCAATGCGAAATCATTTGGCTGGAAACAGGTTCAAAGATGTTCAAGAGGTCGAAAAATGGTTAGCCGACTTCTTTGCCTTCCAACAAGCCAATTTTTACGCCCAGGGAATTCATTCTTTGCATGGAAGATGGAAACAAATATTGTTAACAAATGGTGAATATATTGTTGATTGAGCTGCTAAACTGTTGGTTTTAAAATAAAGAGTTGTTATCTTAAAAACGCGCATTTATAACTTGACAACCTAATAGTTTTAGGAGCTGGGTACAGGTTAGAACTCATTCCACATCATTTAGAGTTTCGATTGAATGCAGAGCACAAACTTTTCCCTTGTCACATTATGCTTTTTAAGAAACTTACCCACAAAACTGGCTTTAGGTACGAGCCTTTTGCTTTCAAAACAGGATTTAAAATTATTTGTCACTTCTTGATAAAACAATAATTTAAAGAGTTCACTCACCGGTGATAGTTGTCCCCATCCTCCACCACCGAAAGTCCATTGCTCTTCTTGTGTTGGATCGGTGGGACATGTTCGTGTCGGTGATCGATCGCCGTGACGCCAAATCTGAACTTTTCAGCCATCGTATAGAGCTCTACAAGACTAATTCATGGCGATCTTTAAGCTATTAATAGTTTTAGTTAAACATATATATGTACAATTTATTTACACAAACTTTATCGCCATACAACACTTATTCACCGAGAAAAAAATATAAATTCAAACAAGAGTATTTCCCGCCGGACTTTGCGTCGACGCTTGCTTCAAGCGGCATTATATACTAAAAGACCTGCTTGCAAGCCTATGAGGACAGTAAATACGAAGCGAACGAAAATAGTAAAAATTTTTGCAAGTGTGAAAAGACTTTTGCACCACGATTTTCAAGGGTGTTATGAGAATTATATTTTTTCTCGGTGAATAAGTGTTGTATAGCGCTAACGTTTGTGTAAATAAATTGCACATATATTTGTGTGACTAAAACTATTAATAGTTTAAAGATAGCCATGAACTTTATCAAAGAAGATTGATGAAACTTTTTAGAAAATTGAGTGTGAAAAGACTTTTGCACATGACTGTAGGTTATCAATTCCTGAATTATTCAATACATTGCATGAATTGAATGAAAAAGACTTTGCAAGCCAGATCACTTTCCGTTCGACTTACTGCAAAAATAGGAAAACTTTTTGCTCAATTCTAGGTACAGTGGTCCACAAAAGTAATGCCCCATTGATCGTTTTCATGATTATTCTTTTTGTTTCTCCTTCTATGAACATTAAATGTATTCTATTGTATTATTTAGATTCCTGACATGAAAAATCTTGACACTCCGAAGAAGCTCCAAATCGCTAAGGCCCGGGAAAATGGGATGCGGGAGTGTGAGAGAAGGATGTGGCCAACCTCTTCAATTGCTCGATATGGACAGTGCGCCGCATTTTTTCTCAATCAAAAGCCGGGAAAAACCTTCATCAAGGCCTCAAGAGTGGCCGACGACCAATCACAACCATAAAAGAAGCCGTGATCCAAATGGTGAAAAACGATCCGAACAAAACATCAACCGATGGAAGCCAAATGATGAGGGATCAATTTAACAAAGTTGTATCGCCGGAAACGATCAGACGACGATTAAATCAAGCTGGATTATATGCAAGAAAGGCTGCCCCTAAACCTCTGATGAATTCTAAACACCGGAAGCAGCGCCTTGACTTTGCACGGACCTACCGAAGTTGGACAATAAGTGATTGGGCGAAAGTGCTATTTACCGATGAGACAAAAATCAATTTATTTCACGCGGACGGAAACCATCTTATTCGGCGGCCGACTGGAAAGCGATACACACTCAAGTTCATTCGGCCTACGGTGAAATTCAATGGAGGCAACATAATGTGTTGGGGTAAGAGCCTTTTTAGTATTTTGTCACCTGACTGTTTTTCTTTAGGAGCGATGTCACGAACTTCATTAGGTCCATTAGTTCACGTCAACTCAACGATGAATGCTGTGGCTTACAAGAACATTATGGAGACCCAAATGCTGCCTTTTGCCACACAGACGATGCCTCATGGATGGATGCTCTACCAGGACAACGACCCGAAACACAAGTCAAGGCTCATGAACGGTGAGAACGGTGGTGACTCTTCAAAATGGTACACGAGCACGACTTCCGGGCTGGTTTGCGGCAAGTCGAATTAAATAGATCAATCCGCCTCCCTACTCACCGGATATCAATGTTATCGAGCATCTCTGGTCATTTGTGAAGTCACGACTCAAGGGAAAGAAATTCGATTCGAAAGCTGCCTTATGGGTTCACATTCAACGTCTCTGGGCCACCATCCCCCAAAGTCTTTTAAAGAATCTCGTGGATTCCATGCCGAATCGACTCAATGAAGTAATAAAAGCAAAAGGAGGACCAACCAAGTATTGATTTTAAAAAATTGTGTTAATTCTTTGCAAATGGGGCATTACTTTTGTGGAGCTAATTTTCAAGTAGCTTATTGTTTTTGTTTTGTACTTTAATTTGTATGTAATGTATACGGATAAATCTTATATTCTTGAAAAGTCGAGTCTTATAGGTAGATAAAAATACCCTACTCTTTTTCTGAAATGTTGATTTTGCAAGATTTCCTTACCAAACATACAGTTGGATGGCAATGGGGCATTACTTTTGTGGACCACTGTATGTGAGAGTTCGATTGGCTAGTCAAGAGACAAAAATAATTAAATTACAAAACGTAAAAGTGTTTTGCGAAATTTTTACAAGCTGCACTCACCACTTGCACGAATTGCAGCTCCAAATCGCGATCTTTCGGAATTGGTTCTTGTGCTACCGTAACACCGAAGAAATAAAGTCCACCGAGTAGAATATAAGCCAGCATATTGCTGTTAGTCTCAAAAATTACACCTAGCAAATTCACAGACTAACGGTGAGTGACTCTTTTTTGCTTGAGTGTTTCCAAATGGCACCAGGAAAATTCTATTTCCAATTCTTTAAAAAAAACGGGTCACTGATCGCAATTTCAACGATAAAGAAACCAATTTCTTCACTGAATAGCTAGTCATTTTTTGATTGGATGACGATTGAGTGAGTTTTGCTGCCTCGTTGATTGAAGATTTCAGTTCGAGAAAACTAACTCATTCCTAAAAAAAGCAGAAAAAAACCTTTACTTAAATACAACGAAGCGTTTGGGAAATGAAATTTTGATTTTCTTTTATTGATTTTCCGGCCATCATCCTTCCATTTCTTCCCGGCGAGTTGAAGGACAGACTAAAAATAATCAAAGCTTACAAATAATCAAATGAGATTTCTAACTTTTACCATCTTCATAACTTTTTGATAGCCGTTGTAAAACCATACAGTAGTAATAAACTTTATTACTACCGTAAATACTCAAATAGAAGCCTCCCTCCTATAGGAGTGTCGCGCCTAAGTTCACTCTCAAACAAACGCTCATATCGCGCCACAAGTACGTTTGTTTCTGCGCACTTAGGTATCAAATTAAAGTAGAGAATGGGTGATTTTTTGAGATATAACACATATTTTTAGTATTAACGGACGCTTAGAAAAAAATTATTGAAAAGTGGCAAAAAAGACGATTTTTCATCATTATAGATATGAGCGATTCTTTGAGTGTAAACTTACGAGTGTAAGACTACGCGACCCTCCTATGGGGGGTTTATTAGAATACAGTTGACTCTCTCTATAACGGAATTGAAGCGACCAAAAAATGTTTCCGTTATATAGAATGCCGTTTTATATGGCCGGCCGGGACCAAAATTCCACTCCGTTATTTAGAGTTCCGTTATAGAGAGAGTCGACTCTATTTACGGTAGTACAAATCCTCAAATTTTCTTCAAAACTGCTTACCATTAACGCGGTCTCGTTGATGATCGGAATGACGGGCGCGGGCGCTTTTCTTCTCAACGTTGCATCCCAGAGCTCACAGAAAGCCTGATCCAGTTTGCGCGGTGAGTTGACCATCTAAAAAAGAAAGTTGTTATGAATAAACAAATGCCTATCGATATCCTAAATACACTTTTATTGATCTAGTAACAATGAATATCAACCCTACGTCTTTAAAATGCAAAATATAACGTAATAGCAATGACAAAGTAATAAAATCTTTTGAATTTCTACACAACAATGTATGTTTGTGTTAAAAATCAGACCAACCAACAAGAAATAATGCAAAATATACCTTTCTAAGCGGAACGAGAAGGATCACGATGAGAATGAAGATAATTGAGCATCCCAACAAGTTCGCCACCATCACGAAAAGCGCTCCAATGTTCAAAACACATCGAATGGATCGTAGTCAATCTAAAATTTAAATAATATTAATAGGGCATTGAATCACTAAAAACATTTGTTATTTATTTCGCAGAAAGTTCCGATAACTTTGTACTAGTTTTCAAGAGAAGATTCAGGGCTATCGAATGATTAAAATAGTCTAGTTTATCTTTGAATCTTCACCAAGTTATCAGTAAAAACAGTTAACGACTACGCCATTGTACGACCAAAGTGCCGTCATCGCGAATGTGTTGAAAACATTTTTAAGCTACTTTATGTGAAAACAGCGCTTTCTAGATCGATCTGTAAACAGTGCAAATGTTTGTCAAAACTTTCACAACTGTTGCATCGCTAAAGCTAGTCAACTTTTACTTTAATATCCCAATGTGTAAGTTTTTTTAAAGATAAGCTTCAAGTACACTGTGGTGCAAAAGTCCTGTCCCACTTACTTTTCTGAAACATTTGTCAAAATTCTAAAATTTTTCGAAAACAACTTTTTAAGTAAAGGGATTTTTCTGAACCCTAAGTTGTAAGCTTTCATATAAACAAGTTCTTAGATTTTAAAAATTTATTACCTGAAAGAAAATAACAAATAAAGTTTAACACCAAAAAATATATAGTGCAAAAGTCTTGTCCCACCATTAAAAAAGGAAAGCTAGATTAATATTTAGTCGGTTCTCCTTTAGCCAAAATCACTGATTGAATACGTTGAGGCATTGAGTCGACCAAATCACGTCGAATTCCCGAAGAAATTTGTCGCCAAACGTTTCTGATAAAGAACCAAAGCTCGACCTTTGTGTTGAATATCTTGCCCCTGAGTTTAGTCTTTAAATGAGCCCAAAGATGCTCTATAACATTCAAATCCGGCGAATAAGGAGGCACTTTGATCAATTCTACACGATAAGCAGCAAAAACGCCGGGTAGGCGAACTCTTCCTCCATTTGCAAGCCGGACAACTCGGCCCATCATTAGCTGACTTTTGTGGCATGGAGCGTTGTCTTGATATAAGGCCCATCCTTGTGGCATGTTCGTGTTTGCAAATGGAAGTAAGTTGTTCTCTATGATTGACTTGTACCTTTGAGCGTCGAGATTTTCATCGATAAACACTAGCGGTCCCGATACACTTCGATTCATCGAGCCTAAAAAAGAAAAATCGTAAGTAAAAAATAGGGCGAACACTTACCCCTCAACATAATGCTCCCACCACCGAATTTCACCGTTGGCTTAACGTATTTGAGTTTATAACCTTGTCCAATTGGTCTTCTGATTAAATGGTTACCGTCCGGGTAGTATAAATTAATTCTAGTCTCATCGGTAAAAATGACTCGGGCCCAGTCATCGGAAGTCCAACACTCGTAGTTCTTTGCAAAATCATATCTCAGCTTCTGAGTTTTTGCAATGGTCAAGGGTCGTTTTGCTGGTCATCTTGCATGCAATCCTGCTCGAATCAAGCGACGGTTGATGCTGCTCCATCGAGAAATATTTTTGTTAGACGTGGCCTTCAATTTATTCTTCATGATTCCATGGCTCGAAGTCAGATTCGGGTCGATTTTATGGTCAATGATAAGTGCTCGATCTTCAGTTTTTGTTGTAATCGGTGGACGACCACTTTTCGAAGCTCTGTGAAGACTTTGGCCTTCTTCCGATTTTGCTGCTAGCCGATTCACCGTCCTTTTATTGCATTTGAAGAGCATCGCAATAGACGGTGATGCATCCATATTAAATATCCATATTTCTTTGCTTGCACGATCTTTTGCTTATCAGGAGTTGATAAATATTTGCGTGTCGACATCTAAAAATAAAAATATAGTACAAAAAAATTCATGAGAACAAACAAAGGCAAAGAGAAAATACAAATTTTCTTAGTGAGACAAGACTTTTGCACCACCTTTTTTTCTCAAGTTTTACGAAAAAAAGGGTTTTAAAAAACAACAAAATATTGGAGTACGGGCATTTACATAGTAAAAGATGAAGGGATAAGCTAATAAAAAAACCCGTTACTTAAAAAGTTGTTTTCGAAAAATTTTAGAATTTTGACAAAATGTTTCAGAAAAGTAAGTGAGACAGGACTTTTGCACCACAGTGTATACTCTGTTTACAATACGATAGGTAACAGCAAAAATTTTTTAAAAAGCAGCAAAAAAGCAAACAACCCACCATCGGTATGCTCGTCGTGATATTTGTAAGCATTCCCTTTGTCGTGTGAATTGGGCTAGTCATCAGAATCGCCGTGTTTGTTGGAGCTATCATTGTTAAACCAATCCTTGGCGCCATTCCGATCGACGAATAGAGAAAAATTTAAATGAAACGAGAGCGCCTGTTTTTGCTAAATTAACTTTATCGTCCTTATCTTTATCGCCAAAAACTGTCGCCATAACTCTCGTTTTTATCATTTTTGCGCATTCACATCGCATTCACATTTCAATTATCTTCCTCTCTTCAAAAATCCGATCAAAATCATATTTATTCTTTGGAGGCATTTATGTAACTACACGAGTTCTCTTCACACGACTCGCGTATGCTCCAACTTGTCTACATTTTTATTTTCTATTGTAATCCCATACGTTTTCGATAGTATAGTATACTTTATAGCAAAAACTTTTATTTAAAACTTTCAAATCAATTTCTTTGTAAGAATGCCCAAATGAGGACGAGAATTGAGGAGATCAGACCTGAAAAAAAGTTGAAAAATGCCTGTAATTGCCATTCAACCGTTCTAACTTTAGCTTTATTGAGTATTTAAAAGATATTCAGTCAATCTTATCGACTGAATACTTATTATACTGTAATGAGCCAAGAGATTGAACTTTTGAGAGCTTTCTCTGATGGCTGAAGTGGTTTAAAGAATGCCCAAACTACCGTAGCCCCACGGATCAAACTCTTACTCAAAGTAGACTCTAATTGGGTTACTGTAACATTTAGAAACCGATTTACGAGTTACGATAGGCTTTATGCTTTAAAAAAATGAGTTGGCGTTGAAAATGAGAAAAGTTTCCAACTCTGGGCTTTAAAATATCATTATGAGCAACTCTACCGTTATTATAAAATGCAAATTTCTTCTCCGATTTGCCAAAAAGATCCGTGTCAGCACACATCTGAATTTTAACATAAAAAACAATTTCTCTTTTTTATCTTTTCTTGTTTTATCCCTCACCGCTTCGGCACCGCCCCATTGGCTTGATGAGAGGTTGGCGGCCACCTAAAAGTTTCTAAACTTTAGAAAAACTTTATTCTACTTTATTGTAAATTTAAACACAAATTCCATTTCTCAATTGTCCAAACAATAAACGAAAACGAATCTGGGTTTCATTTTTTTTTCCACTCTGAGTTTTCTTAAAAACCATTTACCGCTTCAAATTTTTCAAATGGACAATATATTTCAAAATCGCGACACGCTTCGACCATCGGTGTGAACACGGTGAAATTGTCTCCAAAGCCATTGTGATAGACGAACTGAATTGAGGAGTTCATTTGGGAACATGATAAGGCTGGGGTGCTAGATTCTTTCCAAAACCAATTTTTCTCGAGCAGTTCTTCGATATGAAAAAGTAAAAATGAAAATTTCGAATTTTTCATTCTTTAGAAATTTTTATTTTCAAATTTCCTACTCAAATTTGATTAGAATAGCTTAGAAAAAGTCTTTTTTAGACAGAAAAAGGCTCATTAAGTTCTTTCTGAGCCCTTCTTATAGGAGTATTACAGTGAAGTACCCCGTAGAGACGGTGACTTCGGGTCCCGAAAAGTCAGTCTAAAACACATTTTCCTAGGCTTCCACTGTGAAATTTGGATTCTACGTAAAAAATTAGCCCAGAAAAAGTGGTTTTGGAAAGAATATAGTACCCAAATCCCACAAGTACCGGGAACACTTGTTTTTGTGATCAATAATAAAGGAGCAAGTTTGCTGTAGCTTTTGAGTTTGAATTACTTCAGAATTAACTCACTAATGAGATTAATGACACTTAATATCGACGTTTACAGCTAAACTCAAGAGAAAATCTTTTCACTCACCTTCACAAAATCGTTCTTTTTGCTGTCCCGCCAGTGCTCGGTGATGACAGCGGCTGAATAATGTGGATACCCTCCATCAGTGATCACCAATTTCTCCGAGTTCAACGCTGTCAAATACGCGTAAACGGTTGTGTCATGCTGAATTGGAAAATGTTTTTCCCCAAAAAGCTTACTTACTGCTGAGTAGACGAAATATTTGAGTTTACTCATCCATTTTGAGCACAGCGGTAAGCTCTCCAAACAATCGCGCTTTTGCTTGATCTGATCGGTCACTAAAGGAGAAGAAGTTTATCAAGTTTTCAGAAAAAAATCGGTCTGGGCATTACTTTATCATAAATTCATATTTATACAGTGCGTTTCAAATTCTTAAACGCACCCTCTAAAATAGCGAATTTTGCATTTTGTCATAAATTCATAAAGTCATATCATAAATTCATATTTATAGCTGTTTTCTAGACTTTTTTTTTCTTAAATAAATCTATGCGTTTTAAATTGCACCCACAAAGGCCGAGCATCGATCCGGAGCGGATTCGTTGCATCTCTTTCGACACATCAAAACCATTTACTGGGGAAAGATCTAAATTCCTAATATTATATTTTAAAATTACAATCAATTCCTGGCTACAGTATGCCGCTGAATGTTTGTTTAAATGAAACTGTTTAAATGAAAAGAAAAAGTTCAATCAAAAGTAATTGAGGCATATACACTGAAGTGAAACAAGAGACCAAAGTTGACTCATGGTCAAACCAACAGCCTTTGCTGCCTTTGCTTAATAAACTTTGAGCTAAAGAAAAAGTTGCTCTTACTGATTCCATTCACAAAGTCTTGTGCCTGTTGATTGAGTTTGAAGGCTAGATTGTACAAATCATCCGTCATCCATCCCGGATTCGAAATGTTGTAGGCTCTCTGGAAAAAGTAGAAATACCAATGACTTCGTAATACCTACAGACATTAATAAAGAAGTAAAGGAATTGACAAGAAAAAGTAGATTTCCGAAAAGGGGATTGAACCGTCGAACTGCTTTCCTGGCAATTGCTCTAACCACTGAGCTGTTCGGTACCTTAACTTGCCAAGAAAAAGAGGGAAAGACAAGGGGGAAGAAGAAAGGAAGAAATAAAGGAAGGAAGAAAGGAAGGAAGAAAGGAAGGAAGATATACCGTAGCACATTTGCATACTTGGACTTTAGAAAATTTTCAAAATCTCTGAACCTCGATGAAAAACGCGTCGACCACCTCCCAGAGTGAACCCAAATCGTAGGTTTTGTTGCATTGTTGTTTCAAAGTGTCGAACACGAGTTTAGTCTACTCAAAAACATTAAACTCTAAAATGTGACCCAAAATACCGTATTCAGAGCCAACAATGCTTGAATTTCTTTACTCTGCTGAGCAAGATCCCACACTTTGAGTTGACGAGGGCAGATCATGTCCGGATTTCCCCACTAAGAAAAAAAGTTACTTTAACACATTTTGAACGCCGGCATTTCGAGCGTACAGTCGCGTAGTCGTTAACTGTTTTTACTGATAATTTGGTAAAGATTCAAAGATAAACTAGACTATTTTAATCATTCGATAGCCTAGCCTAAACTAGTACCAAGTTACCGGAACTTTTTGCGAAATAAATAACAAAAGTCCTTGGGATAAGATTAGTAACAAGTAATGGTAGTTTTCAAAAGTTGAACGATTCTCTAATCTCCATAATTTCATACATAGTCATAATCATCATTGATTGTGTGAATGGGAATCGGAACGAATCCAGCCGGCCAATTGTAATCCTCGTTTCCCTTCAGCTTTGGCACATCCTCTCCAAGTGTCGCTGAGCCCTGGCCATACATACCTGAATTGGCTCTTCGTATTCGAAATATACTCTTGAAAAGCAGCACTTTTTATGCTAGTTTGCTGTTTGTGGATAAGTGAAGCTGAAGTTAGAAAAGTTCTCGTTTTTTCCTCACTCACCAATTGTATTGCAAACAGCCGACAAAAGCGTTCGATTCACGTCGGTGGACCGGAAGTAAACCTAAAATCAATTAGAAATTATTAATTTTGCTTTTTAATTCTAACCTCATTAGCCCTATATCTCTCGTTCAAGAATCCCGTCTCAACGTATCGTCTTCGAAGCTTTCGACCAAGTTGCACGTGCATTTGCATACCCAGCTGAAAACGAATAAGGGTACTGCATTCAAATTATACTCGTACACATTTGTGTAATGTAGTTTTGGTGAATATATTGTTGATTGAGCTGCTAAACTGTTGGTTTTAAAATAAAGAGTTGTTATCTTAAAAACGCGCATTTATAACTGGACAACCTAATAGTTTTAGGAGCTGAATACAGTTTAGAACTCATTCCACATCATTTAGAGTTTTGATTGAATGCAGAGCACAAACTTTTCCCTTGTCACATTATGCCTTTTTAAGAAACTTATCCACAAAACTGGTTTTAGGTACGTGCCTTTTGCTTCCAAAACGGGATTTAAAATTATTTGTCACTTCTTGATAAAACAATAATTTAAAGAGTTCACTCACCGGTGACAATTGTCCCCATCCTCCACCACCGAAAGTCCATTGCTCTTCTTGTGTTGGATCGGTGGGACATGTTCGTGTCGGTGATCGATCGCCGTGACGCCAAATCTGAACTTTTCAGCCCTCGTATAGAGCTCTACAAGACTAATTTACAGAAATCCATTGAGAATAGAATTCTATAGAATTTTTTTGCAATAAATTTTTGATAAGAGCAAACCCCGATGTATAGAATTAAGTATACAGTCATGTGCAAAAGTCTTTTCACACTCTATTTTCTAAAAAGTTTCATCAATTTTCTTTGATAAAGTTCATGGCGATCTTTAAGCTATTAATAGTTTTAGTTACATATATATATGTACAATTTATTTACACAAACTTTATCGCCATACAACACTTATTCACCGATAAAAATATAATTCTCAAAACACCCTTGAAAATCGTGGTGCAAAAGTTTTTTCAAACTTGCAAAAATTTTTACTATTTTCATTCGCTTCGTATTTACTGGTACTATTTTTTTTTTAGATGCCAGGAGCGTATTTGCCAACTTCCGATAAAGAAAGGATCGTCGAGGCAAGGAAGGAAGGAATGCCACGACAAGTTGCTCGCCTCTTAGGATGTACGCCCACAACAGTTTCTCTTATTATGGCAAAAATGAATGCGTCTGAAAATGTGCACAGATGTAGGAAAAAGGGATGACCGAGGATTACAACAAAGAATGAAGACCGATTCCTTACGAGAGCTTTCAAGAAGGATCCGAATGACCTTGAACGATGGAGTAATTTTTCAAGCAAATTTCAAACAAGAGTATTTCCCGCTGGACTTTGCGTCGATGCTTACTTCAAGCGGCATTATATACTAGAAGACCTGCTTGCAAGCCTATGAGGACAGCCAAACACAGGAGGCAACGCCTTCGAAACCTGTTCAAATTGGACAATCGTTGATGAAAGAAAAGTTGATATTTTTTCTTCGAAACGGAATCTTCTGATCCGACGAATTGGAAAGCGATATCAACTCAAGTACTTGCAACCTACGGTGAAAACAGGCGGAAGATCAATTATGTGTTATGGTAAGGATAATTTTCTTTTTATGTAGCTCAACATGATTTCTTTAGGTGCGATGTGTAAAAGTTCAACAGGTCCGCTTGTCCTCGTAAATTCAACAATGGATTCTCGCCAATATATTGAGATATTGGACATGGACAGATGTCTACTTCCATTTGCGACTGCTTCGATGAATTCAGGATGGTTCTTTATCAAGATAATTCGCCAGTACACAAAAGCAAACTTTTGATGGGCCACGTTGTGACCCTCGGAAGAAAGAAAAGCCCATTTACCGTGATATTTTGGGATCAATCACGTTTCTTTGATCAAAGCTTCACCATTTTCACCGGATTTAAATATTATCGAGAATTTATGGGCCTATTTGAAATCGAAATTGCGAGGAAAACGATTCAATTCTAAAGTCGAGTTATGGTTTTCCATCAGAAAAATTTGGAAGACAATTGAACCTGGAATTCTTGATAAATTAATTGCATCGATGTCTACTCGTATTAAAGAAGTACTTTTGGTAAAAGGAGGAGCGAATAAATATTGTTTAAAGCTTAATTTCGTCTTGAGTGAAAAGACTTTTGCACCACGATTTTCAAGGGTGTTTTGTGAATTATATTTTTTCTCGGTGAATAAGTGTTGTATAGCGATAACGTTTGTGCAAAAAATAAATTGTACATATATTTGTGTAACTAAAACTATTAATTGCTTAAAGATCGCCATGAACTTTATCAAAGAAAATTGATGAAACTTTTTAGAAAATTGAGTGTGAAAAGACTTTTGCACGTGATTGTAGGTAATCAATTCTAGGTTGTAGGTATCAACTATTCAATACATTGCATGAATTGAATGAAAAAGACTTTGCAAGCCAGATCACTTTCCGTTCGACTGCAAGAATAGGATAACTTTTTGCTCAATTCTAGGTATGTGAGAGTTCGATTGGCTAGTCAAGAGACAAAAATAATTAAATTACAAAACGTAAAAATGTTTTGAGAAATTTTTACAAGCTGCACTCACCACTTGCACGAATTGCAGCTCCAAATCGCGATCTTTCGGAATTGGTTCTTGTGCTACCGTAACACCGAAGAAATAAAGTCCACCGAGTAGAATATAAGCCAGCATATTGCTATATTAGTCTCAAAAATTACACGTAGTAAATTCACAGACTAACGGTGAGTGATCCTTTTTTTCCTTGAGTGTTTCCAAATGGCCTTATCACCAGGAAAATTCTATTTCCAATTCTTTGAAAAAAAACGGGTTGCTGATCGCAATTTCAACGATAAAGAAACCAATTTTTTCACTGAATAGCTAGTCATTTTTTGATTGGATGACGATTGAGTGACTTTTGCTGCCTCGTTGATTGAAGATTTTCAGTTCGAGAAAACTAACTCATTCCTAAAAAAAGCAGAAAAAAATTTTTTACTTAAATACAACGAAGCGTTTGGGAAATGAAATTTTGATTTTCTTTTATTGATTTTCCCTTTGTTGCTTCTCCGGCCATCATCCTTCCATTTCTTCCCGGCGAGTTGAAGATTGACGAAGAGACTAAAAATAATAAAATAACAATCAAATGAGATTTCTAGCTTTTATCATTTTCATAACTTTTTGATAGTCGTTGTAAAACCATACAGTAGTAATAAACTTTATTACTACCGTAAATACTCTACTCTAATAGAAGCCTCCCTCCTATAGGAGTGTCGCGTCTAAGTTCACTCTCAAACAAACGCTCACATCTCGCCTATACGATAGGTAACAGCAAAAGTTTTAAAAAAGCAGCAAAAAAGCAAACAACCCACCATCGGCATGCTCGTCGTGATATTTGTAAGCATTCCCTTTGTCGTGTTCATTTTCGTGTGAATTGAGCTAGTCATCAGGATCGCCGTGTTTGTTGGAGCTATCATTGTTAAACCAATCCTTGGCGCCATTCCGATCGACGAGCAGAGAAAAATTTAAATGAAACGAGAGCGTCTGTTTTTGCTAAATTAACTTTAAATATAAATTTTGCCTAATTTGCATTTATCGTCAAAAACTGTCGCAAAAACTGTCGCCAAAACACTCGTTTTTATCATTTTTGCGCATTCACATCCGGTGGGGCAGTGGGATGGATGAAATGAACAATTTTGAAGATCAAAGGTCTCTTGACGGATTTCAATTATCTTCCTCTCTTCAAAAATACGATCAAAATCATATTTATTCTTTGGAAATTCTTATTCAAGTCTGCCAAATGAAAGACTGAAACTGAAAATGAACGCCTTTCAGTGGAAAAATCGAGATTTCCTTCAAGAAAATCCTCTAGAACCTGTTCTTTTCTCGAGCACGGCATTCAAAGCAATGTCACCACCGATATTTTGGTCAAGGATTTTAAGTTTTTTGTTCCGCCAAGATTTCCTACATGAATTTGGTATCTATTCGCTAGATCTTTCTTTTTTTTCTTTTCTTTTCCTGTAGAGTGTTCCAAAACGGAAGGATTCGATTGAGAGAAAAAGCTATGCACAACCACGACGATTCGATCCAGCTGATGGGCGGGATCTTTTCATAAGAACGAATCTCTTCACCATTGCCAATGCTGTGTAAAATTTGCGTTTCCATTTCAATTCTCAAGATTTTCTCTTTCAATTTGACTTTCAACTCCACCCTTTTTGGATTGTAAACGGAATATCTTTTAATTACCCTCAATTTTAAATTGATCAAACCTTTTCTACGGTAAAATCTAAGCTCTTGCACATTCGTTTTCTCGTTTTTTTCAATAAGATAAACATATGAATTCAGTGCGCCAAGAAAGTGAGCGTTTATCGCTGCACAAAGTACAAGGTATTTGGCCATTAGACTAGCTTTTCTCATTCCTTTTCCATTGATTATTTTTCTATTCATAAATCAATCTGATCATTTCTTTTAGCAAATGTTGCTCTATTTATTAAGCCCATTTTTGGTGGCTGCTCTTGTCGAAACTTCCTCGAAAAAGTGAGTGTAATCAAAAATTAAAAGAAGTAATTAAGCTGAAGCGAAACCTTGATCAAGCCGAAGCATTTTTAAAAGTTTCTAGAAGCTACCGTAACCTCTTTTGGTGAAAACTAAGCCTTTAAACGACTTATTCACAATAAAAAATGTTGCAAGATAAAAGCCAAATTTGAAAACTTTCAAAACATTCAAAACTTTCAAAGAATTTTAGCCTCAACCGCCCTTCCCTGAGCGAATTTGGCTATTATGGACCGTTCACGAGTCGATTTTTTTTCAACGATCATCCGGTTTGAGAAAAGAGAACAAAAAACATTTTTTTTACGAGCATTAATATGCCTGAAATTTACAATTTACAGGAAGAAGCGCGGAGAATTGGGGATCGATTCGCTCAATCACAAAAAGTGAAATATTTGACTAGATTTCTGTTTGAAACATTGCGTACTTTGTGCCATGTTAAACTCTCCTTTTGGCGCACTTAATTCCCCGCATCTAAAGGCTGAAAAGAAGATTAAGTGTATTCGTTTTATCGATTTTGATAGAAATTTGTTTTCACTAGTGTACTTTCGACTTTGTACTTTGTAGTCTTTGTAGTGTAGTAAATGTCTGTCTGACGTGCTGAACTCCTCATTTTTGACGAAAAGTGAAGAATCGAGTGCACCAGAAGGCGTGTGTTTTCATTTAAAAAGCACAAAGTACACGTTAAAACCAATCTAGCACTGATTGGGTTTGAAAAAAATGAAACTATAAAAGCAGTGCTCATTTTAATGGGTTGTCCAGTTATGAATGCGCGTTTTTTACTATTTTGTCAATTTCTCAAGATACCGAAATCAAGAAAAAGATATATATGAGTATTATTCGAAAGCTGAAGATCTCCTCTACATTTTGATAACAAAAAGTTTTTGAATTTGTTCAGCTTTTGGGCAAATTGACTGCATAGAAGAAGAGGTGGCCAAAAAATGGAAGGGTGCCTTTGGATCAAGTTTTGGCTTCGCTCAAATTGAGTTAACCGTTTGATGTTTGGTCAATAGATATATCAATACAACTTTTTTTAAATATAACAATTTCAGAGCATCTTTACTTTTCTTTTCTTTTCTGGGCGGTTATTTTACACCATAAAACTTGAGGAATAGCTAAGCTGGAATGGGTTTTTTTTTTTGGAAAACGACCTCTCCCTTTGTGCAGTCAATTTCCCAAAAAGTTGAGTGAATTCAAAAACTTTTTTATTCCAAAATGTAGAGGAGATCTTCAGCTTTCGAATGATATATAACACTCATATGCATCTGTTCGATGTCTTGAGAAATTTACAAAATAGTAAAAACGCGCATTCATAACTGGACAACCCAACATTTTAAAGCTTTTAGCCAACCGAAAAGATTTCGCCACTGCGCAGAAAACGCTCGACCGATGATTTAGGAAATGGGTAAACATGTTTGAATAAATATTCTCATTACTGTATTTTATATTATTTGTTATTATTAGATATTATATATTCTGTAGACTTTTCCATATACTTTCCCAAAATTCCCTTTAGTTCCTCGAGTTTCCTGAATAATTTGATCAAGGGAGAATCAAGTGATCGTGAGAAACATGTGGAGTGGGTTTTTTTTTAATAAAAATATCAAGATAGATTATTTTTCAAATTATTTATCAGTTATCTAAATTTTAGAGATGATCCAAGTGATACGGATTTGTTGATGTTGCTGGCAGAGTACTCAAAAATGAGAAATCGTTTGAGGGCACTTGAGAGACATTTAGAGAGAAGCTCGCTGTTGAAAGATTTTGATGAGGTTCTTTGGCAAGAGGATACAATAAATCTAAAGCATACAATAAAGCTAGAGCAATAAAAATAGCTTAGAATAGTATAATAAAGCTTTAAATTACCGGCTAAATTACTGGCTAAATTACTGGCTCAATCCTACAACTTTTAGAAAACAAAGGGTGATGATGAGGAGTCGCTGATCGATTCACTCATGCACTTGCAGAAGAAAACGCACAACACAAAGAAAACGTGAGTTTTGAAGAGTTGTTCTTTTTTGTTTTGGAGTGAGTTTTGAAGACGAATTGTTTGTCTGTCAAACTACCGTAAATATTGTAATAGTACCCCACTCTCATAATGACAGTGCGGAGTGTTGCGTAGTCTAGCTTTGAGCGCGTTTTTCTCGACACTGGTTTATGCTACAATGTGTGCTTGGGTATCAAAAAATAGCTGAAATTCAGGGCTATTTTTTGATATTAAAGACCCATTTTTTTGAAAGTACGGGTGCTTTGAAAAAAATGAAATACTAAAAAACTCGACTACGCGACTGTACGACGGGGTGGGGTACTATTACAGTATTTACAGTAGTTGATTTGGCAACATTACGATTTTTAGAACTGAAACAACGGAACCGGAAAAGTTCACCACTGATCCATCGATCGGCTTCAATCATCGAACTGAGCCAGTCACTGAACAACCACAAATGTCGGGCGGAGAAGCGGAATTGGCGAGAATCTTGGAGACCGGGGTGAGTTGCAAACAAAGCATTCAAAGCTGACTGCTTTCAGAAACAGACCTCTTTCCTTCCATCACTTTCCGATCCGTCAATGCTATCAACTGATGGAGAGTCAATGTTTGAGGATATCACCGCACCAGAGAACCCACCAATCACTGGAGACACATTTGAACAGATTTTGCTCGGTGACACGATGACCCCTGAAATGACAACCACCACGACAACTGAGGTAATTGGATTTACTGAATTCGTTTCTATTCAACCCCTAGTTTTAGTGTTGAATGACGGTTTTGGTAAATGATTTTGCAAATGAAAGAATTTAGGCAACGACAACGACAACAGAGCCAACAACACGAAGGACTTCAACGAGAAGCTCAAATTCTCAGCATCCTCGAGTCCCGAAATCCCCACCAACTGTCGTTTGGACATACAACCCAGAAGCTAGACCTATTGTAAGTTGAAATGTGAAAGGAAATTGGTTAAAGATCAGTCTAATAAGCTAATTTAGATAAAAAACTGTTGAATTACTCTAATAATACTCTAATAAAAGCCTCCCTCCTATTGGAGTGTCGCGTCTAAGTTCACTCTCAAACAAACGCTCATATCTCGCCACAAGTACGTTAGTTTCTGCGCACTTAGGTATCAAATTAAAGTAGAGAAAATGGGTGATTTTTTGAGATATAACACAGATTTCTAGCATTAACCAGTGCTTAGAAAAAAATATTGAAAAGTGGCAAAAAAAAGCCGATTTTTCATCATTTTTCAAGATTTTTTTCTAAGCACTGGTTAATGCTAGAAATCTGTGTTATATCTCAAAAGATTACCCATTTTCTCTACTTTAATTTGATACTTAAGTGCGCAGAAACAAACGTCGGGGCGCTGAGATATGAGCGGTTCTTTGAGTGATGCTTCTATAGACTAAACTTAGACTACGTGACGCTCCTATGGAGGCTTCTATGGAGGCTTCTATGGAGGCTGTTAGAGTCCTTACGGTAATCAATATTAATATTCAGATGATTGGCTTCAAGGCTAATGAAAAAAGTTCGATGAGTATGGATTATGATTTGGAGAGCAGCACAACGACAGCCGAGCCAACAACGCCAACAACGACAACGACGACAACAGAACAATCAACGACAAGACACCGGAAAGCTCACCGGAAAGCAAAAACGCATCACGTTGAAAAGCCGGTACCCTTGCCCACAATGAGCGATTATGTGCCGATTGTTGTCGGACCAAAAGGAGAACCGATTATACTACCACATTATATCGCTGAACCGTTGACAACATATCGCCCAACTACGGCAAAGACTCAACGCGTGTTTGGACGAGGCGATGAAATGGAGGCTTGGATTAAAAATAGATTACGGTAACCTGTAAAAGTAGATTGAAAACTCTAATTTATCAAACCAATACCTTTCGTACCACCCTTACTACAGTTCTTGCCCAATCTATACTTTTTTGTTCTTCAATAGGCTTTGCGAATCCTTACCGAATCAGCCAAAAGTTAAATAGATTGAATAAAAGTTAGAGGCAAGATTACGATAGTTTTGGAAAGTTGAAGAGTAGAGAAAAGCTTAAGCACTACAAACCTCTGCTCGTACTCTGTGCTTTATAAACGTGTGTTTTCTGGCACACCAGGCTCATTGTAAAGCTTGAGAATCTCGTGATCTAGATAGATTAGTCGAGAATCCGTTTAGAGTAACAGATCTTTTGGAAATGCTTTACAAATAACAGTAAAATCAAGCGAAATAATATAGCTAAACAATAAAAGGCACTGTTTTAAACCCTTTCTTTTCCCTTCGCCTTCGTTCCTCGGTAGTATAGTGGTTAGTATCCGCGTCTGTCACATGCGAGACCCGGGTTCAATTCCCGGCCGGGGAGAATGCTTTTGCCTTTTTGGAAATCTTTAAAGCAATTCTTCTAAAATGGTTTAAAATGGTTTTGTGCTCCCACAAACGTGTGCTTTCTGGCACACTAGGCCCATTGTAAAGCTTGAGAATCTCGTGATCTAGATAGACTAGACAACGTTCCAGGCGTTGAAAATCGATTCCTGTTCTGGTAAGGCTTAGACTTTTGAATGAAAAGTGAAGTTTTTCCCCTCCCCTCCATTCCTCGGTAGTATAGTGGTTAGTATCCGCGTCTGTCACATGCGAGACCCGGGTTCAATTCCCGGCCGGGGAGAATGTTTTTGCTTTTTTGCAAATCTTTAAAGTAATCCTTCTAAAATGGTTTAAAATGGTTTTCTAAGAGAAAAGAATTAAAAATTTAGTATTCAAACAAAAGAATACTCAGCTTTCTGGATCTAAATTGAGATTGAAGTTTAATTGAAATGCCTTTTAGCCAACAAAGCACTGATTTCGATTCCCCAATTCCGCCAACCGCTCCCCCAACGATCACTCCAACAACCAAGCCAACAACAACAGAAAAATTGAAAAACAATCGATCAAATAAAAAGAAAGATGATGTAAGGAAATACTAGAAGTTAAAATAATAAGAATGTTAAGAATATCAAGGATTCCGAGTACTCAGAGGAATATTATGAGGATGACAGTGAAGAGGAAACGAAAGCCAAGGTGAGAGAGCTTGGGTGAATTAGTAAAAGAAAATTTAGAGCACACCGCCATCACAACTCCTACAATATGTAAGCATCAATGGAGGTGAAGATTTAAATTCAATTTTATATACAAATCATTCAGGCCCACCGGTGCTTCGCTCGGTGAGCAGCTCAGCGCATTCTCGACCGCAACCTTCTTCCTCCTACACTCCACTCACATTTGGGTCAAATGGGTGAGTGAAGAAAATTGCAGCCAAGCTTGTCAAGCCTAAGCGCAATCTTTCTGGTGCACTCAATTCTATCATAACAGCAACAATTGAGGACAACTTCAAATCATGAAAATGCACCAGAAAGCATGCGTTTTCACTTTTTGACACAAAATACAATTTGACTAGAAAGCTTATTGTTAAATTAGAATTGAAAACAATTTTGAAAGAAAACTCTAACATTTTCCAGAGCGATCCCCTACCTTTCTTCTCGACTTCCACTCGATTCTCGATATTCGGGAATTTCAATGAATCCTTCTCCGTATCAAGCTTTCTATATGCCGATGAAAAAGAAACTTTAGAAGATTTTATTGCTTCAAAACTTGTTTCATTGCTCAATTTATCAATCTTTTTCTTTGAGCTTTTCCCTGCATTTCTTTACCTCATCACTTTTCAATATTTTTCATTTTCTGTGCAATCAATCAAACACGAAACGGGTTGGAAATAAAATTTTTGAGAAATTCTTGCGTTGAATTGAATCATTTCACTTCACTCTGTGACGTCGATCCCGTTTTTAAGCAACCAGTGCAACTGAAATTCGACTGATTAGCTTTGATCTAGTAGTAGACAGACTAGGTCCCTAATCCCTGACAATCCCCTAGCTAAGCTAGGCATTGCTAGAAGCCAAACCTAGATCTGACTTCTGAACGGCTTTGACTTGACCGCCACATTGTTCCAACTCTTACAAGGAACTGGTTCGAGCTCACGGTGAAATCTCAATATGCGATATAGTAGATCTTGTCGAGATTGGAAAGACGAGTCAAATCATGTAAAAATTAGGGCCTTATTAGCATTGTAAACGCACTAAAATGGCTTACAAGTTTTTGCTATATAGTCTTAAGGCGTTTTCAAAGATCTAGTTGATATGGCTTGGCGGTCTAGTGGTTAGTGCAATGGTTTATCAAGAAAAGGTCAGAGGTTCAATTCCTTTTAGAGTTTCTCATAGTAATGGCATAAGATCGATCTAGAGAGTAAAAAGCCCAAAGGGGGACAAAAAAATCACTGTTTTTGGGGGGTTTGTATAGGTATTTAAATGTGTTTTCTGATTGAAAACAGTGAGAGTGAAAATTGTGAAGTGGAAAACTGAAAAAGTCTGGTTAGAAATTGGGGAAAAGTGATTTTCATAAGTGGCAAATTTGGCGCAAAGGTTTTTCGGGTAAAAACAAACGCAGCAGCACCTCCGATTTCCTACACCCACCTCAAGATCTCCCTCGATCCTGACTCGACTCAACGCCCAACTCTTTTCTCGATGTCGAAAATCGCAAAAATGACGTCCGTTGAAGAAAATCTCCAACTGATCAGAATTGTTGAAAATCGTGAGATCGAAACTATAAATAGGAGATTTTCGTTGTGTTTTTTCGTTGCTTTTTCGTCGTTACATCTTTCCAGCATCGATCGGCATTCCGCCATCTCTTTCCTCGTTTTGCCATTCTCCAAAATAAAATGAATTGCGCACAATTGCTCCCTCATCGAAACGAATCGAAAGCTAGAATGTAAAAATTCAAATTTCAATTTCAAAGCTAACGTTAAACTTGAAAAGATCGATTCCCGGTATGATCCAGAAAGTCTATGTCGATTCGCCTTGCTTAAACGTAAAACTTTACTTGAATTAAAGTTTGTTGTACCTCTTAAAGTGGATGAAGAGCTTGAAGTGATATTTGTATTGTTGATGTAGCCATCGAACGATGAGCTAAAAATCAGGGATTTCTCTAGTGACTCGTGGCTTTGTCGGGTAATTTTTGAATCAGAGTCAGAGCTTTTCACTTAAAGTGATTGCCACTAAGCAAAATGTTAAATTCAACACTTAAATTTATAATTTATTCAAAGAAAAAAAGAATTACCTCATTAAATAAGCGTTTTTCGAAGAAATGTCTGTGAAATATCGAGTTTGCGGTGATCGGGAGTGTGCAGAAGGCGCACGATTTTCAACTTCGGCTAATCTCGATGTCGTCGGTGGTTTTCTGAAAATTTCGGAATAGATATAGATACTTTATTCAGGACCTGAGATAAAGTGCGCTAGATTTAACATTAAAACGCATCAATTCATACACATAACACGAAAAGGGCCGATAAAAAGAAACACCATATACGATAATGAATGTAATATATGGGTAGCACAGATAACGTCAAGGATCCACTAGAGCTTCAAGATCAAGATCAAGATCATCTACAGATAATTTAAAGGCTTCGAGACTATTGGACTCTCTCAAAACTCTGGGGGGTCGATTCCAAATTCTGGCAGTTCTTATTAGAAAAGAGTTATAAACAAACTTATTAGAGGTGACTGGAATTTCTAAAACTAAGAATTTCTAACGAAAGAACCTCTCCTTGAACTAACCATGGGATTAACTTTGAATAAATCTAAATTAATTTTGAATAAATTTGAGCAACAAATCCTAAAATCTATTAATTCAGAAAACTTAGAATACTCTTTGTTTGAGTTTCTTTTTTAAACTTTAGAAGAAACGAACCTGATTACCGGTTTCCCCCCAGCGCCCATGCCGATCACTCCAAATTTTCGACGCATTCGTCGTCGATGGGTTTTTTCTAAAAGTTTATCTTGCAGAATTGACTTTTCAAAATTATTTTTAATATAATTTGATATTGTTTTTTGTTTTGTTTTTGTTTTTGGAGTTGAAACTGTTTTTGAAATTTTGAAATTGAAATTGAAATTGGAATTAAAATTGAAATTAAATTTTAAGTTTGGGTTGCGACCTTTAACCTTATCAACGAGGATGATTCTGCTTAAGAATGGCCGAATAGCACAAAAGCTTAAAAGGGTTTCCCCAAAAGCGCTTACAACGTAACAAGAACACGTAGTATCCAACAATAGATTAATACTCTTGAGAAGAGTACAGATCGGTTTGATACTACGTCGATGGTGACACAAATGTTAGTAAAACCAGTTATCTAAACAGGATTTAAAACCTGAAGGGTAGCATAAAGTAAAGTGAATTTATGACGTTACTGTTTAACCGAACGTTTAAAGTACACAACCGAAATGCAACAATACCCATTACAAAAACAGCATGTGCATCAAAAATGAAACAAAAAAGTCCCCCGAGAGGGAAGGCAAAAAAACCCGCAGAATGATTAAAATTGAAATTAAAATTGAAATTGAAATAGAAAAGTTCTTCATACCGAAACTTTTCGGCAATCCGGCGAGATCGATTCGCGGTGTTTGATTGGGGAAAAAGTCGACTTTTGCCTCAAAAGGAACCTCGTTCTCTTCACCGTAAAGTCTAAAAAGAAAGCTATAGTTTTATGGTTTAAAAATGAAATCTTGTTTACTTAAACAAGCGTAGGCTTTCCACGTGCCCCAAGAGCGCCACTTTTCTGATCTGAAAAAGTTTTCACAATGAGAAAATTTTATATTTTTTTACATCGAAATTGTCGGGAGCTGTGAAATGACCCATCGGTTTTTGATTGGCAAAAATCTAAACAAGCATAGCTTTTCTTTAATATTCAAAATCAAAAGCTTTCCTTCAAAATTCCAAACCTCAATCGCTCCCTTCAAAAAGCGCAATCGTAAATCGAAATCTCGATCGGCCTGAATCTTTTGATTCGAAACATTTTTAATCTTTTAAATTTTAACAGTTTTCTTTACAAATTAAACGTTTTTTTAGCATAGCCAAGTGAATTTATAAAAATTATTTGCTTTCTAAACGTATTAAACAAGAGAAATGCTAGTACTGGTTGAAGTACTGGTTGATTTTGTACGTTTACCTCCTGTTTTCCCTCCAAAACTAGCTTCCGTTTATGTTAACTTAGTTAATAATGGTATGCTAATTTTCGAGAACGTAAAAAGGTTAATTTTTCCAGTAAATGCTTTAACTCTAGTTGTAAGGCTGAACTGCTTTAAAGATTTGCAAAAAAGCAAAAACATTCTCCCCGGCCGGGAATTGAACCCGGGTCTCGCATGTGACAGACGCGGATACTAACCACTATACTACCGAGGAACGGAGGCTAAGGGAAAAGAAAGGGTTTTAAAGAGTGCTTTTTATTGTTTAGCTATATTGTTTAACTTGGATTTTACTGTTATTTGTAAAGCATTTCCAAAAGATCTGTTACTCTAAACGGATTCTCGACTAATCTTTCTAGATCACGAGATTCTCAAGCTTTACGATGAGCCTGGTGTCCAGAAAACACACGTTTATAAAAGCACAGAGTACGAGCAGAGGTTTGTCGTGCTTAAACTTTTCTCTAATCTGCAACTTTCAAAAACTATCGTAATCGTGCCTCTAACTTTTATTCAATCTATTTTAACTTTTGGCTGATTCTGTAAGGATTCGCAAAGACTATTGAAGAACAAAAAAGTATAGATTGGGCAAAGGAAAGGGTTTTAAAGAGTGCTTTTTATTGTTTAGCTATATTGTTTAACATGGATTTTACTGTTATTTGTAAAGCATTTCCAAAAGATCTGTTACTCTAAACGGATTCTCGACATTCCATCTCGATTTCGGTCCATTTTCGTCCAAAACAATATACTTAAGGAGTGGAATTGGTGTGGCTAAAAGTTGCCTTTTTCATTTTGAAATCATCAACTCACTCAAGAAATTCAGACAAATTTGCAGAACCGGCGATCGATCGGTGCTCAAGTTTAAACAAAATCTGAAACATTTTCCATGAAAAACAAAGCTTTTTCACACGTACTCGTACGGATTTGGAGCCACTTTGCCGAGCAAATGCAAAACTTCGCCGACTTTCACCGGCCGAATCAAATAGCGTTTATACGGTTGATCATACGTGGGGTATTCCATGAAACCTTTACCCTAAAAGAGAAAATTTTGTAAATATGTGTCCTTTAAATCATTTTTAGAAGCATTGCTTTAGAGATTTGCAAAAAAGCAAAAACATTCTCCCCGGCCGGGAATTGAACCCGGGTCTCGCATGTGACAGACGCGGATACTAACCACTATACTACCGAGGAATCGAGGCCAAGGGAAAAACTTCACTTTTCATTCAAAAGTCTAAGCCTTACAAGAGCAGGAATTGATTTTCAACGTCTGGAACGTTGTCTAGTCTATCTAGAGCACAAGATTCTCAAGCTCTACAATGAGCCTAGTGTGCCAGAAAGCACACGTTTGTGGAAGCACAAAATCATTTTAAACCATTTTAGAAGCATTGCTTTAAAGATTTGCCAAAAAGCAAAAACATTCTCCCCGGCCGGGAATTGAACCCGGGTCTCGCATGTGACAGACGCGGATACTAACCACTATACTACCGAGGAATCGAGGCAAGGGGGAAGGGGAAGGCTTTTAAAGAGTGCTTTCGAATTCAGAACAAACTTTCAAAAGAATCCTTTTTTCATTGAGAAAAGCGATGATTGTTCCCTTTGATGGAGATGATCTCAAAAACCAAAAGATCACGATGAAAATTCCCAACGTCACTAAATAATCTGAATATTTTTCTGAAGAAAAATTTCAACCTACACGGCAACAAAGAGAATAGAGAAAGATTTAACCGCATTGTGCTGACCTTTTTGCTTCTAAAGCTTAAGCTTTGATAGATTTTCGTAAAAAATAACTTCCACTTACATCGTTTTTGATTCCAATGAGGGCAAGTATTGAATTTCCATACTCTCCATTAGAAAGTGGAAAGTTTAGCAAATAGGCGTTTCTCTTGAATAAAACGCTTTCCAAAAAAAGACCTATTTTAGAAAAAAACCTTAATCAAACTGAGATTTTGCATTCAATTAGCTCAACTTTGAAATCATTTACTGAGGATTCACAAGGATCAGTTAAAAATATTAAAATTAGGCTGATCGAATATAAACAGATCGATATAGACAGAAATAGACGGTTTTATTACGGTAGTTTTCTAAATAGATGCTTTAGTAGAAAATATTATTCCAAGTTATCTAAGAATAATATTTGTGACATTTTGAAAGAGATATTTTTGAGGGTTTTTCATCGGAAGAGGATATGGAATGTTTAAGTGAAGAAAAAATAGGGGAAAGAGCTCTCATGGAATCATTTTTCTACCTCAACTTTTTTCCTCACTCACTCATCAGATTTCTCTTTCTACTCATTTTTCTTCAACACATTCGAGTACTCGGGTTTCTTTCAACTAAGTGTCGGAACTAAGTGTCGGTCAACATCACAATTGCTGGATCCTTCGCTTTCGGCAATGGATCAGCAGCCGGCGTCTTCTTTGCTTTGACATTCTTCCTGATTCCAACGAAGACTTCTTTTGCCCACTCGTCAATATAGGCACAGTCTTGCAAACGTAATTTTCATTTCCGGAGCCATAGATTTCACATAGGTCGACCTGAAGTTCAGGGAAGAGCTTGGTTAGCCTTTGGTACACCGTCTTGAAGGACTTTGAGCTGACGGGGAAGTGGAGCTTCTCGGAGTTCACGAAGGCATAATCGTATCCGGCTAGCGTTCTCACACTTGGTGATCCAAAAAAGAGATCTCCTCTGGCACTTTTGCATTCAATTAGCTCAACTTTGGTATCATTTGCCAAAGATTCACAAAAATCAAAACAAAATCAGTCAAAGATTCCAAAATTGAGCTGATCGACTGTTGAAAGAAACAGACGGTTTGATTACGGTAGTTTTCTAAATTGACGCAGTTTGCCAAGTATTATTCCAAGTTATCTAAGAATAATATTTTATACGACATTTTGAAATAGAGATATTTTTGGGGTTTTTCATCGGAAGAGGATATGGAATGTTTAAGTGAAGAAAGATAGGGGAAAGAGTTCTCATCGAATCACTTTTCTACCTCAACTTTTCTCTTCGCACACTTATCAGATTTCTCTTTCTACTCATTTTTCTTTAACACATTCGAGTACTCGGGTTTCTTTCATGATTAGAGTTTCATGTGATTTTGAGAAGAAAATTTGCACCCTTAAAATCAGATCATTGTTACTTTAAAATTAGACAAAAGTGTGCTTTCTTGAACAGCCAATTCAGATTGGATAAATATTTATTTGAAAAATGACTTAAGAAATGGCTAGTCGGATTCTCGTTCTCCATGAATTCTCAGCAAATCCTCGAACATCGCTCGACATTTCTCCACGCAAACCGATTTAATCTTTTCTTTCGCCGTTTCGTCTTGGATCTAAAAATTGGGACCAAGTCAAAGGTGAAGATATTCAGTTGACGAGTAAAGAAACAATGATTCGGAATTCATAAAATCCACCTTTAAAACAGCGTACTGACAAACGGGTCCAAACATTGCCGAATTGATCAGCCCGTTCATCGGGAAAACGCCCCGATAATTGGCTTTCAGCTAAACAAAATTCTTTATCTAAATCTGCATAAAGGCCGTTATTCATTAGTTAAATGACATAAAAATGAACTTTTCATTTTAATCAGTTAGCTTTGAAAAACGTATTGTTAGTTTCTCACCTGCTCGAGAGTGAATGGCATCTCTTTCCCATCCAAAGCCTCTTCGAAATAACCGTGATACTTTTCAAGTAGATAATTTTCACTTATTAGACAAAAGTTTGCTTTCTTGAACAGCCAATTCAGATTAGATAAATATTTATTTGAAAAATGATTTAAGAAATGGCTAGTCGGATTCTTGTTCTCCAAAAATTGCCATAAAATGAAAACTTTGTACTGGTATCGTGGTGTCAGGTTAAAGTTAATATAAAAATAAGACTATAAACTAAGACTTTTAGCCAAACACTTTATTCATCTACATTATATGATAATCTGTCATACAAAAGAGATTTTCAACTCGCCTTTTTTTAAAGAAGTGTTCCGTTTTTCCAAGAAAACGCCGATCAATAAAGTGGATGGGTAAAATTTGTAGTTAAGTTAAAAGTTTTAATTTTATGGCAAAAGTCTCATGGTGGTGGTGGCCATGGTGGTGGTGGCCATGGTGGTGGTGGCCATGGTGGTGGTGGCCATGGTGGTGGTGGCCATGGTGGTGGTGGCCATGGTGGTGGTGGTGGCCATGGTGGTGGTGGTGGCCATGGTGGTGGTGGTGGCCATGGTGGTGGTGGTGGCCATGGTGGTGGTGGTGGCCATGGTGGTGGTGGTGGCCATGGTGGTGGTGGTGGCCATGGTGGTGGTGGTGGCCATGGTGGTGGTGGTGGCCATGGTGGTGGTGGTGGCCATGGTGGTGGTGGTGGCCATGGTGGTGGTGGTGGCCATGGTGGTGGTGGTGGCCATGGTGGTGGTGGTGGCCATGGTGGTGGTGGTGGCCATGGTGGTGGTGGTGGCCATGGTGGTGGTGGTGGCCATGGTGGTGGTGGTGGCCATGGTGGTGGTGGTGGCCATGGTGGTGGTGGTGGCCATGGTGGTGGTGGTGGCCATGGTGGTGGTGGTGGCCATGGTGGTGGTGGTGGCCATGGTGGTGGTGGTGGCCATGGTGGTGGTGGCAATGGTGGTGGTGGCCATGGTGGTGGTGGTGGCCATGGTGGTGGTGGTGGCCATGGTGGTGGTGGTGGCCATGGTGGTGGTGGCAATGGTGGTGGTGGCCATGGTGGTGGTGGTGGCCATGGTGGTGGTGGTGGCCATGGTGGTGGTGGCAATGGTGGTGGTGGCCATGGTGGTGGTGGTGGCCATGGTGGTGGTGGTGGCCATGGTGGTGGTGGCCATGGTGGTGGTGGTGGCCATGGTGGTGGTGGTGGCCATGGTGGTGGTGGTGGCCATGGTGGTGGTGGTGGCCATGGTGGTGGTGGCAATGGTGGTGGTGGCCATGGTGGCGGTGGTGGCAATGGTGGTGGCAATGGTGGTGGTGGCCATGGTGGTGGTGGTGGCCATGGTGGTGGTGGCCATGGTGGTGGTGGCCATGGTGGTGGTGGTGGCCATGGTGGTGGTGGTGGCCATGGTGGTGGTGGTGGCCATGGTGGTGGTGGTGGCCATGGTGGTGGTGGTGGCCATGGTGGTGGTGGTGGCCATGGTGGTGGTGGTGGCCATGGTGGTGGTGGTGGCAATGGTGGTGGTGGCCATGGTGGTGGTGGTGGCCATGGTGGTGGTGGTGGCCATGGTGGTGGTGGTGGCCATGGTGGTGGTGGTGGCCATGGTGGTGGTGGTGGCCATGGTGGTGGTGGTGGCCATGGTGGTGGTGGCAATGGTGGTGGTGGTGGCCATGGTGGTGGTGGTGGCAATGGTGGTGGTGGTGGCAATGGTGGTGGTGGTGGCAATGGTGGTGGTGGTGGCCATGGTGGTGGTGGTGGCCATGGTGGTGGTGGTGGCCATGGTGGTGGTGGTGGCCATGGTGGTGGTGGTGGCCATGGTGGTGGTGGTGGCCATGGTGGTGGTGGTGGCCATGGTGGTGGTGGTGGCCATGGTGGTGGTGGTGGCCATGGTGGTGGTGGTGGCCATGGTGGTGGTGGTGGCCATGGTGGTGGTGGTGGCCATGGTGGTGGTGGTGGCCATGGTGGTGGTGGTGGCCATGGTGGTGGTGGTGGTGGCAATGGTGGTGGTGGCCATGGTGGTGGTGGTGGCCATGGTGGTGGTGGTGGCCATGGTGGTGGTGGTGGCCATGGTGGTGGTGGCCATGGTGGTGGTGGCAATGGTGGTGGTGGCCATGGTGGTGGTGGTGGCCATGGTGGTGGTGGTGGCCATGGTGGTGGTGGCCATGGTGGTGGTGGTGGCCATGGTGGTGGTGGTGGCCATGGTGGTGGTGGTGGCCATGGTGGTGGTGGCAATGGTGGTGGTGGTGGCCATGGTGGTGGTGGTGGCCATGGTGGTGGTGGTGGCCATGGTGGTGGTGGTGGCCATGGTGGTGGTGGTGGCCATGGTGGTGGTGGCCATGGTGGTGGTGGTGGCCATGGTGGTGGTGGTGGCCATGGTGGTGGTGGTGGCCATGGTGGTGGTGGTGGCCATGGTGGTGGTGGTGGCCATGGTGGTGGTGGTGGCCATGGTGGTGGTGGTGGCCATGGTGGTGGTGGTGGCCATGGTGGTGGTGGTGGCCATGGTGGTGGTGGTGGCCATGGTGGTGGTGGCCATGGTGGTGGTGGCCATGGTGGTGGTGGTGGCCATGGTGGTGGTGGTGGCCATGGTGGTGGTGGCAATGGTGGTGGTGGTGGCAATGGTGGTGGTGGTGGCCATGGTGGTGGTGGTGGCCATGGTGGTGGTGGTGGCCATGGTGGTGGTGGTGGCCATGGTGGTGGTGGTGGCCATGGTGGTGGTGGTGGCCATGGTGGTGGTGGTGGCCATGGTGGTGGTGGTGGCCATGGTGGTGGTGGTGGCCATGGTGGTGGTGGCCATGGTGGTGGTGGTGGCCATGGTGGTGGTGGTGGCCATGGTGGTGGTGGTGGCCATGGTGGTGGTGGTGGCCATGGTGGTGGTGGCCATGGTGGTGGTGGTGGCCATGGTGGTGGTGGTGGCCATGGTGGTGGTGGCAATGGTGGTGGTGGCCATGGTGGTGGTGGTGGCCATGGTGGTGGTGGTGGCCATGGTGGTGGTGGTGGCCATGGTGGTGGTGGTGGCCATGGTGGTGGTGGTGGCCATGGTGGTGGTGGTGGCCATGGTGGTGGTGGTGGCCATGGTGGTGGTGGTGGCCATGGTGGTGGTGGTGGCCATGGTGGTGGTGGTGGCCATGGTGGTGGTGGTGGCCATGGTGGTGGTGGCCATGGTGGTGGTGGCCATGGTGGTGGTGGTGGCCATGGTGGTGGTGGTGGCCATGGTGGTGGTGGTGGCCATGGTGGTGGTGGTGGCCATGGTGGTGGTGGTGGCCATGGTGGTGGTGGTGGCCATGGTGGTGGTGGTGGCCATGGTGGTGGTGGTGGCCATGGTGGTGGTGGTGGCCATGGTGGGCAGAAATTTCACATATTCGGAGTCATGATATGGTGAAAATCCTGAAAAAACATCAAAATTTAAATTTGACTCGAAGTGGATTTTTTTGTGACACCCTGGATAGGGTATCCGAAAAATACAAAACGTTGTGTTGTTGAGCGAGCACTGATCAAAACAAAAATCTCTGGGCTTTTTTGGGACAACCTACCGTAAATACTGTAATAGTACGCCACCCCCATAATGACGGTGCGGAGTGTTGAGTAGTCTAGCTTTGAACGAGTTTTTCTCGACACTGGATTATGCTACAATGCGCGCTTAGGTATCAAAAAATAGCTGAAATTCAGGGCTATTTTTTGATACCAAAGACGCATTTTTTGAAAGTACGGGCGCTTTGAAAAAATGAAATGCTAAAAAACTTTTGCGACTACGCGACTGTACGAGGGGGGTGGGGTACTATTACAGTATTTACGGTAATAACAAGTCCATTTGAACTAAGCAACTTCCTTTCATATTCGATGAATATAAACGGGAAGTTTCTCTATTAGAAATCGATAAAGCTTTTGAGGACTGCAAGCAGATGTATTGAGGTTAGCCTCTTTTTTCTCTAAAACACCAACTATTCCATGGAAGAGAGGGAACTGGCATAGAAATAAATGGTTCCTCTTGTTTTTGATTAACGATATTTGAATTCAGCTAGATGCCTGACATCAATTGTTGCTATTAAAGCTTAAAGCCACGGTTTGAAATTGCATCGATCGAGAGCAAAGAGCATGTCACAAATTTGATCTATACCTTTTCTGAATTCTCTATTTTTGAGGTTAATCTTCTCTAAAACATTCACTTTCTCTCACTGTTTAGGCTTTGCAAGTTTAGAAGCGCACGATATTCTCTGTTGATGTTGCCTGGTTGGTTCTGCCGAAACGCGTTAAGCGATCAATTGCCGAAACAGCTCTTTAATTGCAGCTTTGGAATCGACTGTTGAGCAGCTTTATTTGACAAGAGACGTGGCTACAGTTTGAACGTGAATCGATTGAGAGCAAAGCGACTTGGATAAGCTCCTCTTTACGTATTCGAGATAAGGCCTCGTCGTCAGCAACATTACAATCGGATAGATGTTGCCATAGGGAACGCCGAAGATCACAAATGAGTAGTTGCAACCTTTGAGATTTCAATTTGTGAAATCATTCGGCACTTACAGAGAGCGAAGATCGGTTTAACGGTCAATAACAACAAAAGGAAAAAGGCGGTGGGGAACAAGCCGAAGCCGAGAGTTGAAATGCTCTGAAAGCTTTATTTTAGCGCTATGGACTCTGGATGAGACAGATTTCTCTGACAAACTAAGCAAAAAGTGACTTTGACCTCTTTTTAAATCGGTTTTATGAGAAATCCGTCTGAAATTTTAGAGAGTAGTCGGGCAAATCGGGGAAATAGATCTAGCAATTGGAGCCAAGTTTGAGCCAAGTCTTACGGTTGTTTAACTTACGGTAAAGCAAGGCTTAGGCCTAGGCTTAGGCCTAGGCCTAGGCTTAGGCTTAGGCTTAGGCTTAGGCTTAGGCTTAGATCTCAGACTTCGACGATCGGAACTTACTTTTTTTAGCCATCTTTTTTTCGAAACACTCTAATGTACCTGAATCAACAACATTTGAAAAGAGGTCCTTTGCGTCAAAAGGACTTTCCTCGAGCTTCGTATCATCGATTTCTTGCTTCTCCACAAGAGCCAATAGGTGCCGAAGATGTAGAATAAAAAGGCGCTGACGTAAAGGATCGCAAGCGGAATCAATGGTGCCGAATACGCCAACGAAAACGCGTTTCTAAGGACATTTGGATGAAAAGTCACGGAGAGGAACAGAGATTTTCTTTCCTTGAATTGTCTGATTTGAATGAACGGTATTCGGACAAACCATCAAAAATCCCTGTTCAAAAGGCACTAGGCAATTATAAATGAGAAGATACACCACCACATGAATTCCAAAAAAAAGTACAGCAGAAACAAGTCTCACTGCATAATCGTAAACTATTTTGAGTTTTCCCAACACCAGTTTCTCAAAGCGGTATTTGAAACATAGAATGTTGGCTCGGAAATCATTGATCACCGAAAGACAAAAAAGGATCTGTAATTAAAAATGTTTTTTGAACTCCATCCGAGAGAACCATTTGAATTTTCGGAGAAAAATCGGCGTCGATATAGGAGAGAATCGAGACAGATGAATGGAGAATCTCCTCGCCCAGAATCGTGAAATACGGTAGATAGAATAGGCCGTTGGCCAAGGTGAAAAGCCAGGCGGCCATCTAAATTATGTAACCGGATTTTGGCTATTCGCTTTCTTCGATCTACCTATCCAATCACTTGCGGCAGCCTTTTGACACCAGCAAAATGTCTTACGTCTGGTTAGTAGCCTTCGAGTAAAGGCTGGAAACAAATTCAAATACCTATTCTTAAGAAGTTTAATAAGTTTCAAAACACTTATGTCTATGTCCATCCAACCAAAAATGTTATCTTTGCAAAAATTTAAATAGGCTTTAAATAGGTGCTTTTCCATTTGTGAAAGTACAAATTTCAAATTGGATTCATACAGCACTTCTATGCATCCCTAGACACCTGCCAGATAAGGCTTTGATCTCAAATGATAAACTACAGACTGATCAACACTTGTAAATGATTCATTTTCTAAATGAAAGCTAAAACAAAAATTTGCCGTTTTTTTATAATATTTTGAAGCTGAAATTCTGATGAATATTTTAAGTAACAAAATTCGCTATTTTAGAGGGTGCGTTTAAGAATTTGAAACGCACTGTATATAGTAAGTCGAATTTCGATCTGGGTTTTAGCTGAAAAATCGAGCTTCTTTTGTAAAGTGTGCGGGAATTTTTTGATCGCCATGTATTAAAAACGAAGTGCAAATTGGTCTTGCAAAGCATTAAACTGTAGAGGCTTGGGGCATTGACTGACTCTGTACGTGGATGCGTATTATGGTCGTTTATTGTATCCCATTCTGTTTAGTATCATGAATTAGACATGAATATTTCGGTGCGATTTTTCCGACCGAAAGCCCACATTTCGGTTTTCAATTCATCCGAAAATTACTTTTTCTAAGGCAAAAATTGTAGCTCTGACTGGGTGCAGCTTCCAAATGCAGCTTCCAGAAACTTTTCCCCACTCACCAGGCTGTCGACGATATGAATTCGATATCCGCGCATCGATTCGGGAGATTTGGTGAAAGCTATGTAGATAAAGAGAGCCGTCTCGAAAGTCGACAGAAACATTAGCAAAAAATTTAGCTCGATTCTATAGGGCAGTAGATCTGTTTGAATCGAAATACTCGCATTCATACTCTGCAGATTGAGCCAAGCGAATTTGGTTGGAGAATCGATGGCAATGCTTTGTGTCCCGTGAGCAGGTGCTTTTCGAATCTTACCCTTATTGAATCGACTGAAGAACGAAGAAGAAAGAAGGTCGAAGTGATGCAAGCTAGCATTTTAGAAAAGAAATTGAGCCTTTTCAGGACCATTTGGCTCAGATTTGCTTTGAATTCTCGATTTTTAGAAGAATTTTCGAAAACTTGGTCAAACCGAGTTGATCTCTAAGACCGACGATTTATGTTGTTACTCAAAATTTTTGGACTTTAACGCTCCAAAAATCTACTATATATAAAAGTGAAGTGTCTGTCTGTCTGTCTGTCCGTCTGTCTGTCCGTCCAATAATATTTGCGACATTTTGAAAGAGAGATATTTTTGGGGTTTTTCATCAGAAGAGGATATGGAATGTTTAAGTGAAGAAAAAAATAGGGGAAAGAGTTCTCATCGAATCACTTTTCTACCCCAACGTTTCTCCTCACTCACTCATCAGATTTCTCTTTCTACTCATTTTTCTTTAACACATTCGAGTACTCGGGTTTCTTTCATGATTAGAGTTTCTTGTGATTTTGAGAAGAAAATTTGCACTTTCAAAATCGAATCGTTGTTACTTTGTCTTTGCTTTAAAATTAGACAAAAGTGTGCTTTCTTGAACAGCCAATTCAGATTGGATAAATATTTATTTGAAAAATGACTTAAGAAATGGCTAGTCGGATTCTCGTTCTCCATGAATTCTCAGCAAATCCTCGAACATCGCTCGACATTTCTCGACGCAAACCGATTTAATCTTTTCTTTCGCCGTTTCATCTTGGATCTAAAAATTGGGATCAAGTCAAAGGTGAAGATATTCAGTTGACGAGTAATGAAACAATAATTCGGAATTCATAAAATCCACCTGTAAAACAGCGTACTGACAAACGGGGCCAAACATTGCCGAATTGATCAGCCCGTTCATCGGGAAAATGCCCCGATAATTGGCTTTCAGCTAAATAAAATTTTTTATCTAAATTTGCACAAAAGCCTTTATTCATTAGTTAAATAACATAAAAATGAACTTTTCATTTAAATCAGTTAGCTTTGAAAAACGTATTGTTAGTTTCCCACCTGCTCGAGAGTGAATGGCATCTCTTTCCCATCCAAAGCCTCTTCGAAATAACCGTGATACTTTTCAAGTAGATAATTTTCACTTAAAAAAGCTCAATTTTCAAATTGGAATCAAATCTAACTATTTTCTCCGATCCGCTCCGGACATTGAAGTGATCAAAAATCGAGCAATGTCTTCGCCCGGTGACCCATGATGGATTATCTGAAAATTGAAGAGAGAGTTTACGAAAAGTCATGCTAAATAACTATATAACTATATAACTATATAACTACCGTAAATACTGTAATAGTGCCCCACCCGCACAATGACGGTGCTGAGTATTGCGTAGTCTAGCTTTGAACGCGTTTTTCTCGACACTGGTTTATGCTACAATGCGCGCTTAGGCAAAAAATAGCTGAAATTCAGGGCTATTTTTTGATACCAAAGACGCATTTTTTGAAAGTACGGGCGCTTGGAAAAAAATGAAATGCTAAAAACCTTTTGCGACTACGCGACTGTACGATGGGGGGTGGGGTCCAATTACAGTATTTACGGTATATAGTGATATAGTTACGGTATATAGTTATATAGCATGGCTATATAACTAACTATTTAAACAGTTATATAGATGTTGAGAAATATTGCTAGTGAACAGACTTCGAAATGATGCCAATTTCAATGCAAAGATCAGACCAGAAATTCTCAAAAACCAGATGAATCAAATTTGATATTCCTCACTAGATTTAACCACCTTTTTTTTCGTCTACTTCCTGACCTGCACTGTGCCCAGTTTTTCCCCAGTTTTCACCTGAAAATCGATCAAACTTCTCAGCGAGTTGTCGGATTTTCTCCAAAGAACATTCGTCGACCAGAGATCACCGTGAGCCAACATTGGCTTCATACCTAGAATATTTTCAAACTAAAAGTCAACTCTTTGATCTTTATTGACCTGTTTTCTTCGATTCTCCCTCATATGCATCCAAATCGTAAATCTCTTCAGAAATCTCATTCACTTTTTCGCAAAGATCCGTCAATTCTGGGTAAAGCTTCCCGACCATCGTTGTCATCTTTTGAAGTTTCTAAAAATGGCCTTTTCATAATTATTCTATGATTTGCATTTTCTAAAAATTATTTCTTGGAAAACACTAACTCTAAAGCCGGATTACGGTAGCTTCTTCTAAAGTAAACCTTTTAGAAAAGCTTTCAAATTTACGTACTCTTCTGTAAATTTGAATTTGATTTGTAATGTAAATTTGTAATGTAATGCAATGTATTGTTTGTAATGTAAATGTAAATTTGGAACGTTGTAGAAAAATTGAGCTTGCAGGAGGAAAAGTTTTCTGTTTTGCAAAAAAGGTACAAACACAGAAAAAAATTGATCTCAAAAATTTAGGCATAGTGACGGCCAGACATCGTGAAGCCAACTCAATCCCTCAATCCCTCAACCCCCCTTTTCCATTACGGAATCCAAAAAAGGAGCACCTATCCATCAGGGCGTTTGCCAGATGGAGAGCGATTACGCCGCCGCACAAGGAACGCCTTCGCTAGTCAATTTACAAAGTGATTTTGCTTTCACTTTTCACTTTCACAAATGAGATTTTCTCCGAATTTTGGGATCTAATCAAGCTCTATTTTATATCAATCGAAAGCCTGAACTGTCCTCTTTAAAACTATACAAAAAGTTAACAATCATCTAATCTCTCCACAAAGTTATGAATCTTTAAAGAGCGGTTACTTATTCAAAGCCTCAGCTAACAGATAATAGTCGAAAATTGCCTTTAAATTTCAATTTAAACCTTTAAATCCATCATTTTCTCGTACAATTGCCGATGGCTGTTCTTCTTGAAAAGTTCTTTCCCGAGAAATTCGTCATTGTAAGTGAACGCCTGTATCCTAGCCCAGGCTTGTAGAGCCTAAATTTGTTGCGTAAATCTTTTCAAAATATAAAGAATTGTTGTTAATCGTATCTTGAAATCTTCTAAGCATCTAATTTGTTCTCAGTTTATTTTTTCAGCTCATTCAGCTCACCTGTTCAGCTCTTTCAACGGGCAAAACATCATAAAGGTGAGTGATTTTGAAATCATCCAAATACTCCATAATGATGAAACCAACCAAATCATCCTCGTTTTCGAATTTTTTCAAGTAATAGATCGAAAAAATGAAATGAAAATTTGAAATTTGAAATCTTCTAAAACCTTTGGCAAACGAAGCTCATCGTAGTTGGTGGCTTTCTCGGTGAGATACTCGTAAAATTCCACTTCAGCGTTGTGCATCTGAAAACTTTTAGATTACTATAGGTGTGCCGATCAGCATCGGTTTAGCGCAAATATCCTATTGCGCTACCGTAGCCAAGTTATTCCCCATTTCCACCTTTTCCACTCGCTGAAACAAGCTCGCCTGACAATGTAACAGCACTTGTTTACCTGGTTGCTCATTTTTTTCTCCTACTGTGCAGAAAAGTGGCTCTTTTCTGTGGAATCTTATTTAATGTTTTGATTTGAATATCTGATTCTCTCGTCCCGCCTCTAAAAGATCGCTTTTATGATAAAAGGGACGAATTTTCTAAAAGTTATTTCTTGGAAAACACTAACTCTAAAGCCGGATTACGGTAGCTTCTTCTAAAGTAAACCTTTTAGAAAAGCTTTCAAATTTACGTACTCTTCTGTAAATTTGAATTTGATTTGTAATGCAATGCAATGTAATGTTTGTAATGTAAATGCAAATTTGGAACGTTGTAGAAAAAGTGAGCTTGCAGGACAAAAACCCTTTCTGTTTTGCATTTACGATATCATCGATAAAGAGTCACAGAGCAAGAGCTCTAGTCAATTGATGTATGGTCCTTTCATATTCTTTTCTCTTCCCTTTCGTATTGCCTTTTCGTATTGCTATGAAACACTGAACCAACGATTGATTCTATTCTTTTGTATTTCCTCGCTAGATTAGTATTGTGCTAGATTCGGAATAAATATCTAATAATCATTGTCCCCATCGGTATTCTCTCACACACTGCACACCTATAGTACTGGACAATGAAAAAAGATCGTCACTTTCTCGCGTCTGTAACTCCTTTGTCTTTGAGTTTAAACTATTAGTGTTCTACATTTTCTGAAAGCTCTTTTCAAGGGCTACACAATGATAATATTAAGATTTAGAAATACGGGATTTTTTGACGCATTTCAGCGCTACACAATGGTGTTCCCAAGAGGGGAGAATTTCGCAAATGTGCTTTTTTTTCGCTATAAAACTTTGATACAATTGATATTGATTATTCTAAGGCAAATTTTAGCGTAGATTCCAAAAATCGTAGTTTCAAAGCGATTCCAGCACTCTATCATAAAGAAAAGCAGCTTTGGGTAAAGTGGAGGGTGAAAGAGGAAGAGTCGACTTCGAACGTCTAGACAAATCAAAAGGGATCTGAAAAACAAAACACTACATTCATCAGCGCCATTAAACGGGCTTTCACCTGATCTGGAACGATCGCTGAGAGAAACACACCCTAATTGTGTGTGCCAATGGATAGTGAACCTTTCAAGTCTCATTTCCCAAGATGATAAAGTATTGCCTATCTACAGTACTGGACAATGAAATATGATATTTGAAAAAAGGTCGTCACTTTCTCGCGTCTGTAACTCCCTTGTCTTTGAGTTTAAACTATTAGTGTTCTACATTTTCTGAAAGCTCTTTTCAAGGGCTACACAATGATAATATTAAGATTTAGAAATACGATAAAAACAAGAGAGTTACAGACGCACGAAAGTGACGATCTTTTTTCAAATATCATATTTCATTGTCCAGTAGTGTACATTCATGTTATCATTTTGTTTTTGTTGTTTTCAATTGATTGATTTAATTATCCAAGTTTTAGGTGTCAACTTGATCGCTTTATGGATAAAGGAGTTGTTTTCAATTGCGCACATCATCGATAAAGAGTCACAGAGCAAGAGCTCTAGTCAATTGATGTAACTACACTACCGTTCTTGCGACAGTAGGATTATTGTGACCTTTTCAAGCTACAGTAGGATTATTGTGGCCTTTTCAAGCTACAGTAATTCTTTTTTAGTTTTTTCTAGCTTAGAATCTTTAGAATCTTCTCAAAAAAAAGTACTTACAGTTCTAATAGACGATTGCCATTTACTCCACATCTCATCAATTTCTTCTTGTGTTGTCCCTTCTTTATCGATCCCTTCCGACATTTTTTTCGCGTTGATACACGTTGGCATTTTGACGATAAACTAAAAAAGTTGAATCTGAATCGTTAAAAATGATTCTCTTCAAGATTTAGCTTGTACTTTGTACTCAAAAACAAAATAGGTCAATAGACATGGGCTTTTTGTAGAAAACGAGTCAGTTCCACGTTTTAACAAACAACTCTTGTTCTCTAAAGCGTGGATACAATGATATTTCGAGCTTTAGAAAACAAGAACTATTAGGGTACTCAAAAACATCCTTTCTAGTCCATTTTCATTTTACTTTCAACAACAAATGAAGAAATTAAGATGTGTTTACAAATTTTTACTGACTTTTCCTTTGTTCACAGTTGTCAGTTGTCAACTTTTGTCAATTGTACTGTATTGTACACAGCAAATACCTTTTCCGGAAGAACCTCCGCATCCTCGGTCCACTTTGGCTCTAACAGACCAACAACGGAGACAAAGCCCTGAATATTTTCATTATTAAAAAGATATTTAGTTGTTTTGATTGAGTTGTTAACTTGTGTATTCTCAAATTATCTCAAAAAAACAAATACCGTATTTGTTCGAATAGAAGACCGGGTAAAGAGTATGATCGCGTACTCCTGCGTAGCAGCCCTTTTTAAAATTTCTTTTCTGCATAAAAGCCTTCAATGAAGTGTTATAGGGCTGGAAAATGGCTCAAAAATCCGACATGAGCTAATGTCATATTTTTGAGCCATTTTCCAGCCCTATAACACTTCATTGAAGGCTTTTATGCAGAAAAGAAATTTTAAAAAGGGCTGCCACGCAGGAGTACGCGATCATACTCTTTACCCGGTCTTCTATTCCAAGAAATACGGTATTGATAAAACAAAGAGCCTTACCACTCCATCGGCGATACTTTTCGCCGTCCAATCGTCACCAAATTTCGCTTGTGTATTCAGTTCCTAAAATCTTTGGCTAAAATAGGTCAATAGACATCGGCTTTTCGTGGAAAACGAGTCATTTTCACGTTTTACCAAACAACTCTTGTTTTCTAAAGCGTGGATACAATGATATTTCGAGCTTTAGAAAACAAGAGCCATTTGCTAAAATGTGGGACTGACTCGTTTTCTACGAAAGGCCATGTATAAATTAGAAGAATTATCGATACTCTTTACTTAAAACCCTGCGAAAAGGCACTAAAATCAATGGTTATACCCAAATCGAAAAATTAAGCTATCATTCTTTTACCATACCTAAACTATCAATTCAGTTATACTACAATTAAAAAATTTACATACCACGCTTTCATTAACATAGATTTTTACATTAAGAAAGAGATCTATTCAATTTTTCATTTTTTCATTTTTTATTCATTTTTTTGCGGGCGTATAATTCCAGTAATGCAATGCATTTTTATGCTAAGAATATGATGAATAAAGCGTATGCAAATTCCTCTCTTTTTTGCGGGAATACCGAATTATCCTTATTGTAAATTTCTAATTGATTTTCTAGACAGATTTACTTTTTGCATGATAGCTTCGATGAGCTCTTTCGGGATATGGGTCTTCAGCACACCCATTCCCTCATCGAGTAAAGTGATCTTCTTTTCTGTCATTGCTGAAAATGATGAAAGTAGTCAATTTTCGGATTTTATACTTAAAAAGGGGGAAACACACTCTTTCTGGAGTACTTGATTGATTTCTATCAAAGCAATGCCTTTGTATCGGGAGAAAAGAAAGAATGAAGAGCTTAGTGCGGCCAGAAAGGGTGTGTTTCCGTTTTTGAGCGTAAAGTACACGCCAAAGAGCTGAAATTTGTTTAAAATGTCGTAATCTGTGTAGTAAAAACAGTGTTTTTCGCTGAATTCGTCAATTTTCTCATAGAAATGAGTTTTCATCTACATAGAGAAAAAATAAAGGAAAAATAAAGGAAAATGAAGAGAAAATTAATATTTTGAAGAAAAATCAAAGAAAAAAGAAAAATGAACAAATTCTTCTAAAAGAAAAATCAATTTCAAAGGAAAAACAAAAAAAAAATGTGAAAAAAAATAGCTCTAAATTTTATGTGATAAGTTTAAACAATCAATTTCTCTTGAATGTTCTCTTGAAGCCAGATGGTTAGAAAGATTTAAAAATGCCGATGTTTTTACTGCACAAAAAAAAGCACATGAGTTTTAAAAGCTAAAAATAATTTTAAAGCCAAAAAAATAAGCCTGAGAAAAAGAGTCTATTTGGCTTATCAGTGAAAAATTAGAGGGAAGAGACCGTGTGACCCGGGGACAGGAAAATGAAGATCAACAGGAAAAAGAATATCGACAGGAATATAGAAAAAGAGATCAGAAAATCCTGTGTTCCATCTCAAAACTTTCTTTCTCCTCATCACTTTAAATACACTCTTTTTTTTTAATAAGTGATGAAATTTGCGGAAGATTTTAAGAGATCAATGAACACTTTTTTTAAGAAAATGTTGATTTCCTTATGATGAAATGAGCCAACTTTAAAATCTGAAATCGGTTTTCATCATTCTATGTGTGCTTCTAAAAGTTGCTCACAGGGTTACGGTAGCTTCAAGCCTTTAGAGACTGATAAAGGAAATAAAACGTATGAAAACAATGGTGACAGAATCCTTGAAACCAGCGAGTCTGTATCATTCACTTATTTCAAGTCTTTTATTGCGCATGACTACGCTCTGCACTGAATTTAAATTTTAAAATGTTAGACAAACGCTCTAATGAATTATTTAGCCTTGATTCAACAAATCCTTGAATTTGTTGGCACGAACTTTAACAGGGCCGCGCGGACACAGTCCCTCACGCCAAAATTTAGCTGTTAGCGAACCCCATCTCGGAGCCGCCAAACGGGTCAACACAGGCAAAAAGTGCAATGACATCTCACCATGGGGGTTTTCGTCTTTATGATCACGAAAGCTCTCCAGCCAAGTAATTTTAGAAGACGAGGGAGAGGCCTAAGCAAAAGACATGCGCCAGACGGCGAGCGATTGTTCGCGCGTACAAAGAACACCTGGGCAAAAACTTGAGATTTTTTCACTTGTTAAGTTTTTAAATAGTAGCTAATTTTAAGTATTTTTCTTGTTAAATAGTCAACTCAAAGATCGCTCTTGTGTACTTTCCTTGATTGAGCAAACACTCTTTAGAAATCAAGATCTTTCACACCCATTTTGTGAAGAAATTTGTCTTTATTTATCCACAAATGAGTCAATGCAAACAGTTTTTTTTTCATCTTAAAGATGACCTCTAACCAAAAGAGCTGAATTTCGCAATTGAGGGAAACATTGACCTGTTCGGATTAATGTAAAATATTTTATTAAGCCAAAACGTGCTCAATGTTTGCTACAAAAGGGTTGAATCAATTTTTACTACAACTCCTGTCGCCATGTGATGTAGTCGGAGAGGAGCCAACTACACAACTACACTCAAAGTGTTATCTAGACAAGTTTGCGAGTGAGTGCGCTTTGAGCTAATGTGAACAACAAAGATCAAAAATTCAAGCCAAAATTTGACCGAATATGGTCGCGACTTTTGACCTTGAAAACTCATAATTTGGCCTAGAATTGGCTTTTTTTATGGACTTTGCGCCAAATTTTTTGCGCAGCTTTCTTTCTTAATTTTCTTGTTCTAAGTGGGCTAATCTTTATGATTTTGGTGTCATTTTGTAGATCTCAACAAGTGCAAATGACAAAATGACAAATGACATCACAAATGACATCACAGATCATAAAGATGACATCACAAATCATAAAGATCACGTAGAAGAAAGTCATGGAAAGTTGTGCAAACAATTTCGCGCAAATTAGCTACCCCCGGGCTTTGTTGGATTTGATAATTCAGACTCTACAGCTATAAATTATTAGATTAACAACTTGAAAGTTGGTACACTTATTCATTGCACTTTTCAGAAATAACTAGTGCACCAATCTACAGTTTTTTGCCAATAAAAAGGCTCATTTATTCTCTAAAACAGACTTTTGACGGTTTTTAAAAAAGCTTCAGTTTTGCAGGTTTCTAGGGGGAAAGAAGTTGAGGAATGATGAAGAACCAAAAATGATGAACACTCGATCAAGCGATTTGAGCACTTTCTTCAACATAAACCTATTTTAGCGTCAATAAAAAAAGATAGAGCATGAAAAGTTAGATAGTTAGAGCAAGATTGTCAACTTGAAAGTCGGTACACTTATTCATTGCACTTTTTAGAAATAACTAATGCACCAATCTACAGTTTTTACCAATAAAAAGGCTCATTTAAACGCTTCATCGCACCAATAAAACGCTTCATCGATTACATAGTTTCCCAAAATTTCAGAACAATCCAATCTTCGGAAGGTTGATTTTCAAATTAGGCTCAAAATGCACTTTTTTTTTTGATCTGTCTTCGCATTCAGGTGTTCCTATTTGCGCAGATCACAACCTGCTTCCACATTTCTCTATCCCTTGCTATTGTCATCCAGTGTTTCCTATCTGGATTGTTCCTGGTTCGAAGTCTTCGACTTGCCTGTGCTGGTGGTGGTTGCACTCTAGCCATCCTTTCTCTGACCGTCTCTGCCACTCTTGTGCTCCACCTCGTTGCTGGTCTTCCGATGGGCCTCTTCTGGTCTCGTGGTAGCCATGATCCGTATCGTCCATCTGTCGTCTTTTCTGCTGGCTACGTGGTCAGCCCATCTGAGTCTTTTTCTCTCAATCACTTCCACTGGATCTCTGAGTCCGGAGAGCTGGCGCATATCCGTACTTCTTAGGTCTTGGTCGAGCTGCGTCTTCCTATTGTACCCGAGGCGGTTCCTTTCAAGGAAATGCACTTTTGTGCTAATTTAATCCCTTTTCGTTTGAATTTAAGCAAGATTAAAAAAAAAAGATTAAAAGAAAGGTTCGATCGATAGGATTGTTCTGAAATTTTGGGAAACTATGTAATCGATGAAGCGTTTTATTTTAAAAAGTATGCAATCACTCAAAAATGGCTCAAAAATATATTAGCTCATGAATGCTAGAAACCAGGATTTTGAACTCTTACATTAAAATGCCTGAAAAAGTTCTAAAATAAAACATTTTTCAAAAATTCAAAAAAGCCATTTTGTAGATTAAGGATAGGGCTTTTGAATCAAGCAAACCGTTTTTTGATTGGATGATTGGATAAACCGTTTTTTTTTCAGAAAACACATTACCCAAAAACGATCGTTTCTAACTTGCCAACCTAATAAATCCGGCAAAAAACCCACTTCAATCTTCATTCTTTTTGTAATATAATAACTAGGGAAAGGCACCAGATCAAGGTGGGCTTTTTGATGCGTACCCAGTGTATTTAATAGAGCTTTCAATGGGGATTCCGAATCCGCATTTAGTGTTTCCAATGGAGTTCTGTATCGCAAGATATCTGGCATCAAAGTTTAGGTCACTTTTTCGGAGCTTTTATAGATCTTATTTTATACTGTATCGCTTTTTCCCTCCTTGAAATATTTTTTGATCATTTAACTAAAGAACAAAAAAAGGATTAACATAGAGAGGATTCGAATCTTGTGAGCAAATGAAAAAAAAGCACAAAAAAACTTGCGAGCGCTCGCACTATCCACTGCATCACTATTGTAGTGTAATAAAACCTATAACAGCTCCGAAAAAGCGACCTAAACTTTGAGGCCAGATATCTTGCGATACAGAACTCCATTAGAAAAACTAAAAGAGGTTTCGGAATCTCCATTGAAAGCTCTATTAAATACACTGGGTACGCATCAAAAAGCCCACTTTGACCTGGTGCCTTTCCCTAGTTAGTATATTACGAAAAGAATGAAGATTGAAGTGAGTTTTTTGCCGGATTTAGAACAAATCGGATTAGAAACCAAGAACTCTGCAAACATCTATTCGATTTAGGATTTATTTTTAGCTCGATTTTAACTCGATCGATATTCCCAGGATTCAACTGTGATTTCCCAAGAAATGAGTCAGCTTATCAATATTGTTATTGTAACAATTATTATTGTTTATGTGTTTTCACTTAGAACAAGGCCTTCCAAAAGATAACCCTAGACCCAAAACAAGGCCGATTTTGGTTATTTCCACTTTTCATTTACTCTCTCAACATTTCTATTTCTATTACTTTTGCAAGTAGGCTTCCAATTTTCCCCCAAAATATTATTGAAACAATTTCGTTGACATCTCTCCTTTTTTATCCAAAATGACTCATTCCCAGTCGATCCACACCCAAATTCTCCCAATTCTTTCGCGTTGATTTATGAATTTCCCTTTAGGAAAAAAATTGAAAACTGTTCCTTGTTTCAACGTTTTTTCGCTCATAATTTGACGAAGAGCCGTAAAATTTGTGTGCGTAGTAAAAGTAAGAGTAAAAGTAAGTAAAAGCGTTGAGTAAAAGAGTTGAATTGAATGAGCGGATGATTGATCATCAAGTACTTGTCATTGGTGATAATGTTACAGTCACGATTGTTTCAAAAGCTATTTTTCTAGGCTAGACAGGCCGGCGCTAGATCAGAATGTTACCTGGGCTGATTTTACCCCAAAAGCAAGCTTGACCTGGCTTACAGGTACCAGATAATCGAAATTTCAACAACTTTTCGTTCTCTTGTCTTTGAGCCGATTTCTCACTCTGACTAGACTGAACTCTTTCTTGGCTGAGGTCCAGTGAAAGTGTATTTTCTAACTCACTCTTTCTTTACCTAGTCCCACCCATCCTCAATATATTATCTTTATCTTTATCTGTGAAAAATATAAAAACAAAAGAATTTGAATGTGTTTTCCATAAAGTGAGCTGATTTCGCAGCTGATTTCACAAAGAAAAGTCTGTGTTTACACTGTGGAATACAGTAAAACGATCAAATTTAGTCTAGTCGAGTTTTTTTTTCATTTCATTTTAAATAATAAATTTGATTTAACTCATCAAATACCTGGGAAAAATTTCCCGAAATCTTTCGCCCAAGTTCAGACATTTCTTTGGCGTTCAGACATTTCTTTGGCGTTCAGACATTTCTTTGGCGTTCAGACATTTCTTTGGCGTTCAGACATTTCTTTGGCGTTCAGACATTTCTTTGGCGTTCAGACATTTCTTTGGCGTTCAGACATTTCTTTGGCGTTCAGACATTTCTTTGGCTCGATCCCAACTAAGCCACTTGCCGTTTGTTTCTTTTTTCCACTTAAAATCTCTTATTTGAGCTGTTTTGAGCGATATTTTCTCTGAAAAATAACCCAGAAATGTTTCTGTTTTGATTGAAAAATGCAACGTGACCGCAAATCGTTTAAAGAATTTCAGAAAAAATCAAAAGAAATGGGTGTGTTCAAGAGAGAAAAAAAACTGGATTTTCTCGATTTTCTCTATTTTTGCACTTTTTTTCGTGAACGGAGAATGACGATGAACTCCTTTTTCCCGAAAAAGAATGCCTAAATGCCGATCATGGGTATAAAATCCGTTTCAAAACGATTTGTTTTCTTGAAAGATTTCAAATTCTTTCAATCATCGCACCATTTTTGCACAAACAATGCTCTCAACTGTTTATTACCAGCTCTTTCTTGTTGGTGGTGAGTGCTTTTCAAATCGAAATTCTGAATACTGTAGTGCTCTTTACTGAATACTAAGCTTTACTATAAGATTTTACAATTAATATCGTGTACAGTAAATCATTGGTCTTAAAAGGATTATATGGAGTTTTTCGAATTATCCAGAAGCTTTAAATGAGTAACTTTGCTTTAAAAATCCATCACTTTCTTTAGAAATAATATTATCGCTAACTTTTCGAGACTGAAGCCTACACTTTAAATGGCACTTAAATGGCTTTTGAATAATATTAAGTAGAGCTTGATTGGAGCATAAAATTTTGACAAGGGAAGGGCAACTGAATGTGTTAAAAAAAACAGATGAGCCATAGACCATTCGACGCAGAATTTCACGCTGATCATGATGCTGTTTTCCTTTTTTTTGCTACGGAGCACTCTGTCAAAAGTTTAAAGTTTAAAGTTTTGTAAGGAGTTTTAAAAATCAAACTGTGACATTACAAACCGGTCTTCCGCGAGCTGAGCAATTGCAGTGGTGGCCGAGTGGTAGTGAGTTGGGAGACAAGGGTAGAGGTCTTTTGTTCGAGTCCGGTGGCTGATTGTCTTTTAACTTTTTAGACACATAGCATCACCTTTATGCCTACACTTTAAATGGCACTTAAATGGCTTTGACAAGGCTTTGATAGCTATCCCTGAAACGAAGTTTTTTGTTACCTTTTGGAAGCATTAAAGAGTTCGTTTTTTAAGGGCTTGCTTTCAAATCCAACTCCGGATAAGTCCAATAATTCTATAAGTCAAAGATAACGACAGTACGACAAAGACGGACAACAGTTACAATAACAGTTACAACAACAGTACTAAACTGAGCTTACTGATTGAAATATCATACCTCAAACGGTTAAATGAACAACAACAGTACTTGAGCTCAAGTACAGTAACTTTGTTCACCAGAGCTCAAAGTCCTTTCTGGATACAATATTTCAATGGTTTAATAGACCAGAAAGCGCTTCCACTTTTTAGAAACAATTTCAGTGATCGGCTTTGCCTTTTGCGAAGAGCCATTGATATTGGTCTCAACGAGAACTCCACCAAAAACGACAACTGAGCAAAGTACAAGTGAATTGACGGAAGATCCATTCCAAGGATTTCAATCATGGGATTGTGATACTTACGGGATTAAGGTATTCAATTGAAAATATAAAATTGGAAATTGGAAATGTAAAATCTTTTCCAGGAAATTCGCTTCAATGTCATGTATAATTCGGCCAAAAGCGTGAAGATCTCTCTGAATAAACAAAAGGCTTTGTGTATTGGTGAGTATTCAATTGATAAAGTGGCAAGTAAAGTTAGAACAATAAGACAAAGATTCTTGTTAGATAAAAAGAAACTTGTTAAATAATGGCTTATAAAATGATTCTAAATGAAATCCATGGATCTAATGCGGTTGCCCGACTGAATCCTAGAGCTTTTAAGTTGTTGTTAGATCAAAAACCTAGCCAGGGCTTTGATATAGTACTTTGATTTGTACTATAGCTTGGACTAGCTATAGTACTATAGTATTGGGTTGTCCAGTTATGAATGCGCGATTTTACTATTTTGTAAATTTCTCAAGGTATCGAACAGATGTATATGAGTGTTATATATCATTCGAAAGCTGAAGATCTCCTCTACATTTTGATATAAAAACCTTTGGAATTTGTTCAGCTTTTGGGCAAATTGACTGCACAAAGGGAGAGGTCGTTTTCGAAAAAACCCATTCCAGCTTCGCTATTCCTCAAGTTTTATGCTGTAAAATAACCGCCCAGAAAAGAAAAGAAAAGTAAAGATGCTCTGAAATTGTTATATTTTTTAAAAAAAGTTGTATTGATATATCTATTGGCCAAACATCAAACGGTTAACTCAATTTGAGCGGAGCCAAAACTTGATCCAAAGGCACCCTTCCATTTTTTGGTCACCTCTTCTTCTGTGCAGTCAATTTGCCCAAAAGCTGAACAAATTCAAAAACTTTTTGATATCAAAATGTAGAGGAGACCTTCAGCTTTCGAATAATACTCATATATATCTTTTTCTTGATTTCGGTAACTTGAGAAATTTACAAAATAGTAAAAAACGCGCATTCATAACTGGACAACCCAATACTTTGATTTGTAAGATTTCATTAATTAAATCTACATCTACATTAAATCTAATCTCAGTAAATAATATTCTATAATAATATGCAAATATCTGTTTCGTTTTTCAGCCGGTTTCAACAAATGTCAATCGAATTTTCCCCCAGCTTTCCCCAATGATGAGGCCACCTATTTTGCCAACTATCGAGACGGGAAATTCGATGGATGTTCGGCGATTATGTAATCATTTAAACTTAAATTTGAAGATTTTAAGATGAAATAATTTATCGAAGGAGATATTCTTGTTGTTTCCCCCTCCCTGTGATCTCTGCACAAATCCCCTTTGACAAACCCCCGTTCTGGTTGTGCAATTCTTTGTATTTTTTTTCTTTGTATATAGAGAATTCTCGATAACTTATTTCATCGATAAAATTTTATTGAAGGTTTAAAGATCGCAAAAACGTTTCTCATTTTTCGACAAAAACGCTGAAATTGAAAAAGATGATTGATTTGGGGTCAAAAATTGGATTTGCTCACAAAATTTTCATCAAATTCTCCACATGATTTTCGATCTTTTATGGAAAATAATGATTTTATTGGGTTGGTGAATTGAAAACTGCCGGCTATTGTCATATGTGACAGTTTGAGCACTTTCTTCAAAAGAAACCCATTTTGGTGTCAATGGAAAAGTTGTAGAGAATCAAAAATCAAGCTTATAGCCAAATTTCCAAAAAGATACACTTAGTTCCGCTTAAAATTTGTGTGTTCTCTGTGTTCTTTGTGCGGCCGCGTAATCGCTCGTCGTCTGGCGCAGGGCTTTTATATAACCCCCTCCGCTCTTCTTCGCTCTCGTTTATAAACCTCTTCGCGCCGGCTTCGAATCCTCAAATTCGACATTGACTTCTCCACAAATCAAGGCTAATCTCAATCTATTGGGTTTTGGTGAATTGAAAACTGCCGGCTATTTTCATATGTGACAGTTTGAGCACTTTCTTCAGAAGAAACCCATTTTGGTGTCAATGGAAAAGTTGTAGAGAATCAAAAATCAAGCTTATATCCAAATTTTCAGAACGATTCAAAAACTGGTTTTCAAGAAATGCGAAATTTACGAATTTTCACAAAACTTGCATTCTAAGCGAAACTACTAAGTGTATCTTTTTGGAAATTTGGCTATAAGCCTCATTTTTGATTCTCTAAAACTTTTCTATTGACACCAAAATGGGTTTCTTTTGAAGAAAGTGCTCAAACTGGGTCCAAACTGGACATCTCCAGTCCTCGATTTTTGAGTCTCACACTTGTCTCACACACAAACCAAAATCCTACTACGAAAGAGGAATCCGCAAATTGCCTGTAAAACGGGCAGAAGTCGTCAATAATAATGGAAATTATTTGAAATGAATCCATGGTTTTATGTTGAATAAATTTTAGTTCAAAGTCCCGCAGTTTTCAATTCACCAACCTAATACAACAATTTTTGGCAATAAGATGAGTTTTTAAAGTGGTGATCGGCCGAAAGAAATTTGGTTTTTCATTTAAATTGTGAATCTATTGATCTTGCGAGTCCTGAACGAGCCTAAATTTGGCTTTATTGGCTTGTTTTGAATAAAAAGACAAAAAAGAGTGGTCGACATCAAATAGTCTCCTCAGTTTTTTTTCGGCTATCCCTTTGAATTGCCCTTGGTGATTGTGAGTATACAAAAGATATATAAATGCATACATATACTCACAAATTCGCTTGGTGGAGGCACTGGATCTAGCATGGGAACCCTGTTGATTTCAAAGATCCGTGAGGAATACCCGGATCGCATCATGTCCTCATTCTCGGCTTTCTCATCGCCAGCAATTCAACCGCCATTCGGAGCAATTCACTGGTTGGTTTATGGTCTGAACATCGGAAACTAATCGATTTTCTTTTAACCATGTTCCGTCGCAAAGCTTTCCTCTATTGGTATACTAGCGAAGGACTGAACCAGATGGAGTTCATTGAAGCCGAATCGAATATGATCGACCTCATCTCCGAATAGCAACAGTACCAAGAGGCCGAAGCTGAGGTACTAGAAGAAGGCGATATCGAGGAGGAAACGTCCGTCCGTCTGTGCGCAGCCATTGGCAAAAGGGTGGAAAACGCGAACGTTGGTGAACGTTTTCCGCTGGTAATACATAATTTCGAGGCCCCATATTTGTTCTTCACATTTCGGTATGTATCTAAAGTCGTATACCGTAAAATAATTTTGCTGCTCATGAGTATAAACTAGCTTTCGTAATACGTTAAAGTTATCCAGATAAAATTATGCACTTTAATGTAGTTAGAATTATTTATGCCCTTTTAGCTATTTGGTCTGACTGAAATGCCAATTCGCGACAACTTCCGAGTTCTTTTCAACCAGAACCCTGTGTTTCTCGACGAGAGCCGCTACAAATACTGCTGTGGATTGCTTTCTGTCGAGGTTATTGTCTTGCCAAATTAAAGCCATTTTAATGTCTCTTTAGATTGCTGCTTTACTGTTCTTCATCATGGAGATATTTGCTCTGGGCACGGCTTTATCACGCCACGATACACAACCAGGCATTGACGGTTTGCTTTTTTGCATTTCAATTTTCAAATGTCTCGGTTTAGTGGGGGATACTTGATGGAAATGATTGTGCTCGTTGGATGCATTTTCACCACCCTGGGAAATCCCAAAATGGGCAAAATTGTTCTCTTTTTGCTGGTAAGCTAGCTTGTGTTGTATGGTAATACATAGTGTGTTTAGCCTGTACTGGATATGATGAGTGTCAGCTACTACTTGATGGCCATTTTGTGTTTCAAGGAAGCATTTGATAGGTATTCTGATTCTACTATACCTATCTACCTAATTCAAATAATGCTTCTAACCCCATTGTGCAGTTGGTAATGCAACTTTCGACTCAAGCACTCAAAAGGATGCCAAGGAAAATTGTGTTTTTTCCGTTTAGATAACAGTAGCTCATGCTTTTAGGGCTGATTGGCTTCCTCATCTTCTTTGTTCCACTCTTCATCTGGGAGTACTTTGTTTTCTATCTTCATTACACTAGCCTGAAGTATTTTTTGTTTGCCAAATATTCTTATTGGGGAGAGTTTGAATTAAGGGAAAAGCCTGGCGAGAGTTTGATGAGCTGGTTTTGACTCCAAGATGAGAAAAATGAGCTGCAAGTTGGCCAAAAATTTGCCCCCATCCGTTAACTGTAAAGCACCAAAATTTCTAAATCAAAAAAATTTCAGGCATTCTTCTCAAAATCCAAAAAAGTCTCAATGAATATTTGGAAGCAAATCAAAGCAAAAAATGGAAGCAAGGCAAGGTAATCTCCTTCGGTAATCTCTTTCGGAAATCTCCCGTATTCAATCGACTTTTTCACCCAGCTTTTATTCGAATCCGGCAAGCCGGTTTTCAAAAAAGTCTTTCATTCAAAAAGCTTTTTCGGATTTTTTAGGGATAAAATTATATTACGCCTTACAAAAGCCTTGATTCTTGAAATTCATTTTTTCTAGTGCATTACAAAGGATGTGTTCCCAAGTTTAGTCCACTCATCCATCCGCACAGCAGATCTCTTCTTCAAGTGGACTTTGTGCTCACAGAAAAAAAATGTAAAAACAAAGCTCTAAAGGCAGGTCATAGCTTTGACATGGGAAATTGGGAACAAACTTTTGGGTCCTGGAACAACCCTGTTCTTCCAGGACCCAATTTCCCAATTTCCAGGATCTCTTAATGTTCTTGCAAGTAACCATTAGACTTCCCGACCAAAGTCCAGTCCACAGAAGCGAGAAGAAAAAACAATGATTGTAGTTGAATGTCTGGATGTGGTTGTTTGGAAGGCTTCATTTAACTCAATCGAATCTCTGTGAATGGATGGAAGAGAAGCGACGTCATGCACTCAATTCCCCTCCTTTCCCCCTCCTCTCATCCCAATCCCAATTCTGATCTCCTTTCATTCTTTTCCCAATTCTCTTTCATCCAATGACACTTTTTGTTTCTCTGTTCCATCAGTCTTTAGCTATTCATTCGTCCATTTTGGTGGGGGTGTGAATAGCAAAGAAAAACACTACTTCGGAACACTAATTTCAACTAAACATCAATAGAACTTCAAGTGCTTCAGTGTCAAAACCAAAATCCTTAGCTTTTTTTTGATCTTCCTATCCATAGTTATGTTACAAAGATTGCATAGAATAAAAGCTATTCCCCTGTTCCAACTCTCAACCATCTCAAATTTTGTTCAAAATTTAATTCCTACTCTGAAATATACATCAGAGGGCTCTAACGTGACTAGGGATTTTATGAAGTTCTATAGCCTGTAAGCCGATCAATTCTAGCTAGGCTAGGCTAAAGATAGCTTCTGACGAACCCAGGGATTTTTGTGGATCGACCAAGATTTATCTTTGTCTAGCCTAGTCCGAGAAAACTATTTATAACAGTGCCTTTGATCTCAATGAAGGTAATAAGCAAGTACAAGGCTTTCAACTTTACAGAAAGAATACAATGCTTGGATTGCTGAAAGATTTGCTTGAATGAAGATCTATCTATTCTTGTCAATGAAGATCTATTTTAGCTTTAAACTGTGTTGGGGAGAGAGCGTTTTATACTTCCCACAAAATTGTCGTCTAAAGTGGACCTTTTACGTCGGTCTAGGTTGTCACTAGGAACGTCTCGTAGTCTGTGCCATTTTATTTTGTTTTTTTCTACATTTTTTTTATACGAATCGATTGTGATTCTTTTATTCGTCTTCATTACTCTGGATAAACGCCAATTGTTGTGGAATACAAGCAAGTCAACCACGTTACAACAGCCACGAGGGCCTACCCCTCGGGGGGTAGGCAAGTCAACCACGTTACAACAGCCACAACGGTCTACCACTATAACAAATTGTTTTCCTTTTAAAGTAAACCCGTTGCTAAACTTTTTCCATTTTCAAAATAAGCCTCGAGCTGCTAAATCTATTGAAAATTCGTTCACTCATCGGTCGATCCATTTTTTTCAATGAATTGCTTTCAATGAATTGCTTTTAATGAAGCTTTTAATAAAGCTTTTCACAAATTTTTTTTCTTGCCTGATTACGCAGAATTGGAAGAGCTTTTTGATAGAAAAATTGGTTCCAAAATTTACCCAAAAGCCAAGAACTTATCTATCTAAATTCCTTATCTATCTAAATTTCAAATTTACTTTTTTTAAATTCGTTTTACTTGAACACCCTCCGAAAATTGGCCCGAATTGGGTTTCCGATTCGAAAATTCTTTGGACCCAAGAACGGTATCAATTCTTTTTTTTTCCAAATTTCATTTCCGAAACATTTTGCTAGAGTTGAGACATTTTTTGAAAAGAAAACCCATTTGAACGCCAATTTCTCGTTGAAGTTGAACTAGCGAGTTCTTTTTGGAATTCGATTTGTTAGAAGACTCATTTCTTTATCCAAATTTGGCTTTTTTTATCCAAACTTGGCTTTTTTTTTATCCTGAACAGTTCTATTTCAAGAAAACAATGGCCAGAAAGAAAACAATGGCAAGAAAACAGTTCTATTTCAAGAAAACAATTGCCCCGTTTCTTGAATTTCTAACATTTTTGGAAAAAACTTGTCATTTTTCAAATGGAAAGCTAAGCCCCAGAAAAATGGGATCCACGAGGGGATCAGAAGAGGAAAAAATGGATGAAAAGAGATGAGAAGGGTAGGGTTAATTTGATGGTGACATCTCACAGATCCTTCCTTTTTTCCCCTTTTCCCTTTCAATTTTCACTCCTTTTTTTGGTCTCATCTCTTTTGCGATCTTCCTCTTCTCCATTTCCTTGTCTCAAATAAATGACCGAAAGAGTCAATTTTTGAGACTCTTTCGGGAAATTGATCGTTTATTTGCGAAATGATGTTGTTTTATGAGGGTAGACTATGTTCGGTAAAAACTTCCTAATAGAAGTCTCTAAATATTGACTTTTAACTGATCATGTGACTCCTTTATATAAAGATCTGAGCATAAAAATGATCTGAGCATAAAAATCTCGGGTCAGCAATACAATTTATAACAAAAAAATTTGAAAAATGATTTTTCGAAAAAAATTTTATTTGGGGGACCATAGGAATTTTTTTGGAAGATCTATGGGAACTTAGAAAGAACATTCGGAAAAAAACAGCGGAAACGGATCTGTTCCATGAACTAGCGAGTTCTTTTTGGAATTCGATTTGTTAGAAGACTCATTTATTTATCCAAATTTGGCTTTTTTTATCCAAACTTGGCTTTTTTTTTATCCTGAACAGTTCTATTTCAAGAAAACAAATGCCCCGCAATTGTTTCATATTCTTGAATTTCATATTGCAATTCTTGAATTTCTAACATTTCTAAAAGAAAATTATTTTACTTTTCAATACATTTTTCTTACTTTTTAAGCCAAGGGCTATCACGTAAAGTGGTTTTTATGAAAAAATAGATTTTCTATTTATGTGGCTCGCGGTTTATGGGTTTATTTTGGAGGTTTGAAAAATACAAGCCCATGCGTTTCTATTAGAGCTTTTACGGTATGTCTCGACTTGAAATTAAACCCGAATTCCATAGGAGTTTCAAGCCAGAAAATTTAGCTAAATATCTGATTGTCTTACTTGAGAAAGATCAGAACTTACTTTTGATGGTGCTCTGGTTTTCGGATTATGACATCGACATCTTTTGTGACAGATAGATCTTCGGATCTTCAAGTCTTTTTTGGCTCTTGGAGCCTGATTGTCGTTTCTTATTTATAAATAAATATATGCAACTTAGAAACTTTATAAACTATTATTTCACTTTATAAATAAACTATTATTTCACTTCTATTAATAGAATTCTTAGATTCCTTTTTACGTTGTCCCTAGAATCTAAGACTGCAAAGGAATCTAAGACTCTTAATTACTCTTGAGTAAAATTACCGGCTAAAATTATCTAAAACAGTCAGTCTAAAGAAAATTTGAAATCTCTGGCACTTGATGACCTGGATTCGCCCCAGCCATCTTAACTCTTTTTTCGGTCCGTTTCCCTTTGACAATCTACGAATTTTGCTCGTACCTTGACCAGGTTTATTTGAAAAACGTTGAATTTGCGCTCATTCGATAGAAAATTTGATTTCAAATCGAGTGAAAACAAATTCAACATTTTTCAAACAAACCCCGGCTAAGAAACGAGCAAAATTCGTAGATTGCCACCGACAAACGGCAAAAAGAAGCGGAATGAATATAACTGAAGCCAAGCCAGGTCATCAAGGGCCAGAGATTTCAAATTTTTTAAATTGGTTGCCCCTAAAGCCTAGCTCTTACCCTAACCTGGTTTATTGCTTTTCTCACTTTTCCAACATCCCTGACGTAGTCAAAATATCTTGTTATCTCGTTCAAACCTTAGTTTCGATCTTTACTGCACATTTTATTCCCCATTCTTGGTTCATTACTTCTTTTCAGACCTTGACTTTCCCATTTTTCCACAGTTAATCGAAATGAACACAAACTGTACTTTATGAATTATTGGGTTGGTGAATTGAAAACTGCGGGCTATTGTCATATGTGACAGTTTGAGCACTTTGTTCAAAAGAAACCCATTTTGGTGTCAATGGAAAAGTTGTAGAGAATCAAAAATCAAGCTTATATCCAAATTTTCAGAACGATTCAAAAACTGGTTTTCAAGAAATGCGAAATTTACGAATTTTCACAAAACTTGCATTTTAAGCGAAACTACTGAGTGTATCTTTTTGGAACCTTAGTTTCGACCCATTCTTATTTCATTACTTCATTTCAGACCTTGACTTTCCCAATTTTCCACAGTTAATCGAAATGAACACAAACACAAACGAACACAACACATGGTTTATGAAATATTTAAAGTAGCTACTGAAAGCTTGATATTTCTTTCGAAAAGATTATTTCTCTTAATCCTACCGTAAACTCACCTCTGTCACCCTTTTTCTGTCTTTTTTTTTGCATAAAATTTATTGGAAACTTGAGAAAACTGACGCGTTTCCAGGTGAAAAACTCTATTTTTTCTCTATTTTTCTCTATTTTTCGCTATTTTTCTTAGAACACAACCTTCCTTGTTGACTCGATCCTTCTAAATGAATGCCTCGGTTTTTCATTTAACCAAATGTAAACCCTAGAAAAAGCATTATTGAATTTATTTGGTGAATCTCCCGTTTCCCGAAACAATTCTCAAATTTGCCCCTTTGCCCGAAATTTCTCGAAATTTTTAAAATTTATCTCTAAATCCTGTCGTTTTTCATGTTAACTTTCCTTTTTTCGAGTTTTTACATAATTTTTACATATAGTCCCTTTTCAATTCTCGAATCGGAAGCGTTCATTTTGGGTCATCCGGTAACCGATCCGTTGTCTGCCCCATGTGGTCACCGCTACCCAAAACTAACCTTGGCTGTAGAATTGGCAAACCCAATCAATTAGAAATGAAAGAAACGGGTTTTCCATTCATCCAAAAAATAAAATAAAAGATATTCCAGCTATTTTAAGGCTACTATGCAAATTTCGATAACATTTTGACTTTTTCTTACTTGCCGTCAAACTTGGCGTGCGTACCTTTTGTGTGTCTCGTGGGAAAAAGCCGCATCTGGCACACGGTCTTTCCACATAGCGCGAGAGAGACGCACTCTTTGGTTTAATTACCCAAGTTTAAAATTAGCATTAGCCGTGAGGCCTTTCCAAAAGTCGCTTGGTATTCGAAAATCCACAAAAGTATTCAATTTTACACCCCAAACATCCAAATTCCATAAACTGTAGCATTTTTTTGAAAAATTTCCTTTTTATCTCATTTTTTTTGCAATCGAATGCACGTCTGGCGCTCAAGAATAACCGAATTATTGCCTTCAAAAGAAATCTTCACATTTTTCTCTTCAATAAATCCCAAAAATTCACGCAAAGAACTGAATGATTCTGATCTTTTGAAAAGAAAAATCTAGAATTGAGTCACAGCTTTTTTTTTCTCGTTTGCAAATTTCCATCTGCCTTTCCCACGCTAATTTTGGGCGGAAAATTAGTCATTGTTTATGTATTTTCGTGAGATTCTTGAGTATTTTGATTTGGAATTGATAAATAAAGGTTTTCATATGTAAAAGATATTCAAGATTAAAAGATACCCGTTTATTCTATGCATCCTTTAACTTAAACGATCCTTTTTGCAGATTTGAATGGATCTCGGCACTCAATTGATCCTCGCTGGACTGATTTTTGTGCTCCTTTTGTTGATCATTCTGCTCTTGAGTCACCTACAAATTTTGGAGATTTTCCCCGAAACAACGGGCAGATTCAAATGGGCACTGTTGGAGGTGAGGAAAAGATTTGTCGTTTCATTTCATTTCCTTTCAAATTAGTCAACTTCTCCTTCAATCTAACACTCAAAAACATTTAGTTAAAGATTTGACTTTAATCTTTCACCATTAACCAGGAGAAAACATGAAAAAAATCCTCTATAAAGTGGCTCGTATTCAGGAGAACTCCGAGGAACGACGCGGGATTTTGCAGAACGATTCGCGATTCGGTAGTGGAGGGAACAAAATGGCGAATCTCGGGATCGGGATCTTCTCACGACAAATCAGGCATGTCAACAACGACAAAATGAAGCAAAATTTTGCATACCTAGCTCATTTTGTTATTTGGTTGGGACGAAAGTTCGTAGAGCTTCTTTTCTATTTTCCAAGAAACTATCACCTCAAAAGATCTTTCCAAAAGATATGAGCTTCTTCTCGTTTTTTTTGTTGTTTAGTGCCAAACTAATGACTTTTAAGGCCATTATTTCTTGGCCTTCTTTCTCAAAAGTTCCATTTCAAAAGTAAAAGCTCCATTTTTTGAACTTTATTTTCTCATTTTTAGCCAAAGCACAGAGAAATTCGGCTCAAAGTTGGAGGTGGATCGACTCGAAGATTTCTCTGGACTTCTCGAAAGTGGAGAGCATTTTGAAGGGAAAAGAAGCGAACGACAATATTTGGTGCCAGCTGAAGAAGTGAGTTGGGAAAATTTTATAGAAAATGTTCTTATAGAAAAGCTAGAAAGACTTTTTCGAATCAAATTACAGTTAAAGTCATAGATTCACTGCTCGCTTGAAGTGCTAGCAAACGAGAACACGATGGCCGATGTGCATAAAGCATTACCTGGAAAAGAAGCTGTCCCAGGTAATCTTTAAAAATCAAAATTTTCAAGCAATCCAGAAAATCGCCTTGATTCAGTTTCCCCAAATCTGAAAAGAGCCATTTCAACGGAAAGTCTCGATTCAACGGCGTCGAGTCTCTTCGAAGTGAACAACGATGTGCCGACCTTGCACTTTACACTCACATATCATGAGTTTGTTTTTGAAAGATTTTAAAGAAAAGAATTGACACCGATTCTCACTAAAGCAGATGGGTTTAGTAATATAATTTTCTTGATGCTTTTCAGGTCATTTCAACCTTGAGCATTCCAGCTAGTTTTCGTCTAAAAGGAAAAATTTGTGGAAAAAATACAGTCAAATTTGAGGCAAAAATTGTTCCAAAAAACTTGGGCATATGCCCAAAACTCTGTCCAAAAAATCAAAAATTGTTTTGTAAAATAAAAGTGAAAAGTTTTGTCAGGGATTCGAACTCGTACCAGTGGGATTCGTAGACAACACTACTATCCATTCTACCACGAGCGCGTTGTCTTTATCTACATTTTATCTACCAAAATTCCATTCCGTTACTATCCATTCTACCACGACCGCGTTGGGGACTACGTCGGAGGGGCTCGGTCTTATTTCAGGAGGAGGGTGGGGCCGTGACTTGCTGATTTTCACTCCTCAATCGCTTAGCTCCTTTCTTTCCCTCCTTTCCTTTCAAGAATTCCAAAAGGGAAGGGTCTTATACCAGATGGGGATGCCAGATCGAGAGGGATTACGCACAAAGAATACCGAATCTTTTACATAGAGATTTTCTTTTACATGGTTAATGAGACAAAAAGAAGAAATTCAGCTGTGAATTTGTACCCAGGGGTTTTCGGGGTCAGAGAATCTATTGGCGGTGTTCATTTTATTGCGTCGACCAATTGGAACTCGCATTTGATTAGTCCAAACTTTTAGATTCAGCGAGAATCGGTCCTTCCTTAAGTAAGACCGTTTTAGACCGACTCAAATGCTTTCCTGTCAAGTGCATTCGCTCGATGATTGCTCGTCGATTGAGGGTCAAGTGTGGATGCTTTTCTTTCTTTTACCCCATTCGAAGCCTTTATGGAGAACTGAAGTAATTGTTCGAAAAGACGAAAAAAACGAAAGTCCCCAATTTTTAGGCTGAAAAAGTCCCCTCAACGTTCATCGAGTACCGTTGTCTCTTTCAGCAATGCGTTCGAAAGACTGATCTGCACAGGGTTTATTCAAAAGAAAAACTCCAAATCATTTACATAAAAATCTCTAGATAGCATTACTGGTTCAACTCTATTCATCAAATGGTCTATCCGCAAATGTGATCGGCTCGTGTCGCTTGCGATTGAAAGATGCCAATCTGATCACAAAGGGAGAGGCAGTGATGAATCTAGCATTGACCTCAAATAATATCAAGGTTCATTTCAAAGTTAGTAGAGTTAAGTAGAAGCTTACTAGAAATCTTGCTTGTCTATAGCTTTTGTCTAGAATCCATTCGACGAATTCACCCCAGCGTCCCTTGGCGAAATCCTTTTTCTTGTCAATTTCCATGCCGATCGTCTCTCTGTGGTCATCTCGAAACTTAGAAATCTTGATAAATTGTATATGGGTGAGTCACTTAATGTCATTTTCAATTTCATAGTTCCGAATTTGAGTAAAATAGTCGCAAAACCACGCATTGTCCCATCAATCACCGGGCATCAATCATCAATTCCAATCCGAACCTAATTCCACCTTCGTTTTCTCAACCGTCTCTGAGCCGATTGCTCTGAAATTTTGTCTACAAGCAGAGAATGCCAATTTCTATTTGTAAGCAAAATTTCAGAGCAATCGGCCAAGAGACGACTGAGAAAACGAAGGTGGGATTAGATTCAGGTTGGAATTTTCCCATCTTTAGTAGGGTAGATCAGCCAGGTTAGGTTCAGGTCTGGCTTCTGGCGGGTCAGACCCACAACAATGCAGGTTAGAAGACTAGAAATCAATACCTGGCTCTTGTTTTGATTGACTTAGCTCGAAAAAATCCCTCTTGTAGCAACCCTTCGCTCAAATTGCCATTTAGACGTTTTCATTCGTGTCTACATCGTTCAACCGATGGGCAAAGTGATAAAGAAGAAAACGTCGATCAAATCGATTCTCGATGGAGGAGCGAATGTGATGGAGAGTCTATTTGTGAATATCTCAAGACAGAAATTATTGGTGAGGGAAAATCTGTTCAATTGAACGCTGAATGTTCTTTAGAAGAGTCACATTCGATTGTCGGTGGTTTGCTCGGAAAGGAGTGGAGGAGTGGGGAGGTAGGGATTGCTGTCAATCTCATAGTCAACAAAAACGATAGTTGCGAAAATGCAAACGCATCTTTTGCCTATTTTTTTACAACATTTAGATATATGAGCTTGCAGTTTACATTACAGATCTGTAAATTTGTGTGGATAAAAATCACAAGTACCAAAAAACTATTCAGATAGAAGTGCAGATATAACCGATTTTTAAACTATTCAGAAAAACCTGCCTAACGGGTTTTTCAAGGGGTTCTTCTGGGAAGCCCTTTGTCGTCACCGTGGCGCAGTCGGGAGGCGGTGCTGGTATACGGTCCATACAACCCGGGTTCGACTCCCGTAGTGCCACTCGATCCTAATCTTTTTCAATTTCTTATTTTAAATGGCACAACTATGATACATTTTAAGACTTTTTAAAAACTTTGCCTCAAAGATCGCGGTGAAAAAGCCCGTACAAACACGGAGAGACACTGGTCTTTTATATATGTTAATCAAGATGCTAATCTAGGGATATTCTAGGGATAAAGTAAGACAAAGATGCCCACTTATAGTCACCTTTTCTGAAAGGTGGTTTCTATCATAATCTTTACTTGAGACCTGAAAGGCTTCTATCATAATATTTACTTGAGATTCTGTTGCACAAAATATACGGTTGCTTGCATACATGTAAATGGAAATTTTTTGCAGATCGATCGGCCACGTTACCCTTGGTGGAAAGACGGGCGGTCGAGAGCTGGGCCAATGGATGAGAATCATCGATGGAGAGCAGACACATACGGCCACATGGCATCACATTCTTCCAAGAAATACTTCAATGTAATGCATTTTGTAAAGGCATTCCATATTCTTGATTCTCTTGTTGTTCGATGCTCATATACAGGGTTTCTCAAAAGCTTCGAGCCATCTTGTTTTGCGGTCAGCGAATTTAGCTTTTAAGATAGACAAAAAAACTATCCAACGTTGAATTTTCTTAAAAATTTTGACATTATATCAAGTCTATGTTGAATTGCAACAAAGATCAAGTCTTTTAATTGGCTCAGAACAACGATCTAGCCTTTTAATTGGCTCAGAACAAAGATCAAGTCTTTTAAATGGCTCAGAACAAAGATCAAGTCTTTTAAATGGCTCAGAACAAAGATCAAGTCTTGTCATTGGCTCAGAACAAAGATCAAGTTAGAATCAACCCAAATACCTGATCGCTTGAATTTCTCCCAAAAATCATTCAAATTTTCTGAAATTTTTTAATAAAACTCAAAAGAATCTTATTTTTAGGTTAATTGAAGCTGAAACGCAAAACTTGTAGCTTAAAAAAGCTAACAAGTTGTAAATATCAATATAAATTTCAATTTTTCATTGTTCTTTCACTTAAGTATGCCTGTTTACTCTGATAAGAAGGCTCTGTTTTTTTTTGGAAACTTTTTTTGGAAAACTTTTCTAAACTCCTATTTTATCTATCTAGATTTTGAATTTCTAAATCGTTTTTCAAAAAAAAATTCTGTTCTTTAAAAACGAGGTGGCTTCAAACTTTTGAGAAACTCGGTAGAGCTCGGGTTGTTTTTCTTTTTCTGTATAAAAGTTGTTTTGTATCGAAATAAAGGCAAATGACTGAAGTACGGTATTTTTTTTCTTAACGCATTCTTTTAGGAAACACTTCATTAGACATTTGGAGTATTTGGAGTGACTTTATAACGCATCTTTCAGGAAAGTTACAGTTTGCACTGCTAGACGCAGCTTACAGCACAGCTTGCACTTCTAGACGACAATGTTTCTTGGTGCAGAAGACTCAAACCGAAGTGCGGTAGCTTCTTGCTGAGTCTTCTTCATTCTTCCTTCTTCCACATTTTAAGAAACGCTTCACTTTCTTTCAAAAAGCTACATTACTTCAATAATTGAAGTAATGTAGCTTTTTTGGATACCTTTTTAGGAAGCAGTTTCAATTAATAGGTTGATGCATAAGTGTTTTTGTTCCTTTTCGTCTGCCGTTTCAAGCCAACAAATGCACCAATTAAACTACGGTTGATTTCATTAGAAAAACCAATTATTTTTCTGCAAAATAACATTAAAACGGGTTTAAAAATATTTAATGCCTGGATTTTCTTGAGAGTATGAAGTCGGGTAGTCAAAAAGGGCTAACTCGATGATGCGGTTTAGACACCTTAGCTAAAGAAAACCTATCTTCGTGTCAATAGATAAAAGATAGAGAAAAAAAACGTTTGATATTTCGCCAAAATTTCAGAGAAATTCATTCAGCCAATTTTTCCGTAGAGTTTTTTATAGATTTTTACGAAAAAGGCGTTTTTCACTCTCGAATTTGCTTGAAAGTGAACCGAAATTCATTTAAAAAGATGCTAATTGAACAAAAAAACACTTTTTTTTATAGAGCAAACTATAGATTAATTGGTGAATTTGTTACTTTTTAACAGAAGTACGAAAAAAACGAAAAGACTTATGCATCAACCTAATAAATTACCATTTCATTGTCTTTTTCTTTTCTTTTCTTTTCTTTTCTTTTCTTTTCTTTTCTTTTCTTTTCTTTTCTTTTCTTTTCTTTTCTCGGGCACTCTTTATTCGACACGCTCAAATCTCAATCAAAATCGGAGATGAACGGCAAACAAACAAAAACACAAATGAACATGCCAAACAGACATTGCACTCTTGTAAACGCCGACTTTCTGGCATAAGCAATACATCTATACTCTTTCTACAGTCAAAGTTCAAGCTCTTATATGTGAAATCTTTGAGAACTCAGCTCTGAGCTTTACTCTCAATGAAACCGAACGAAATTTGATCTGTGCACTAACAACTGTGAGATTTCTAGCGCTATAAATTTACGGCACAAATACGTGTTTCAATGTGCCAGAACGTGCTCGAAAAAGCTACATTACTTCAAAAAGCTACATTACTTCACAATTGAAGTAATGTAGCTTTTTTTTGGATACATTTTAGGAAGCAGTTTCAATTAAATTACCATTTCATTGTCTTTTTCTTTTCTTTTCTTTTCTTTTTCAAAATTGTAAAGGGCAGGCAACCTATCCCTCTTTTTTGAGATTTATTCAAAGTTAATCCCACGGTTAGTTCAAGGAGAGGTTCTTTCGTTTTAGATATTCCAGTCACCTCCAATAAGTTTGTTTATAACTCTTTTCCAATAAGAACTGCCTTCTTTTCCAATAAGAATTTGGAATCGACTCCGCAGAGTTTTGAGAGAGTCCAATAGTCTCGAAACCTTTAAATTATCTGTAAATGATCTTGATCTTGATCTTGAAGCTCTAGTGGATTCTTGACGTTATCTATGCTACCCACATTTTACATATATTATATCGTGTTTCTTTTTATCGGCCCTTTTTGTGTTATGTGTATGAATTGATGTGTTTTAATCTTAAATCTAGCGCACTTTATCTCAGGTCCTGAATAAAGTATCTATATATATATATATGTTGTGTCCGATTTAGATTTCCGTCCGATTTAGATTCAATCTAAATCGGACGGAAATCTAAATCGGACACAACATATATATAAATTACCATTTCATTGTCTTTTTCTTTTCTTTTCTTTTCTTTTCTTTTCTTTTCTCGGGCACTCTTTATTCGACACGCTCAAATCTCAATCAAAATCGGAGATGAACGGAAAACAAACAAAAGAATGGCACCACTTCTTTTTTTTGTGTGAAATAACAGAAATCTATTTGGGGAATCAAATAAAAAAATCGAGAATTTCCCTAAAAAGGTTTAGCCTCAAAGAAAACGCTAAATTAAAGAAAAAAAAAGTATTTTTTGGCATATTTGTAGGACGAGAAAGCGGTGACCAAATAAACGAAAACGTGCTTTTTTGTGAAATTGGATGGATCGAATATCGAGTTCTTTTCCTTTATTTATCCTCATTCACTCGTTTCGCTGACCGCATTCTGACCTAAAGTTCAGAAAAATCTTTGTGATTTTAGCAATTTTCCTCGAGTTGAGAATCTTTTCTTGGATTTGAAAGCGGATTTTTATCGAGTTTTGTGGACACTGGAAGTGCTATGGATAACGAGTTAGATTTTGAATTTTCTTGCAATTTATGTGCCTCACTTTCCTTACTTACTTACTTGCTTTCTTTCTTTCTTCCTCTCTCCCTTTCTTTCCTGCCTTCTTTCTTTCCTTCTTTCTTTCTTCCCTTCTTTCCTGCCTTCTTTCTTTCCTTCTTTCTTTCTTCTTCTTCTTCCCCCTTGTCTTTTCCTCTTTCTCTCGACAGTTCAAGGTACCGGATAGCTTAGTGGTTAGAGCAATTGCCTGGATCTAGAGTTCAATCTAGAGTTCAATCACCTCTAACCCTAGGTAGATCTCTAAGAGATCTAGAGTTCAATTTTCTCTAACCCTAGGTAACTTTTGGTTTAGTCAAAAATTGGAGATTAAAATTCGTCACCTCGTCACCCAAGTCCTTACAAGAACAGCTAATAGAAATCCTATAGAACAGCTAATAGAACTTTCTCTATCTAGGTCTCCTAGTCCCGAGTTGCGCAAATGAACATGCCAAACAGGCATCGTACTCTTGTAAACGCCGACTTTCTGGCATGAGCAATACATTTATACTCTTTCTACAGTCAAAGTTCAAGCTCTTATATGTGAAATCTTTGAGAACTCAGCTCTGAGCAATGAAACCGAACGAAATTTGATCTGTGCACTAACAACTGTGAGATTTCTAGCGCTATAAATTTACGGCACAAATACGTATTTTAATGTGTGTTTCAATGTGCCAGAAAGTGCTCGTTTATCCAGGCACAAAGCATCGCATCACAAAGCATCGCTTTCTATAGCTTCTAAGCTTCTCGATTCCTCAAAGTGATTTGCAAACGTTTCAAAATGTTCACTTCCTTTCTGATCTCCAAGAAAAGATTCATCGAACTTGTCATCAATCACCACAATCAATTCTATTCATTTTGCCCGAAATGCGCCCAACAAATTTGTTTTTTTTTGTTAACCCAAAAGCATTTTACATGTGAATTCTTTGCGGTGAAAGGGATGTTTAGGGGAAAATTTGCATGGGGAAAAGCTTTTGAAATCAAAAAGATTGATTGGGGGAAAATTTTGAGGGGAAACAAAAAATAAAATTATGTTTTTGGTCAACTGAGGATGATGAAAAAGATAAATCTGAATACTTTTTTTCACCCAGCTCACCTGCCAATAGATCTTTTCTCCTTTTCTGAAACACTGTGTGCTAAAAATGAATGCCAAGTGCTCTTATTGCAGTGGGTTTAAAAAAAATTGAAATGAAATGCGTTTTGGAAGATTTAAGGACTTAGCTCCCTCTGGAGTAGGGGAAATCAAGTGTGTTGCACATCAAAAGCCAAAAAAAGCTTTGTGATTCAAAATTGAGCAGTGGAAACTGATGGTTTGATTACAGTAGTTTGGTAAAATAGCTGCCTTTAAGAAAAGCGAGCTAAGCTAGAGCCAGCTAAGCTATAACCAGCTAAGCTATAGCCAGCTAAGCTAAGCTATAGCCAGCTAAGCTAAGCTATAGCCAGCTATAGCCAGCTAAGCTAAGCTATGGCCAGCTATAGCCAGCTATAGCCAACCATAGCCAGCCAACCATAGCCAGCCAACCATAGCCAGCCAACCATAGCCAGCCAACCATAGCCAGCCAACCATAGCCAGCCAACCATAGCCAGCCAACCATAGCCAGCCAACCATAGCCAGCCAACCATAGCCAGCCAACCATAGCCAGCCAACCATAGCCAGCCAACCATAGCCAGCCAACCATAGCCAGCCAGCTTTAGCCAGCCAGCTTTAGCCAGCCAGCTTTAGTCAGCCAGCTTTAGTCAGCCAGCTTTAGTCAGCCAGCTTTAGCCGTGCACTTTGTGCTCGTCGGAAACGCACCCTTTATGGGGCACCATGGCTTTCTTTGGTGGAGAATGAGTGCACTAGAAAGCGGTGTGTTTCCATTCTTGAGTATAAAGTACATTCAGAGAACAGATTCTCCGTATGACTACAACAAGTAGTAAGCACAGTGCCAATACTTTTCTCAAGCTTTCCAAAACGCATTCCATTTCACAAATTGATTAAAATGAATTCAAAATCGACTTACCAGCGAGTTCTCAGCCACATCAGCCCTTTCCTCGGCGCATTCCAGAGCGAGCTGGATTTGACGGAATTTCGAGAGATTCGAAGTGGCAACTTCTTCCTGAACATTATCCAATTAACATATTTTTATTTATTTTGATATCCAATTAACATTTTAACATATTTAACAGATAAAATCTATAAATGTCTTCCTGTAACTGTTCCTATTGATCAGATTTTCCTCACCGCCTCCTCGATTTGTCTCTTTTGCACTCGGATACGCGCTTGCAGCTTCTCGACGAGCTCCTGGAGACGATCGAACGCTTTCTTGTCCTCTTCCACCTTAAAAAAATCGCAAATTTTGATATTTAACCTTTAAGTTAAGCTTTTTTCACTTATTTCTTCCTTTTCATTTGAAATTTTCCCTTCTTTCAGTCAAATAGGTTGACGGAATTATTCAAAAATCGAAAATTTACTTGGAATTGAAGTTCCCTGACGCGTCTCTCCTGTTTGGTAACTCCTTTGATCGATTCCTGATGGCGTTTCTGCTCGTTCTTCAGCTCGACCTCGATCGATCGGATACGGTCCTCCATCTTGGCCAACGCCTTTTGGCCATCTGAAATTTTGGGATCACGTTGGCTAGTTGAAAAGCTGAGTAATAGAAAAGCTTTTCCCCTCCCCCTACCCACATTTGATCATTGCTTGTTCGGCTTCATCCATCTTGAGTTGCAAGTCGCGAATGGTCATCTCGAGTCCCTTGCGTTGTCTAAAATTGACTCACATTAGCCAAAGACTTTAGCTAAAACCTTCAAAAGTCAAAAAACCTGAAAATTTGCTTAACCTATACATTCCATTCCAAAAGCATTTCCAATTCCAAGTGAATGCCAAGATTTCCTACCTGTCAACGTGAGCTGCGTGATCTTGCTCTTGTTTGACCTCTTCTTGCAGACGAGCCGCATCGGCCATCGCCTTTCTCGAGCGCTCTTCGGACACCTTGAGCTCGTTGAGGATCTCGTCCAATTCGTTCTAAAGTTCATTTTCATTTTATAGTTTAATTTGCATATGTGATATCTGATACCTTTGCAATCTGGACGTCATTCTCGACCTTTCTCTTCATCGCCGAAATTGCCGCGTTTCCAGCGATCAATTCGGTGTTTGACGACTTGAGATCGGCCATATCACCCTCCAATTGACGTTTTTGCTGAAAATGATTAAGTTTTTCAAATGTTACAGTAATCATATCTTGAAGATACTGTAAAGCTGATGTCTGGGATTACAAAAGTACTATTGCTATGTCCAGAAAGTTTGTCGAGAAAGTCTTTTAGACTTTCTCGACTACCTGACTTCATACACTCAAAAAGAATCCAGAAATAAGACATTTTAAACCCATTTCAATGGAAAAATAAGGAAAATTTTACAGGAAAATAATTGGCCTTTCTAATAAAATAAATCATAGTTCAATTTGTGCATTTTTTTAGCTCTAAACAGAAGTACTAAAAGAAACGAAAAGATTCTCTTGGCAGCCTATTTACTGGAATCCATTTAACTTCACTCCAGTATCTCGATCCAACCTAAGCCTTATAACTTTAAAAACTACATTATAAACCAATTTCAAATCTCTCTCACCTTGTCAGCGACGCCGATTCTCTGGCTGAGATCATCTTGTTCGGACAAGGCGACGGCCAATCTCTTCTCGGCGGCCAAATAGTTCTCTCGCAACTCCTCCCGTTTTTTCTGCTCATCTTCCACTTGGGATTGCAATTCCTTCACTTGTTCCAACATTTTCTTGATCGTTTTCTGTGCCTCAACATTTGCCTTATTTGCATGGTCCAACATGATCTCCAATTGGTTGATGTCACCCTCCAACTTCTTCTTCACGCGTTGCAACTCGGCCTTTGTCTTCGCTTCCACCTCCAACGAGGCTTGGATCGATTCGACGGCTCTTTGGTGATTCTTACGGGTGTTCTCGAATTCTTCCTCTTTTTCTTGAATTCGTTTCTCAACCTCGGAGCGGATCTGCTGCACCTCGATCTGTTGGCGAAGCACCTGGAAATTACGGATCTGGATCACTTTTCAAGTTGGAATTTCATTATAGCACTTTAGCCTAATATAGCTTTCCTTCAGCTATGGTTTTCCCTACTCAAGTTGAATATTTACAGTAATTTTCAGAGTTGCCACTACAGTACTACATAAAACAGCACTGTAATTGCCTATAGAGCTCGGGTACTGTCCATATATTTCCTATAGACAGTATTAATGTATCTAGGTAGAAAATAGAATCCTTTTAAATGCTTGTTCAAGTCAATAAAAAGTACTGTAGCCAAAACTAAAGCCAATTCCTTATGCAAGTTAGTGGAAAGGTTTTTAGCTAAGATGTAGATGTAGAAAGTTTTCTTTGTCATAAACTTCAGTAATCATTCCCCACCTTGCTCTCCTCAGCTTCCAGCGCTCCCTCAGCTTCATCCAAAGCGTGCTGGAGCTCATCTTTCTCCAACTCCAATCTGAAAATGAATTTTTTTGTATTTGATTCAAATTTAATATATGATTCTATTGGGTTGGTGAATTGAAAACTGCGGGCTATTGTCAGATGTGACAGTTCTCACACTTTCTTCAAAAGAAACCCATTTTGGTGCCAATGGAAAAGTCGTAGAGAATCAAAAATCAAGCTTATATCCAAATTTTCAGAACGATTCAAAAACTGGTTTTCAAGAAATGCCAAATTTACGAATTTTCCCAAAACTTGCATTTTAAGCGAAACTACTAAGTGTATCTTTTTGGAAATTTGGCTATAAGCCTCATTTTTGATTCTCTACAACTTTTCTATTGACACCAAAATGGGTTTCTTTTGAAGAAAGTGCTCAAAAGTGCTACTGGGACATCTCCAGTCCTCGATTTTTGAGTCTCACACTTGTCTCACACACAAACCAAAATCCTACTACGGAGGAATCCACAAATTGCCTGTAAAACGGGCAGAAGTCGTCAATAATAATGAAAATTATTTGGAATGAATTCATGGTTTTATGTTAAATAAATTTTAGTTCAAAGTCCGGCAGTTTTCAATTGACCAACCCAATATTTGCAAAGCAAAGTCTCCTCACCTCTTGACCAATTTGAGGACATCGTTGTAGGTGCGTCCTCCTTGGGAGATCTGCTCATTGATGTCTCTGATCTCTTGCGTGTGGCTCTTGTTCTCTCTCTTTCAACGCCTCGATCTGATCGGTCAACGCGTCCATGGCCGACTTGAGCTTGAACACCTCAGTCGATGTGCTCCTCGAGTCTCTCGTCGTCGCATCAATCTCTTTCTGCACATCGTCCACTTTCCGCTTCCAATCCTCCACAATTTTATCGAAAGCCTTCTGCTTCTTCTCCAAAGCGGCAATCACTGTCAAATGTCTGTCGACATCCGATCGAGCCTCTTCAGTCTCTTGCATCAAGCGTCCCTTGGCTTTCTCTAACATCGAAATCTTTTGCGTAGCGGCAGAGAGGAGATCTTGAAGTTCAAAGATTCGCATATTCTGCTTCCTCTTTGTCTCTTCAACCTCATCAGCTCCGACGAGTCCCTCGCCCTCATATTTCGCTTTCCATTGTTGAATTTCCGAGTTCATCTTGGAAAGTTGCTTTTGAATCTCCGAACGTTGCTCAGCTTCCTCTTCCAAGAGCTCTTGCGCTTGCTCGATCTCATGTTGCAAGTTCTTCGAGGTCACATTCAACTCCTGTTTCTCACGACTTTCCTCATCAAGTGCCTTCTTTGCCTCATTGAGTTGCGAAGAGTAAGCAGCTTTGGCGCGAGTGAGTGTATTGAGTTGAGTCTCAAGCTCCTCAACAGTTCTCGCCAAATCAGTATTATCCACCATGAGACGTACCTTCGAGGTGCTGTACTCATTGATTTGACGAGTTTGCTCATCAACTTTAGACTGGAGCTCACCCAACTGAATCTCGTAAGTCTTCGCCAAGCGCTCTTGCTCAGCACGGGCTTTGGTCTCATTGTCAACCTGAGAGTTGATATCATCAAGTTGTTTCTGCAACAAGCCCTTCTCCTTGTCGATTCGAGACTTGTTCTTCTGCAAATTCTCTAATTGAGCAGTCAACTCAGCAACTTGATCGTTGTTTCGCTTGCGTAGGGAAGCGAGTTGATCCTCGTGTCCCATGTTTAGCTCATCCAACTCGCGACGAATTTTCGCCAACTCAGCATCTTTCTTCTTGTTGACCTCGAGTTGAGCCTCACAGTTGCCGTTTTGTTCATCGAGACGCTCATTAAGCTCATCGAGTTCACGTTGGAGCTCAGCACGAGCGCGATCAGCTTTGGATCGAGCTTGTCTCTCGTGCTCGAGCTCGTCCTCCATCTCTTGAAGGCGTTGCGCATTCTCTTTTTGTTGACGGATCAATCGGCCGGCTAATGCTTGCTCATCTTCTAAACGAACTCCCAAAGCGTGGAGATCGGTCTCCTTCTTTTTCAAATTAGCCTCCGCATCAGCTTTGATCTTAAGCATTTCGTCAATATTTTCTTGCGATGCTTTCAACTCTCCCTCAACCTTTCTCTTCGCTTTCTCAACATCGGCACGGATTCGACGCTCACGCTCCACGGTTTCCTCAACTTCGTCAAGGGTTTGCTCAAGTTTTTGCTTGAGTCGATTGACTTGGGCGGTTTTCGCCTCCTCAGCTTGGAGATCCTCGGTCAATTGGCGATTCGCCTCCTCTTGGTGTTTCTTCTCCTTGTTGAGCTTAGCGATCGACTCATCCTGAGCGTTCATCTCGTCTTGAAGCGAGCGAATCTGGTTGTCTTTGGCTTGCTTCTCTTCTTCGGTTCTTTGAATGTTCATCTCAACTCCTTCAATCGCTTTCTTCATGTTGTCCACCTCCATCTCGGCTTTTCTCTTCTCTTTGTTGAGATGCGAGTTTCGTTCTTCTTGCGACGAGAGTTTATCGTTCAAATCAGACAATCCTTTCTCCAATTCGTTCTTGCTTGCGTTCAACTTGTTCAACTTTGCTTCAACAGCCGCACCACCACCGGCACAAGCTTCGAGAGCCTCCAAGAGTCGCTGTTTCTCGGCTTGCAATTTTCCATAGACCTCTTCAGCCGCTTTTCTCTCGGATTCCGATTTGGAGACTTGTCCCTCGAGTTCTTTGACTTGAACGGAAAGACGAGCCATCTCTTCGGCTTGTTTTCCCGATTTCAATTGTGGACGAAGCTTTCCGAAAAGCTTGTACCAGTCCCAAGTACGGAGCACCGACCAAGTGCGGATATTCTTCTGCACGACAATGTACGCGTTGAGTTGTTTGCGTCTCGCGTCGCTGTCCTCGGTGGCAAAGTAGAAACGGACACGCGCTTGGAAAAGCGAGATGATCTCGCTCAACTTCTCGTCTCTCAAGTCCTCAATATGAGCGACAACTCCGGCCTTGAAGAAGACTTTCGTGTGCCCGATACGGTATTGAGCCTCGTTGATTTTTCCCTCTTTCTCGAGTTGAGTCATGATCGCTTCGGCGTTCATCTTCGGATCATCTTTGCTCGTCTTCGCAGCGTTGGCAGCAAGAATTGCGTAACGTTGCACGAAATCGGGATGCTGGGTACGATTGGGGAAACCCTTTCGGCAGATACGAATACCCTCGAGCACACCGTTGCAAGTGAGTTGATTCATGACAAGCGCGGCATCAAGAACTCCCGATTGTTTCTTCTCGTTGGGGATGATGCAACGGATGAAGTGGGGATGAGTCTTGTGCAACATGTCCATCAACTTGTTCAGCGACTAAAAAGAATTAAAAGAATTATGACATTTTAAATGGTATTCAGTTTTTGGTTGCCTTACATCTATTATTTTTTTTTTACATATTTTGTTAAAACAAAGTGTAAAAGCAGCTATTTAAAAGAATAAGTGAATGAATTATTTTTGAATAAATCAATTATAGGTTTTCGGTTACAACTTACTTCTCTGTACATCATCGACACGGTCATCATGGAGCCAGATTTGCCCTTCTTGCGCTCACCACCGGCTGGAATTTGGATTATTAGGGAAATTTTGAGAATAATAGACTTTTGATAGTCTAGTGCTGGTGCTAAACTAGTACTAGATTTTAGTACAGTACTGTATTTTTGATAGCTTTCAGTAGTGGCAGTGCCTAGAGTGAAAAATACAACAGTAGCTAGCAGTACCTAGAAAATACAACAGTAACTAGCAGTTCTTAACCAGATTACAGTAACCTGAAACCTGTTTTTTAAGCTAGATTCTACAGTACTTAACAGGACATTTTGGTAGCCTACTATGCTTATTGACAGTACAGTATTCCTGGTATTGCACAGTACTTTTTAATAGCTGATAGTAGCGATGCCAGACTACGGTATTAGCAATGCTTAGCCAGGTCTACTGTGCTATTAAACTACAGTTCTTAACAGTAACTAATCGAATCTGTTAAATAGGGAAACTACGGTACAGAATATTACGACAATTAGCAGTTTTACGGCTTAGGCTTAGGGTTACGATAGAGGAAAATTGAAAAGACTACTGTAAATGCCAAGTTAAGTCTTACTAATCTTCTCGTTATTTAATCTAACTATAATAGTTTTACTTTCAATAAAAACTTGTTCTAACTAACCCTTTGCCACAGCGGCAGCCTCCTCTTGAGTCTGGTAATCCTCCCAAATAACATTGAGCAACTTGTTTCCCTTCGATGCCTTCAACACTCCGACAAGTGTGTCGTTCAATGGATCCTTAAAATTTTGAATATAATAAAATACGTTGCAAAAGGTTAGCTTAGATTTAAAATTTATATGAATTAGAAACGAAAGAAACCTTGTTCTTCTCCAACCAGTTCAACACATTGTATCGCACAGTACCGGCGTAGTGCCGCATGGCAAAATGAGCCTCGCCTTGTTTTCCCTTTGGTGGCTTAGGCTTCTCGAAGTTGGGATGCTTGCCCAAATGTTGATCGTTCAATTTTTGAGCGAGTGTCATGTCGGTGGCCTTTGGCACGATGCACTCCTCATCAAGCATCGAGATGATACCTATAATTTCGTTGGTAAAGTTTTGAACTTTTCAGAGATGTCCCAGATTATTTCTTTCTATAGTATATCGAAAAAGTATTCAACTTTCAAAACCGAACATTTTTACTTTTAGAACAAGAACATTAAAGGAATTTAAACGACTGATACTTATAGTTACAATGATTTTACGATGCATTTACCGTATTTTCTCTAATAGTAGTGCACCCTGAGCGTCGCCTAAATTGCTCGAAATGTCGAGAACGCAGAACCTATCGATGTGGGGTTGGAAAATGTAGCTGACGATGAGATCTTGTGAGGGATTAGAGTGTTAAGCTTCTGCAAAAGCTTGGAAGCCGTAAAATAGTCACCAACTCGACGCGGCTGGGTGCACTACTATTAGAGAGAATACGGTATATGCATTGAATCAATAGAATTGAGATGGAAGTGGGGTCAGAAAATGTAGCTGATCTAGTTGGTTGTTAAAGTGATCTTGTGATCTTGCCTTATCTTGCCAGCGTGTTTGGAACCCTCGACCATCCGCTTAAGAGACAAAACTCCTTAACCAGTCGGCCAGCTGGCCAAGTACCGTATTTTCTCTAATAGTAGTGCACCCTGAGCGTCGCCTAAATTGCTCGAAATCTCGGGAACGCAGAACCTATCGATGTGGGGTCGGAAAATGCAGCTGACGATGAGATCTTGTGGGGGATTAGAGTGTTGAGCTTCTGCAAAAGCTTGGAAACCGTAAAATAATCAGCAACTCGGCTCGCCGGGGTGCACTACTATTAGAGAAAATACGGTATATGTTGTGGAATTATGTTCCTTCCACTTTATAGATTGCTTTGTTAATTTTTTTTGTTATTCTATTTGTTATCAATTAAAAGATGTTATAATACTTATTGTAAAGCTAAAATAAAACGAATTCGAGCGATTAAACATCAAAATAAAATGAAAACAAAAGGAAGGGATCGAACCCGACCAAAGCCTTGATGGATTGTTTCAGAAACAAGCTTCTTATTCACTACAGCACGAGAAGCGTTCAAAAATGGTGAAAGAAACCTTATATCTTTAGTACACTATAATTGAATTGAATTCTCTTTACTCCTTTCTTTCTTTCTCCTTGTGTTTCCTATTTCTCCTTGTGTTTCCTATTTCTCCTTGTGTTTCCTGGGTAAGCAAGATGCCGATAGTGGTGGAGCATCAACCCGGTAAGCAGAAGGTCAAGGGTTCGATTCCCCCTCGGTTCCAAACTCTTTGCTATTTTTTACTTTATTTCAGTATTACATAGCTATCTGAAGCATAATATCTGTTTATTTAACCTTTTAAACCGAAAATTACTTAAAACTAACCAAGAGGCTTCTCGATCAACTCGATACACGCCTGGAGATCGAGTCCGAAATCGATGAAAGTCCATTGGATTCCCCGAAATTATTTGTTTTTTTTTCTAAAAACACAAAAAATACCTCTCTCGCGTACTCCTCTTGCTCCAACACAAACATGTGATGGTTGAAGAATTGTTGCAACTTCTCGTTCACAAAGTTGATCCACAGCTGCTCAAAAGAGTTGAAGTCGAAGATCTCGAAACCGGCAATGTCCAACACGCCGATGAAGTAGATACGTGGGGTTCCTTGTTGATCAAGAGTCTGGTTACATTTCGCCACGATCCAGTGGAACACACGAGCGTACAAACTCTTCGCCATCGCGCCAATAGCCCAGTTGACTTGGTCAACGTTTTGTCCCTTGGTCACCCATTCGGCTCCGACTTTCACTCTAGGCGACACTAAAGCTTTGATGAAATGGTCGACGTCGACACCATAGTTGTGGCAAGCTTTCTCAGCTCCTTCTTGGCCATCGGGCTCGGCTTGTTCTTCTCTTGGCCTTTGCTTGAACTTCATGCAGCCCTAAAATTAAATAATTAAAAGTTATCGTAGTTATTTCAAAAAATAGTAGTGCGCACTACTATTACAGAAAATACGGTAGCATTTTTTCACTCTCGGATTTAAAAAATTGAGCAAAAAGCAAAAAAATCAACTTTTTAAAGACTTTCAAAGGCTTTAAATAATATTTATAGACGAAAAAAAGGTTTCTAAAGGCTTCTAAAGGCTTTAAATAATAGCTATAGACTAAAAAAACTTAATGACGTCGAAAAGCGAATAAAAATCCAACAAAAGCACCTATTTTTTGAGCTCTAGATCGAGATCTAGAGGTCAAGGGTTCGATTCCGGGTGAGGTCAGAAAATATCTAAGTTTTTCAGAAATCAAAAAAACTCTAAAACTAAAATCTTTTGTTTTTAAAGCTAGAATCTACTGCAAAAATTTCAGCCAAATCGGCCCACGGCGGGCTGAGATCCAGGCGATCTAGGCGTCGAGAGTTCGATTCCGGACGCGATCAGAAAATAGGCAAATTTTCCAAGAAGTCAAAAAAATTTCTGAAATAAAGTCCCCTTCATTTTTAATTCTCTACCTAGTCTCAAATTTTCAGCTAAATCGGCTCACGGAGCGCCAAGATTTGATCTTTTGCTGGTAAACAAACGTTTTTTTTATATACCTACCTAGGTAGTAGATATAATTCCCATGTATTGACATTGAATATGTATAATATGTGCATATAATATAAAAAAACTCACCATATGCATATGGCCCGCCATTAGACGATAACAATCGTATTTCTCGTCGGCATTGAAGTTGAGAATGTCGAAGGACTCCTCGGTGGCTTGCATCTCTTCCACATCATCAATTCCGTCAACAGTCAACTCGGCCTGTGACACAAACCTGTAAACTTGTTGATCTTTCTTGTAAACTGTAAACTGTAAACGGGGTAGGCTAATTTCAGCAATTTTTTTTGCGCAAAACGCAACGCAACATTGGCGCAACTAAGTCGTTTGCGCAACTCGCCATAACTTTCTTCTAGGTCGACCAATCTTTGTGATTTTGGTGTCATTTTGTTACACTTGTTGAGATCTACAAAATGACATAAAGAGCAGAAAGATTGGTCGACTTAGAAGAAAGTTATTGATCAAAGGAGTCTGAAGGAAGATGGTCCTGACCTAGATGAGTCATAACTTTCTTCTAAGTCGACCAATCTTTCTGCTCTTTATGTCATTTTGTAGATCTCGATAAGTGCAACAAAATGAAACCAAATTCATAAAGATTGGCTCACTTAGAAGAAAGTTATGGAGGGTTGCGCAAAGGACTCAGCTGCGCACCTGTTGCGCACCCTGTTGCGCAAAAAAAAAATTGCGGAAATTAGCCTAGCCCCTGTAAACTGTCAATTACTGATTATATATTAACTATTATCAATTACTTATTACCAACCATTTCCCTTTAAGCTTTGAAGTAAAGATATTCAGTCAAGTACAGTAACCCTCCGCAAAAAAAGACGTTTCTTTTTATTCAATTAATTTCATTTCTAGCGGAAAATATGCCCATTTTTTTTTCTTCTTCGTTTTTTTTTGTTTCTTATTTTGAGACTAATTTTTCTAGTTCTTTTTTTATGTTTTAATTTAATAATAATATAGGGTAACCAGAAATAACCCGTCCTTTCTTTTGACCAACCATTTTTAAGCGTACATAAAAAATTATCTATCGATGCTATGGTTATGAAATATTGAACATATACAGAAAACGATGGGGATTTTCATTTAAAAAAGAAATTAATCCTTTTCATCTACAAATGACAGAAATATGAGCCTAGAACGGAGAATTAGGACAAGTTATTTTGAGTCACCCTGTAATTTGTGTCTAATTTTTACCAATAGTCGGTGATCGGTCGGTCCAACAAAAGTTTCTCCTTTAAACCCTTGATATGTCCGGTGAAGATCTGGTAGAAGATATGGTAGCAACGCTCGCCGGGAGCTTGACGGATCACACGCGATTTCTCAAGAAGGTAATGCTCAATGTCGCAAGAGGCGACACGGCCACTCTTCGAGAAATGGATACGGATGAACTTTCCGAAACGAGAAGAGTTGTTGTTACGCACGGTTTTCGCGTTTCCGAAAGCCTCGAGCACGGGATTTGTGCGAACGATTTGATCCTCAAGAGTCGCTTTCTTATTTCCCTCATCGTCGGCTTTCAATCCCTCGGCCTCGTTTTGCTTAGCACCGACGGCGGCGAAATAGGAGATAACCTTTTTGGTGTTCTCGGTTTTTCCGGCTCCCGATTCTCCGGTGATGAGCATAGATTGATTTTCGTGATCTTGAAGCATGTTACGGTAGGCTTCGTCGGAGACGGAGAAGAGATGAGGAGGCATCTCATTTCTGCGCTTTCCCATGAACATTTGAGCCACCGACTCGGTGTAGATGGGAAGACGCTTGTACGGGTTGATCACCACGCAGAAGAGACCCGAGAAGGTCTGAAAGTTTATTGTAAAGATTGTAGCTGATATTTAAGATGCTGTATAAGGATTGTAGCCTGAAGGTACAGTAGTTGCTTACAGTATTGAAAGCCTGTAAGTGCTGTAAGTCTTACGATATGTCTTGCTACAATATACTGAAGAGAAGTCGCTTACGACTTTAGAACTGAACACTTGAACAGACAGGGTATACTGTAGCAAGACAGACAGGCAGGCAGACAGACAGACTACTGAGAGACTACAGTATTTTAAACGCTTGCTGTAACCTCTAACTACGATACTCTCCAGTCAAAACGCATTTAAATATCTAAATTAACCCTTAAAATGATTTGAACAATGTTATAATAAAGTTCTAATTGTAAATGAAAGCTTAGATATTAGAAAGTTAACTAGAAAACTCTTTGTAAGCTGTCCAATTTACAAATTACGGTAGCCTTTCAATTTACAGATTACGGTAGCCTTTAGAAATTACGGTAGCCTGTTTCTTTTAGCATTCAAAGCTTAATAATCAATTCGATTATCGACTAAGCTTTAGATTAGATTGAATATTTTTACGATTCTAGAAACTCACATAGATCAACATGGTGGCGTAACGGGCGCGCAAGTTGTGCAACACCGAGGCGTCGTTGAGGAAAGTCAAGTTGGACATGTCCTCGGTTTTCTCGAATTTTGGCGGATTCATCTCTTGCGCCAAGTCTTTCTTGAGGGTTTTCTGAAAAAGTCAAAATAAAATTGATATCTTATTTCAACGCACCTCAGCTCCAGTTCCCTCAACAACGACAGTCACTTGATCACCCTTAGTGGACTTGATCTCAGCGGGGAGAAATCCCTCTTCAGCATCGGGGATCCACACGCTCTTCTTCGAGTCATATGGCTTCGAGCTGTCCTGCAATGGGATAATAAAGTTATTATAACGATTATCATTTCAAGAGTGACTCTTGTACAAGTACTCTTGGATTGTTGCTCAAGATCTACAAAAAGAGTCTTGGATAAGACAGATTGATGCTGCACTTGCTCAACAGTTTCTATGTTCAAATTCTACCATTCAGATACGGGAATTGGTTCACGAGTTAAGCAGTGCAAACGCTCGTTTATATCCGAACAACCTAATAGTTTTGCTTTTCTAACTTTTTCCTGTTCATGTCAAGACAGAATTTGTTTCAATAGTGGCAAAATTTGAAACAAGTTTAAACAGTTAGAAGTTAGAAGTCGCAAAAAACGTTAGGCAAGTCTTTGAGTCGAATTTCACCATTCTAAAGTCCAGTAGTACCATTCTCTCAATAATTTCGTAAAGCAACAATAGAGCAAACGTAAAGCAACAATAGAGCAACGCACGTAAAGCAACAATTCGTATACTATAGAGCTTTTTAATCTTTAAACCTCTTATCTAACTTTTATTTTACTAGTTCATTTTTTAGAAAACATATTGAGATACTTGGCGATGATGGAAGCTACAACTTGTGCTATATTTCAGCAGTTTTCCAAAAATATCGAGATCGGTATGTGGATTTCATTAATTTCACAACTCTAAAGCTGATTCAAATCCCAAAAAAAACCCACAATGAGCTCTTGCTCGCGGGAGCGCTTCAAATATTGCCATCCCGGATCGCTCTCACAGCTCGAGAACGGGTTGACCATTTTCGGAGAAGATTCTCAGAGGAAAGCCCAAGAGGAATAAATGCAATGAGGCCCTTACAGTCAGGAGACGGGCACGACCGAATGAGCGAAAAATCGGCTGCAAGGGTAAATGCGGTGGAGAGGGATTTCTTGCGGTCTTTGCTTCTCTAACTTTTTCCGATCTCTGTGAGATCTCCGAAAATCCCTTTCGACGCCCACGGATTCGCATGGAAATTCGGAAAAGATTGAAGGAAATGAGAGACAGAGATTTACAGTCCTCCCCTCATTTCTCTCTGTACACAAGGCCCACATTTTGAGAGGACCTTGAGGACTCGCACCGCTTATCCCTTTTGCCCCTCCACCCTCGGATATGCCAATGGTCTCCTTGGGTCCCCTTGGGTCCCCTGGATCTACCTGGAAATGAATGAAAATTTGAAGAGAAACTCGAGTAAATCGATTCGGGAAAAGTAAAAAATGAAATCTGCCTTAAAATCCATTACCATTATCGGTTGATTTCCGATGGTACAGAAAAGAGACTTTTGTTTAAAACATTACAGGCAAGGATAAGAAAACATTACAGGATAAGAAAACATTACAAGCTTAGGCAAGGATAAGAAACTTTTTTGAATGTTATTTCTCAATCGTTTTATAAAACTCCTTCTTTTTCTATAAACTTCTTAATTATTCTCGTACAAAGTAGTCACACTTTTTCTAATCTTAATGTTGCTTCTCGAGTTTTTTAGAAACCAAAAAAGCGTTGAAAAGGAGAAAATGAAGGATGGCGCTAGGATACCCGATGCTTTGTGGTTTAAAAGTAAAGCCAGCCAACTGATTTTTCTTTTCAGTAATATCTCAATAGGTTAAGGAATGAATAAATTTATACTATGAATAAAGTTATACGTTTAAGTTGGCTGGCTGCAAAGTTACAAGAACTTTTATCTGAGCAATTTTACCCAATCCTTTAGTTGTTGACTGATGTGAATTTCTCGGCAAAACGTGGGTAGTTTAGTAGTGAAAACTGGGGAAACGGCATTGCCCCTAATTTGTTTTCTAATAGTAAAACATGTAAACTTTTGTCAAACTACCGTAATCTTGCTTCGATTTTATCCAATCTACAGTACTGGACAATGAAATATGATATTTAAAAAACGATCGTCACTTTCGCGCGCCTGTAACTCCGTTGTCTTTGAGTTTAAACTATTAGTGTTATACATTTTCTGAAAGCTCTTTTCAAGGGCTACACAATGGTAATATTAATATTTAGAAATACGGTAAAGACAAGGAAGTTACAGATGCGCGAAAGTGACGATCGTTTTTCAAATATGATATTTCAATGTCCAATAGTGTAACTTTTGATATCGATCTAGAATTTCAAAAAACAAAGCCTATTAGATAAAAGTGCAGCCAAGATTACGGCAGCTTTTGAAAGTTAAAATTTTCTAGGGACTCAAGCTTAAACATCGGTCAGGTTATGAGTTTAGATTCATTTTTGATTTTAGTAAAGTTTTCGAAGCTCTGTAATCGAGCTTTCATATGAAGTCATAAGGTTATATTGTACTGTTTTCATTCTCAAATTTCTTTCTGTCGATTTTTCGAGTTTTACTTAACTTTCACCAATGATTCGGTAGAGACTTGATGGGTTGAGCCGTTGAGATCATCAAAGTCAGAAGTTGCAAAGGATTTGTGAAGAGGTGAAAAATGAAGAGAAAAACTTTCTTTTTCTCTTTCCATGAAGAAATCTTTTCTCCTCAAATCTCTCTTTTCCTAAACAAATACTCTCAAAGCACCTATCTTTCCAGGGATTTCTCGGAGCCACCTTTCTCTATTTTCTTGAGTGATTTGGCACTGCTGAGGTTTTTGAGGGTTAAATTACCAGAATTTCAATTATAGTATAATATACATCTACCCTTTAAACAAAAAAACCACAACTTTTTTTTCCGTTCATTTTTGTATTGGAACTGCTTATTCAACAGTTTTCAAAAATATCGAGATAGTATGGTTCATAATTTCACAACCTAAAGCTGATTCAAACCCAAAAACCCACAATGGCCTTGCTCGCGGGGCGCTTAATATTGCCCCCGGTCGCTCTCATAGCTCGAGAGGTTGGCCATTTCGAGGATTCTGTGAGTTTTGGCTGAGGTTTGAGGGGTTGGAAAGGTTAAGCACGGGATTGATAGAAACATTTCAATTATTAGTATAATATATCAAATGTACTGTATTCTATCTACGATATCTTTGTACGAAAGAGCTTTAAAAACTCAAGACCACTGTGGTTTTGCGCTTTTTTATGAACCAGTGAAATGTTATAAATGCAATCCTTTATTCTTTAATTTTTTCAAGAATGGGGATTGGCTCGAGTTGATCGGCGATGAGAAGAGATGAATCGAATGAATGGATCGTGTCGGGAAATGAGAAACGAATCGAGGGAACGTTGATTAATGTCGGATCGTCGTCATCGAAATCGAGCTAAACAAGAAAATTACTTTCATTTTAACCACTTTGACTACTTTAATCCCTGAATAAGCTTTGAGGGATTACTGTACACATGATAAAGTATAGTAATATCCAAAAATTACAGTAATCCTAATAATAGCTTCTAATAGCTACAAGCTACAAGAATCTCACTAAGCTACCCGTAATCTCAGAAAGCTATAGTACTTGCTGTAGTTATCGTAATTCCTAAAAGCTACAGTAACCCATGAAAGGTGCTATAAAGTACCGTAACCCCTGTCAGTTATAGTAACCCTTGAAAAGTCTTGTAAAGTACAGTAAACCCTGCAAGCTAGAGTAATCCCAAAAAGCTACAGTAACCCATGAAAGGTGCTGTAAAGTATAGTAACCCCTATCAGTTATAGTAACCCTTGAAAGGTCTTGTAAAGTACAATAAACCCTGCAAGCTAGAGTAATCCCAAAAACCTGCATACCGTCTCTTCATAGGAGTATCTTCTTCGGACTTTTCGTAGTCTGGAGATTCGTTGCCGTTGCACCTCGAGTCCGTCTGAAAATAGGAATTCAAAAAACTTGAATAAAATTAAAACTCGAAAAACAAACTGGTTCTTGACAAGGTGATAAGTTTGATTTGTGGTGGTGTGAGACTTCGTTGTGTCACATCCTCGATCACACATCCTTGATCACGACGACGTGGATACCCGTGTTCAGCTCTGGAAAAAAAGACACTGATATTATTAGATTAAAACATTATCATCATAGCAAATGCCTGTATGTTACAGTAATCCTAATGACTGCAGGAATTCTAATAGCTACAAGAATCTCACTAAGCTACCGGTGATCTCAGAAAACTACAGTACTCACTGAAAGTTATCATTGCCCCAAAACCCAAAACCCAAAACTACAGTAACCCTTGAAATACTAGACTTAATCCTGTAAGTACGGTAGTCTATGAAAGCTTCAGTAAATTTATAAAATTACAATCATTTTGGTATACTGTAATTAGGCCAAAAGAACTCGAAGATAGTCAGAATGATCCGGTGATCCAGATTCATATTTTTCTGGATCACTCGAGAGTTGCGCAAAGGACTCAGTTGCGCACCTGTTGCGAAAAAGATAGTCAGAATGATCCAGAAAAATCTCACTCGCCGTTTCTCGTCTTGGATGGAGCGCAAAAGATAAAAGAAATTGGAAAAACCACAGTCAGCAAATAGAATATAAATAAACCATCAATCATTATTAATAGAAAAATATGAAAAAGTTGAAAAAACTCAATGCTATCTTTGTTCTCTTTAAATGCAAATTGATCAAATGCTAATGTTGAATCTCTTTTTTCTTTACAATTAATCAAAAAACCGATTGTTTAAGTTCAAAGCCACATTTAACTACAGACTTACAAGAAGACTTATGCTATTCAGCGTTGTTTTAAAAGGAATAAGGCATTCCACAGCTACAGACAGGGCCTTACTGTAAGAGTTGTTACAGGAAGATCATAGTATTGTAGTTAGATGTTAAATAGTTTTGTTGCTCGCAATTTTTGTAACTTTTATTACACACAAATCAATGCTTCAACTCCTCAGCAACATCACCGGTCTTCCCGTCGGTCTTCGATTTCTTTGACGTTTTTCGTGAGTGTTTCTTCTTTGGCTTCTCCGTTTCTTTGGATGACTAAAGCTTGATATTAGATAAACAATAAATTTAAGCTACAGTACATTGATATCTAATTTATATCTTTCATAACCATCTAGCATAACCATCAATCATAACCATCAACCCCTTTCCCAACCTCTTCACTCTCTTCGTCGCTTTTCTTGATCCAGTCACCCTTCAGGAACTCTTTGCTCACTTTTGAGCCTCTGAAATTTTTATGCTCACTCAATAAATCTATGGTATTAGCTTTTAAAATGAATATAAGTTTACATAAAAGATACCCAAAGAGAGCCCCTTGAAATGAGGCCGCTTTGGGCGCTGGTCGGACATCATGAATGGAGAATGGAGTTGTTGTTGGGACTGGAGTCTGAAATTGTTTTACGTTTAGAAATTGTTTTCTAGCCTTTAATGTGTCAAAACAATTGTGGTAACAACCCATTTGATTTGTCCAATTCAACAATTTCGATTTAGCACTAAAATGTGCACTTACGCCGTCTCTCGGATTCCGAGTTGTCAATGGTGGATGAGTGGCGCCGGGGAGGGGTGGTTGAATCACTGCGCCCAACATGAGACTGTTGAATTGACTCGAAACAATCATCCCCTTTGGTTGATCTTTCTGAAATTTGAAACCAGTGATTATGAGGCAAGTTCGAGTTGCTAGAAAATTGTCAACACAACACTGAGTCTTGTCGCAAACGGTATTTGCAATAGAAACATTATATCTTTTAATTAAGACCAAATTCGTTCAAAGTTTACAGATTTTAGAGTTCTTTTGCTAATTGCAAGTTTGCTTTTGAAGTAACGAACCTGTGTCATCACGGCGTTCCCGGGCGGAGATTGACTGACTGGGAAAAGTAGCACTAAAACTTTTTGATACAGTACATGTTTATAAAATTTGATATATATATATATATAAAATATAAAAACTTGATATAAAACATATTATCTTAATTGTTATCAGTCTAAAAATCAACCTCTGGGCTCAAGTTCGGCCATTTTCTCTTTGTCGACAGTGACCGTCTCTATCCTTGGTCTTTCCTGAAGCTTGGATTTTTGGAAAATCTTATCATCTTTCTCTAGAGTCACAGTTCGCTGAATATCTTGAGATTTGAATTTCAATCTAAAGCTATTGAGCCAACATAAGAAATATTTAAAGGTACCGTAATCGTGCCAGTCTCTTTTCTTACTACAGTATACAAAAACGGAAAGCTGATTCGAAATCAGCGTGAAATTCTGCGTCGAATGGTCTATAGCTTATCTCATTTGGCCACATCCTACTGTTGCCTTTCCCTTGTGAGTATTGTTAAATTTCTCAAATAAAGCAAAATATAGTAGCGGCATACTGTAATGCTACAGAAAACTATAATTTTACAGTATCTACCTTTTTCGCAGCCGTTCTTGACGCTCTTTCATTCAAATCCTGCAATCGACTCCGAGTATTTTGGGCACTAAATTGGGCAATTTTTTACAGTGATTTTGTGTAAAACTTACTTCTCAACACCAAACACAACAATGAGTAGGCAACCGAAATACAGTAATTCTTTCATTTTTGTATGTGAATATGGGAAAAATGAGTTTCAAAATGAAAGGCTGAAGTGGGGGAGATAGATGAACGGCAGCGTCCGTCTCCTTTGTGTGCCTCGGGAAGACCTGTTCTCGCCTGCTTCACCCCTGAAAAATCCTTTTATTTGAAGGAAAAAGAAATATCATTGTCCTTGTGGGGGAAATTCCCTCGGAAAAATCGGTTCTCAGCTTTGCCTGATCGCTTGGAAAGGTGTCAAGGCTGGATAAAGGAAAAAAAGATGATAACGGATATGGGATGGCAACCAGAACCTGCGAAAAGATTTAAGAATAAGCTTTCAATAAATTATAGTTTCAAGCAGTCAAATTGATTGAGAATTGAACCAGACCAGGCCGACTGAGCTGAAATAGATCGGGCAGATCCATTGGAATGACTTTTGATGCTTATTGTTAGGAAGCGTGCTTGAATTGGCCTCAACTGATTTGCCAATAACTTTGTGTACCTATTATTTGAAATTGTGCTCTTTAGGGCACTATAATAATGCCTAATCTCACATACCACAATAAAAAGCCATTATCAAGTCAAGAGTTTTAAATTCTACAAATAAAGCGCGAAAGCTTCAAGTGAGACAAACTGTTCAAGTAATTTAAAGGCCAAACGAGTTGAAGTAGAAAACAGAACCCCGGTAAGAAAAATGTTTCTGCGTGTGAAAATGAAATTTGGGTTATGAGGACTGTTCGCGTTTACAGGAGAAAAAAACCCCGTGAAACTGACAAATCTTCGTTTTTTTGGATTGACCTGATTTCGGGGTGTGAAAAGTGAGAAAACAGTGATGCGGCGGTGATTTATGAATCTCCGATAATCTCAAAATCTTTTTTTGAGCGTGCAAAATAGTTTTTCGCATTTTAAAGCAGATCTTCACGGAAAAAAGCTGAAAACAAATGTTTATAGCTAAACTCGGGAGTGGGACAAATGCGACCTTTTTTTTGCGCACCCGGACATTTGCGCACCTTTTTTGAAAAAGCTCTAAAAGCTAATATTAACCAATTTCTATTCCAAAAGTTGTTTTTCTAGGTAATTTTAGGGCGTAGAATCGAAATTTTGGCATATCAGAGCTTGTGGAAAAAATTCTCTCGAAAAAAGGTGCGCTAATGGGCTAAGTGCGGAAAAAAAGGTCGCATTTGTCCCACTCCCCTAAACTCAAATTGAGTTAAAGTAATGAAACCATCGACGAAATCCAAAAAAAACATTTTGTTGGTGAGACAAAACAAGAATGAAACTTGTTAAGTAATTTTATTTCTTTTTTTTGCTTCGCCACAACTTTCTTTTTTCTTTCTTCATTTTGTAGATCTCAACAAGTGCAACAAAATGACACCAAAATCATAAAGATTGGCCTAGAAGATAATTATGGCGAGTTGCGCAAAAAATTTGGCGCAAAGGAGCCACCCCATCCCCCCTTATTTATCTCCCACTATTCGTTGAATTTTCCAGTGTCCCACTCCCTAACGCGATGATTCATTTCCATTCTCTTGCCAGTCTCTTCTCGGCGGATCGCACTTTTTGATTGCGACAGGAAACGCACAGCATATCTAGAGTGCCGCGAAATCGATTATTTTTGTTAGAAATCTTTTTATCAATGTGTTTCTTCTTCAATTTTTGTTGTAATCATTGCTTGTTTAGGTGTCGGGTTCGAAAACTTGTTGGTTCAACATAATCAGCCGGCGAATTGATGTCGTCAGACGATGAAGATCCGGAATTTGCAGCTCAGGTAAAATTTTACAAAACTATTCCAAGAAAATAATGAAAAAGTATTGCATTATTATTGAATGTTTTAGAAAGCAACCTGTTCTAGTTTTAATGACACTTTTTAACTTAAAAATCACATTATTTTTCAAAGTTAAAATGTTTTTGTTTAGCTTCTTTCTGCTATAGAGGAAAGCAAAGAGGAAGAAAAGAACAGGAAATTGCGAAAAATGGTAAGCTTTTTACGATTATAAAATTTAATTAGCGTTTTAGACTAATTCATTTCCAACACTCCCGTATGACGTCATTCATAAGAATCTCCATTTGACCGATGAAGAAATGGTGCTAATATTGTCTCAGTTGGTGGTATGTTTTTTTATAATTGTTTTAATTAAACTTGTTTTTAGGAAAATCAACGCTTGGAAGAGGAGAAAACGCAGCAAGCTCAAAAAGTGTTTACAGATGGAGCGGCAAAGCCTATAGACCAAGCGCTTTTTAGGTAAGTTTTTGATAATTGTGTTGACATTCTGTTTTATTTCAGCGAGAACATCGATATGGCCAAATTTTATAAAGAACAAGTAGCTGAAGCTTTATGGGCAGAACTCGTTAGAAGGTGATTTCTTTAAAGCTTAAAACATAGTTTTTACTTTTAAATACTTTAAATATTATATACTTTTAGACAAGGGTTTCTCGATGTGACAAATGTCACAAGGAGTACCAGTGAGCAGACAAAGATTAGCCTGTTTCTTCGTGATCATTTCACTATGGTAAGATTGTTTTTTGCAAAAAAGCCAGGTTGTTTTAGGTAAAAATGTCGGCGATTAGCCGTATGGTACAGGATAGAGACTTCTATCAATGTATTCTAATTATGGCACTATGCGGATATGAGGGATTCGAGGAGCGACTTCGAGGCAGAAGTTGTAAGTAATGAGAGTGAACGAGTTAAGGTTCTATATTCAACATAAAACAAGTGTATGTTGATCGTAGTTCTTCGCTAAACAAAGAGTCCATATGGTATCCAAATGCACCAAAAGTTTTGCTTTAATTGAGTTAACTGATCATAACAAGTACTACGCAAGATCATCAAATGTCGCGTTATATCCTTCAAAGCAAGACGATTCAAGACGAAATTAGTTGATTATTTTAAAGCCTTCAAGTTTAAATACTGGAGCGATTTATTCAACACGTGATAGATTTTTAAGCGTTGTACTCGATGGGCAAGTTCTTGCGACGGACGATTCCATCTCCTTGGAACCACTCGCGGCGGAATTGCTTGGCGGCACCGTCGGGGGTGTTGGTCCACTCGATCGTGATGCGGTCATTGTTGGTGTCCTCTTGTCCAAAAGCGAAGGCATCACACGACACAGCCACCTAAAGAACAGAAATTATTACTGCAAATGAAAGAAGCAAAATAAGGACAACAGATAAACTTACGAGAACGTCCTCCTTTGGATCCAAGACACCGCATGGTGGATCGACGCCGAGACGCTTCATATTGGTCGTCTTGAATGCCCATCCAATTCGACGACCGCCAGAATTGATCACCTAAACAAGACAAATGGAGAAGATAAATGAGAAGAAAATCAGTTTAAAAACGGGTCAGGGTAAACAAAAAAGTCTAAAATGCATACCTTGATGTGATAGGTGTGCTTGTCATCGTAGGGAGCATTGAAGACGACTTTGGCATTTGGTTGAGTGATGATGTCGCCGGGTGGGATCGATTGAGCCATCTTTGAAGTCGAGAAGACTGATACTCATTCGACAAAAGGGTTTCCTTTTATTTGATGGATGAATGTTAATTTGGGCGGTTTCCAATTTAAATTTGCCAAAATGAGACGTTATGGTGATTTCAACTTCTATGTATGGAAATTTTTTGATTTAGATTTGCCCCCGATGATGGGATCGATTATTGACAAGAAAGCAACGGAGCAACGAGAAAAAGAAGCTAAAGAAGCCCACCGAGCCGAATTACCCGACTTTGCCAACAATATGTGGAAGAGCTACATTGACATCATCAATTTGGTAGCTTTTGTATGAAATTGGGTACAAATATTTTCTTTTAGGATTACACAGAAGGTTATCTAAAAATGACTCGCTTCGATTGTCCAGTTTGCTTTGATACATTCCCCGAAACAGATGCCATCTTTTGCACGTCTCTTGATCCTGAAATTGAAGACCATGGTATGAGTTTGAAATTGCTTGTTTTGCAGCAACGTTTCATTTTAGATCGTCACCAATTCTGCAAGAACTGCTTGCATGGACATGCCATCGCGGCTTCAACGCAAATGCTTTTTGGAAAAGGAGGCGCTGGGGTTACTTGTCTGGAACATGGATGCAAAGGTGTCATACTTCAAGGTAAGAAGCATCGTCGTTATTAAAATGATTAAATTTAGCTCGTGTTACTCCCGTTTTAAATGCTGACGAAAAAAAACAATTTGAGGAGCGAATTCTCAACATTGCGCTTCAAGAATCGGGTCTCAAAAACCTTGTGAAGTTAGCTAATTGATAAAGTTTTGGGAGTTTTTTTATTATTTAGATGCCAACGATGTTTTTATGCCGTCGTAAACGACCAGCCAAAAGAAGTGGACAGCATCTTTGAATGTGAGAATGAGAAATGCGGGTTTCACTATTGTCGGTTAGTTATATCAATAAAAAGTTTGCAAACACTGTTTTAGACTATGCGAACGACCTTATGATGAGAAACACAAAGATAAAACGTGTGACCAAGTCATGACGGTGAATGATGAGGCTCGAGTGAAATGGTAAAATAAATACATTTTTGTAAAATTTTTGTTTTGGGGAAGAGAAACTGACGAAGATTTGTATTCGAATCTGCGCAAAATGTCAAAATGAGTTCACCCGGGTAAGCATAACTTTTACCTTTTTTTCTATTGAATGTTCAGGATGGCGGATGCTCAAAGATGACGTGTAATCGTTGTGGAACAACACAGTGTTATCTCTGCAAACAAAGTGGCGTCGATTACAGTCATTTCAGGTATTTTGCGTTGTAGATGTTAGAATAGTTCACCTAATTTGTTGATTGCTAGTATTCATTATAAACACTCTTACAATTTAAACTATTGAATCCATTTCAGTGATAACGGCTGTCCTTTGTGGATGAACGATCAGCAAGTTGCTGCCCGAGATGAGCAAGAGCGACAAAACATAATTGCTTCAGCCAAAGATGACGCCCTTTTAGGTTTGTATAAATAGAAAATACCACTTGATGGATCAAGCAAACAATTTGTCAACATTTTTCATGGTTTTATTTTTAGAGGCTGATCGACAAGGGCTTAAATGAGGTGTTATGAGATTCTTTCAATGGATATGCACATTTTTCTATTTTGTTACCTATTTATTTGGATTCTAGCTTTGTCGTGTCTTAATTTACATGCTTTGCTTTTCTCCTGGTAAAGGAGACACAGAGATCAAATTCTGATATGTTGATTGATGTTTGGATTGCTTTGGAGTGAAGAGTGACTAATGTTGCTCGCTCATAGAATTCCTTACCAATTAACATTAGAAATTTATCATCTCTCCCCGTTTTTTAAAGAGCAATTTCTTGTCTAACTGCTATTTTTCGCATTGAAACTCCTATCGTGAAGCTATTTTATGATAGTTTATCATTCCACCAACTGTGAGTTTTCACTCTAAATTTCTTTATTGTCAGTACTATTTTCCCACTTTTCTATTCTGTGTAAATTTTACTGGTTCACTTATTCATTTGCCGAATAAAGTGTATATACATAGATGTTAAAAATGAATGAAGCTCGGTTTTGCTTAATTTGTTTTCGAAAAAAGGTTCAAACTCTGATAAACAATCACTGATTCAATTCCATTCATTTTGTTTTCCAACAACACGGGTAGTTTTGTTGCGCAAGAGCATTCGTACTTACTCAAACTCGGTCGAGAGATGATAAGAGACAATCGTAAGCACCCAAAAATGATAAAGACAAGGGGAGTGGGACAAATGCTACCTTTTTTTTGCGCACCTTTTTTTCCGCACCTTGCCCATTAGCGCACCTTTTTTCGCGTTTTAAAAAAGCTCTAAAAAGCTAATATTAACCAATTTCTATTCCAAATGTTGTGTTTGTGTTTCAATATGCTAAATCACTAGAGATGATTCCCCGAATGGCCGATTTTCTTTCACACTTCCCGGGAATGAAGCGATTTGACATAGAAAATCATCCAGAAGTCATCAAAATAGCGATCGAACATTTGAAAGATTATTGCGAAGGAGAGCCTAGTGTCAGGCACAGTCTTTTTTTTTTCGACGAAACATTGACTCGAGCAAGGATTGTGTCTACCATTTTCAAAGTGTACCCACATTTCCCAATACAACATGTACAGAATTTCTTGCCTTTTACATTCAAACAGAATCGGAAATGATGTAAAACCTTGTCTCAAGCATGGATTCGATAATATTTCACCAACTAAGTGATCCATTATGGACCTGAATCGAGGATGCTAATTTTTCACCAATAAACCAAGTTTTTTTCAGGGTTGTTTAAATAAATGATTTATTCCGAATTAATAATTTCTGAAAACACAAAAAATCATTTTTGAATCTCATATGACATCATCGAAAGGGACTATCTATCGTGATAAAATCGTGCAAAATAACTTTTTTGTGCCCCAAATTTTAATGACCTGCAAAATTTTAAAGGATTTTAATAAGATGACCATATATATTAATACTAAAGATATAAAATCTAGTGAAAATATTGAAAAGGAAATCAATTGTCTGTACTTACCGGGCATTGATGAGAAACAATAAATGCAACAGAATGAGCAACAATAAAGGAAAATTGTGAAGTTGGCCCGTGAATTTCAAGAAAGAACCCTTTATCGACGGAGATCTCTGCCGAGAAGAATCCCATGTTCAAGTCCGAGAGCCTTCTGACACTAACATAAAGTAGAACAGCTAGATTGATGATCTTTGAATGATCTTTCACAATTCACTCTGCTCTTTGAAGGCTTAATTTACATACAATTTACATTTAACCTTCATTTAAGAGTCTTAAATTAAGAAACGATTTTGCAAAAGATAAATCATTTTCCATTCTCTTCACTTCTTTTCGTCGTTATGAATTCATCGATGACTTCAACAACTTCTGTAGGAGAGGAACGTGTAACTTTTCGACACAATTTCAACTTTGAGGTGGGTTTTGTCTTTGAACCGTTTGTTTTTACCATGTTGTTCATTACTTCCCTTTGGATATACCACTCTACACTAATTTTTTTCTTTAAAGCTTTGGTATTTTTAACCTTTAGATAAGTTAGGCGGTTGAAATTTGCATAAATTGTTTCTGTAGCCGGTTGTATAATACCTAAATATTGTTTTTCAATCGAATTCGCATTCAATTTTTAATTCAGATCTCTCCCACCGGCCACCGCCTTAGCTTCATTGATAGACGAGAAACGAGCTTCGTCACGATTCACGGGATGGCTATTTATGAGTGGTTTGTTTTTTGTACTTCTATTTTCATAATTGGTACCCTTAACTCAACTACATGGTCAGTTTTAGGATGATCGCTTGGGGACCGGAGCAAGCGTTCAATTGGCGTCGCAATCTCTCGCGGAAGAGCATTTTAGTAGGGTTTTTTTTAAAATGTTTATTCTATTTAAAAAATTTGTGAGGTCTGTGGTTTAAGCTCTAAAATTGGTATCCAAATTAGCTATTTGTAAACCTTCAATTTCCTCATTTTTAGGAGCTGACCATCCCATCGTTCACACTCTCAGATCGACTTCCGCACCCGATTGAAGCCACCTTTCATCTTAGCATACACGATGAAGACGACAACGGTTTTGAAGTTTTACACTGTTTTGGTCACTTACAAGTTTTAGAGGTCTGCCCACTCGTCTCTCAAACTGTGCTGCCGCAAAATGTGGATAGTGATCCGAAGTTTCGGTTAAATCTTTTTACGATCCGTATCTTAATGTTACTTTTTTTAGATTAGATAGCGACTCGTTGATTGTATCAAGGATATTGTGGGCACGGGATCAATTGGCTCGGCTGAATGGTTTGTTCTTGCCTTGAGCACGTTTTTACTATCCGATAACCACCTACCTCTTTGCTGATATAATTTTATTTTTAGGAATTAATCGCCGTTGGACTTGCTACCTATGCACTATGTTGCAATTGGAGGCTAGCGACTTCGCTTTGTCGACGAATTGGGGAAACCCGGCTCCACCACCACCGAATCCACTCGATTTCCGCTTTGGTTCCATCGTTGACAGGTTGCAATTCGTTTTCTTCTGGTGTTTTATAGCTTTAGTTCTAGATCTCGTCACGATATCACCATTGTATGCTTGAACGGACGAGTTAGCGCTTCAAAGGAGGCCCTCTTCCATGCATCGACTTACTTCAGAGGAGTTTGTTAAAAGTGTTTTTTTAATGATCTTTCATTTTAGAAACTTCTGCGGCCGGAGGCGTCACTTGAGATATACGAGCATGCAACGCGTTTGGTGGTTGAAGAGGTAGAACTTTTAGTGTTTCATTCTATTGGGTTGGGGAGAATGAGTCGGCGCCCAACTTTAAAGGGACTTTTTGCACACATAAAGCCTTCTTTAAACATACGTTTGGTTTCATCAAAAGGATCCACTATTTCTCTACAAAATGACTTTTGAGAGATTCCACAAAGCTTTTCTTTCGTGGAGTTTATGAACTTCCAAACGCAGCTGGTTAAAATGGCAAAGAGTCCGACTCATCATTTGAACAGTTTCTTTCACATAAACCTTCTTTGGTGTTTATATAAAAAAGATAGAGCACATTCAATTACTTAAGTTGCCAAATTTGCAGGAAGATCCCACCAATGGTTTTTTCGAGATGACAGTTTGTAGTTTTTGTGAAAAAATGGCTTTTTCTTGAGCGGAGGCGCTGTTTGAATTTTCTTTTAAATGTCATTTTGTAGAGAATTAGTTAACCATTCTACTGATATCAAACGCATATTATTTGACGAAGTCGAATAGAAGTTTTAGACATTTTTTTGATTTTCGGCGCCGACTCATTCTCCCCAACCCAATATTTAATAAAGAAAAGACTTTTGTTAGCATTTTTAATTTTTAATTTTTAAGTTGATCACTTACATGTTGACGGAGACTTACGCCCACGAAGGTCCGATGAGCACTCGACACGCCGACGAACTCCTTCAGCTTATAGAGAGGTATACCTTAGATTTTTTTTTCTTCTATAACAACTCATATTTAGGTATCATCCAATCAAGAAGGGCAGTCTAGTCACGTCGATCGAGCAACATCTTCTTGTACAAGTTGATCAGGTTTGGATCTTTATTTAATGCACTGTATTCAATTTTTTTTCTAGAAGCGAACCGATCTCCCGTTTTTGCTGAGGTGTTTCCTGCTCGCTTTGAAGAATGGGCTTGATCGATTGGCGGTGGTAAGTGTTTAGTACTTGTAATAGGCTGATAATTGTCTTAAACAATTATTTCTTTTTACAGGCGGTGGGTGCGATCGTCTATGAGTTGCATTTCAACGATTACATGCTCGACTACGGTGCTGCGACGGTAAACCTTAAAAAAAACTTTTTTTTTACTTACTTTACATACCCTTTTTACTCCCTTATATTTTTGACTTTAGGAGTTGAATCGCCGCAATCATCCCCTCATCAATGATCTTCAGTCACGAGGCGGCCTTTTCCGACCATCAGCACATGTAAGTTATCATTTTCTTTGACATGAACTAATTTCCATTTTTTAGATCAAGTTGACCAGCCTTCACCCATTGACCCGTGACGTGCAAATCATTAGCAAAGAGCTTTAAACGATGACAAATTTCATTTTAATGTGGCAATAAATTGCTCAAAGTTTTTCTTGGTTTGTTTAAATAAAATTGGGGAAATTTTTTTCTTTTCTGGAATGCTTTGCATTTTTACAATTACAGGATGTATGATTAAAAATCTTTGGAAGATCTGCCCATAGACAGGTCTACTCAAAAATATTTTAACCAAATATACTTTATTATCTTTTATTTTGTCTATCTAAACCTTTTTCCTTTCGCCACATATCCGTGCTCCCTATTTTGTGCCCTTCTCTATCACTTCGCTATCTCATACCTCTTTATTCTCCCGTTCACCACTGATCTGGCGCCTTTTGAAAGCCTCGCTTTTCGTTGCATAAGTCGAACAACAACAGGCAAAATCCTGCATCCAGCTGCTTTTAACCTTAATCATATTGGTTTTCAATAAATTTCTAAAATAACTATTCTCAACTAACAATTTCGATGCTAAAGGCGAATCCGATGATGCAAGCCAACGAAGAACAGGCAAGAAATAGAAAAACCGGGTTTACTGTTGCTTAAATTTTACACTATTGATGCGATTAATCATTCAAAAAAGATACGATAGCTTTTGACGTTCAGAATTGGGATGACATCATCGCCGTGATCAACGATGACCAATTTGAGACACGGGTGAAACAAATGGTGAGTGGAATGGAAAGCTGACAAATATAGATTTAATTCGATTTCAAGATCAATTTCAAGAACTGCTTTTTAGAAAGACATCTTCCCGCAATTGCCCAAAGATATCATTGAGAATCACGTAAAAAACTATGAGTTCGATCATGCCATGGAGAAACTCTTAGCAATAGCGGTGAGTGATTGTTATAGGAAAATACCAGACGTAACCAGTTGCAGACTTGTTTTCCAAATTTTGTGTTTCTTCTACTAACATTCTAAACAGTATCGTAGCATTATAGACTTATTGTACCTCCTAGAAGAACCTGCTCTAATAGTAAACTCTAACTAGGGAACTGTTTCCAGTTAAAATGTTGAAGTTAAAATGAATTCGAAACATGTACCCTAGTGAAAAAACGCCTCCTTAAAATTTGAAAGGACAAGTGTTTTTCAAAATTACCCAATGCATATAAAACTTTCGAGAAAAACACTTTCGAAGTTTGGAAAAACGGGACCGCCGCGGTATGAGTGAGAATTACACCCTTTTAGATAGGGACCGGATGGCGTAGTGAAAAGTGTGCTCGCCGTCGACCTTGTTGGTCCCTGCTTCGAATCCCCTTGCTGCCAAAACCTTTTTGCTTTTTTGTTAAAGCGGAGCCTGAGCCTGAGCTTTTATAATCCTTTTCAAGATAATCACAAACAATTTTCTTTGCGTTTTCAAGATATTCAGTCTGACTAGCGCGTTTTATGGGATAGGCTACTTTGCGCGAAACTTTTTGCGCAACTGGGTCATTTGCGCAGCTCGCCATAACTTTCTTCTAAGTGAGCCAATCTTTATGATTTTGGTCGACTTAGAAGAAAGTTATGGCGAGTTGCGCAAACGAATTACACCCTTTTAGATAGGGACCGGATGGCGTAGTGAAAAAGTGTGCTCGCCCTCGACCTTGTTGGTCCCTGCTTCGAATCCCCTTGCTGCCAAAACCTTTTTGCTTTTTTGTTAAAGCGGATCCTGAGCCTGAGCTAAGAGCCTGTATATGTGATCTTGGAAATTTCTAATTTCAGTCTCAATACAAAGCTGGTTAGATTAGAGGTTAGTCTTAGAATTAAATTTAAGCTCCTTGAGTCAAAGTAGCCTTTCAGGTCCAATATGACGAGACGACTCCAGGTTCCAGTCGGAGATGGCAAGAAGATCCATCAATGCACACAGGAAGCTCCGTTGAGCTGTAAGTTTATCTTATCTCTACTCGGTTATAAAGCTTTCGATTAGTTAAAGTACTTTTGATACTTCAAATTTTAGAATCGACAATCTGGTCTACATCGGCGACGACATGCCGAGCAGTAGCCGAGCTCAGAAATTGGTCGGTCCTCTTTACTAGAAATTTCAATGACAACAATTTACGTACTAATACTATAGTATGTCAGTATGAATACGTATTAGGACGTGTTGCGTGTTACTTTCAAAGTATAATCCAATAAACAGGACCCTGGCCCATCAGGCAGCCGACTCTTCGCTCCCGCCCCACCCAAGTCACAAGAGCCACTTCTGCTCGAGTTGCCAAAGTGAGCTAGAAATTTGATTTTAAATACAATGGCATAAAGCTAAGCATATATTTTAATACTGTAAGCTTAATTTATTTAGGGATATGGACTTGAAAGCCTGGAATGAAGAGCAAGTGGCCGAGAACCTCTGGGCTGAACTCATCAGAAGGTAAAGCTAATTTAATAGTTGAATGTTAAGAAGATAATCTAATTATATATAGGTAAACTATATCTCACAATAACTCGTTTAGAAGCCAATTCGTTCACCGCGTAAAACCGACCCGAACTGTTAGCGAGGTGCACGAGATGAAAATGTTCCTGAGGGACAACTTCCCCCAGGTACTGGAATACATCGAACAAAGAAATATTTGAATTGGCTCACTTTCAGATCCGAATGCCGGTGATCCACACTCTTGCCGAGATTCAGGACTTCTACCAGTGCATGTTGATTCTGAAGCTGGCGATGCTCGGCTGGGAACAGCGGCTGGTCGAATCGAAACATAAGTGTAAGCTCTTGGATAGTTGGCTGGATATTTTATATTTCAAATTACTTTAGCACAAAAAGATCTACAACTATTAGATTTCAGTTATACCAAAAGCTCTCACCCCGGCTCTTTGCTCGGCTGATCGCATCGCTTCGCGTTCCGGGGAAGCTGATCTCCATACCGTAATCAAGGTCAGTACTGGTCTTGATCTTGATTACCAAAAGCTCTCACCCCGGCTCTTTGCTCGGCAATCTTGATTACCATTTCATTACTTCTCTGTAAGAGATCTCTAGCTTCAATCTATTCCCTAAAGACCTACTGAAATTAGGTACTGAATCATTCTTTTTAGATCCCACCCCTCTGCGAACAAATTTGGAGGAACTACCTTGAGATCATCAATTTTGTAAGTCAAAGTTATCTTCATATTGAAGTTCTTTATAGGATTACACGAAACAGCTTCTCCAATTGACACGCTTCGATTGTCCGGTTTGCTACGATACATTCGATAACACGGACGCGATCCTTTGCACCGCTTTTGATCGGACGAGTGAGCTACGAGGCTATGGACATACATTTTGTGCACAGTGTGTGCGCCATCATGCGATCGCGTTGACCACCGAGATGTCGATTGGACCGGGAGGGTTGGGAGTGAAATGTCTGGAGCACGAATGTGATGGAATCGTTCTATCGGGTGAGCACAAAATATTATTTGAACAACTTGCTGTCAGAGCTGTAGGCAAGAGCTGTAGGCATAAGGCAACTCTTTTGGTAGGCCTAAAAACCACTGTAACTTTCTCTAGCAGTAATATTTTTGGCTTTAGTCCATTCGCTTTAGTCCATTCGAAAGCTCTTGAGATTCTCTATTTTTTGAGTTATAGATCATGTCAATCCGACAAGTTTGAAGCAAGTTAGAAGCTTTTATAGTGTACCAGTTTATTATCTTTGTAGTTTATAGTGCCCATGTCTATTCAAGTTCCACGAGTTTCTTAAGAAGCCAGTGAAGCCATTTTTGTACTTCTTAAGAAGCCATTTTTGTACCTGACTCTTCAGCTCACGTTGTTCCGCACCTCTCTGAGACCGAGTTGCTCGTGTTCACGAAACGACAAGACGAGGAGGCGATCCGGTGCGCGAAATTGGAAAACGTTGAAAGGTAGCAAAAAAAAAGCTACAATTGTAATTCACCAAATTAGTTGCCAACAATGCTCATTCGTCGCCGAGATCTTGACTTCGAAAGAAGAAAACTTGGTGTTCGTTTGTCAAAACCCGAAATGTGGACATCAACATTGCAGGTAAACTTAGGAAACTAAAAAACCCTACAGAATACAGTAAACCCTACAGAATGATAGTTAGCCATTAGATTCAATTGAAGAATCTAAAATATTCAGCGTTATCGGTTGAATTGAATCGGGAATAGCTGTGATATCGTTGATCTAAAGGCCAAAGATATATTTCAGACTTTGCGCTAAACCCTACAATGACAAGCACAAAGGCCGCAAATGCAATGAAATTCTAACAGTGAATGATGTGGAGAGGATGAAAAAGTGAGATTTTTGTGACTAGCAGTTGCTCGTTTCAATGCAACATTTAGAGAAGAAGAGCTGACGCTGTTGATGATTCGAAAGTGCGCCAATTGTGGGCTCTCATTTCAACGAGTCAGGGAAAAAGATTTTAAGAATCCAACTCAACTTTCTTAATAATAGAATGATTGAATTTTCTAGGATTCATTCAAGATCCGACTTAAAAAAAACCATTTGAGGACTCTGGATGCAACAAAATGACGTGTCCGAGTTGTAAAACTACTCAATGTTATGTGTGCCGTCAGAGCAACATTGGATATGATCATTTCGGGTGGGTGGTAAATGGAAAATAGTCGCGTTGAGTAAATTGGGGAAAAAACGCCGAGATTACGGTAACTGGAGATAGTCTAACTGCAGATTACGGTAAAAATTAGATTGTGGGACATTTGATACGCGCCCCGCCCCCTTTGCCATTGGCAATCCAACTTTAAGCTCAAATATCTTGGTGTTGGGCTGTCCCATTTAAACGATTTTTATACCAATCGACAGAGAAAGACTTGACGCATCCAATGATACCAATAATTTATAAATAGAACAATCCAACACCAAGATATTTAAGCTTAAAGTTAGATTGCCGATGGGAAAAGGGGTGGGGCGCGCCTCAAATGTCTGATAATCTAATTACTCGAAAAAATTACTTTTGGGACAACCCTTACTTTCTTGTGTATGCCTATTATCAAATATTAAAAACAAATCCAATGTACCAGGGAGCTTTAGTGGAAAAGGTCGCTGTCAAATGCATACGAACGATCGAGAAATTCACAACAGAGATGAAAAAAATGCGGCAAGAATCCATTCGCAATGCGGCCGGGAATGCCAATCTGAAAGGTTTACCTTAAAAAAAGATATATCCAACGAGTAGAACCATTATTTGATTTAAACTCAATGCTAAAATGCATCTTTCAGAAGAGGATCGCCTCAAGTTCTTCTAATCGCTCAACAACAACAACAACAACAACGACATTAAAGCTTTTTGTGTTTTCTAAAAGCTGCCCCAATCCGGGTTTTGTATTTGACAGAATAAATTTTTTTCACTTTTATTTTTCGCTTGATGTGTTTGTTTTAAAACAATTAATTAAATCTACTGTTTTTCTTTAATTCTTTCTTCTTTCATATATTTCATTCTTAGTTTTTTAAGTCTTTAAAAAGCTATTTTCTTTTTAGGAGAATGATTCGCTCGTTTGCAAATTTGTCGGTTTCGTCCGGCTCGCGCTGCTTCTCCACGTCGGTCAACAAGAAATCAAGGTGAAAACTTTTCCGTGCCGATATTAAAGCAAAAAAATTGAAGCATCGTTTGTTTTATCATCTTGTAAAATGATAAGGATTTGATTCAAGAAACAAAGTAGTAAGTATAGATTTGTTTAGCTAAAAGCTCTAGCCAATGCCATGCATTTGATAGCCAATTGTGATAATAGTATTTAATTTATTGTAAAAAAACAAATTGGTGACTTTCTTTAGATCATGCTCTGCATTTCCAAATATTTAAGCGATCCGTCTTGGCAACTCAAGATAACTAATTTTTTGTTTATTTTAGCCTTTCAACTCGCCCAATTCAACGTCCCACCTACAGCCCTTACAATTTGTTCATCAAGGAGCAATACCCTAAAGTAAAAATTTACGATCGTGTTGTACGTAGTAATTATGTATTTAAATATTTCGAAAGTTGAAAACACTAAATTTTTAAACGCATTTCAAAGGCAAAAACTAAAATTTTCAAATAGTATTTGTTATTCACCAATATAATTTTTGCTTTCAGCTCAAAACTCACGAAAACGAGAGGGTTTCTGAAGTGATGAAGAAAATTGCTAGTGCTTGGAAGAATGTTTCTGCCGCGGAGAAAGATGTGAGATTTAAAAAAAATAAGAACGCTTCGGTCATGATGTTTTATTGGAAAAACTTTAATTGGACCATAATCAAATGTAATTGTCGATTGCTTTTTCAGCTCAAACTTTTTCATTTTAGAGACTTACCGTCCAAGCGAAGAAAGTTGCCGATGAACGAAAAAAGGTAGTAAAATTTACAATTTTTCATTCAACACTTTCTAGACTGTTGAGGCGTTATCGGATGCGGAAAAGCTTCAAATTCGCGAGAATAGAATCAAGAGAAAAGAACGCACATTGGAGTGAGTTAATTATGATTTTATTAGTAGTAGTTGAAAGTTGTATGGCAGTTGTATCCTGAAGCGTTTTATTCTCTTTGATTATCGCTTTTTACAAAGTTCTGCAAAAATAATAGCATTTTAGGAAAGATGTGGATGCTAAATATCCAGATCGTCCGAAAAAACCCGCTTCAGCTTATGGGCTCTACTTGAAGAACAAAGGTGCAAATGCTCCCCGCGTTGATGGTAATTTTTTTATTCTTTGTTTATTGCAGAGTAATTGCAGAACGTTATTAAAATTAAAATTTTTAGGCCAAAAACTCGATTTCAAACAGCTTGCATCTGATTGGAAGAATTTGGGCGAAAGCGAAAAGGAGGTCTGTTTAAACTCTTGCGAACTTATATATGAAGAAGTGCAAATCAGTTTTTTAACGTATCAAATAAACTATTTTAGAAGTACCGTACTGAAGCGGAGAAAGCCATGAGCATATACAACGCGGAGGTCAAAGAATGGCGGGACAAGCACGGATTGAAGAAAATGTAAGGACAACACTTTTTCATAAGCTATTTTGGTTCAGAAACTATTTTGGTGTTCAACTTTTAAAAATTTTGTCTTGTTATATTGTGCCGATACCTCGCGTTTTTCATCTTTCATGTTCAAATGTTGTAAATAAACTTATAAACTTCGGTGCAAAAAAAGGTTTATTCCGAAATAAAGAAAGTAACCGAGGTGAAATGATATAATTTTTATCGATGAACGAGTCCTTGGGGCGATATAGGGTAGTTATTTCGGTTCGATGGTTTGCGACGGGACGCCGAGCTTCTCGATCTCGAAATCCGGGAATGTGGCCGGTTTTTCGTAGACTCTGAAAATGACCTAAACATACAAATATGGATATTGCAAATGTAGCTCTCATTTCTAATTTAGTAAACTAATTTTTACATAATTCGCACATTGTACCATCTAACAGTAGAGATTTAGCCGTTAAACTATCTTATATTGTTGACAAAATGACAAATTTTGTTTCTGTATCTTTTTGCGAGCGATATCACACCATTTCCCTGGGGTTTTCAGCGTTTTTCTCATTTTTAAAGCTTTCCCAGAAAAGCCGATGATTCACTCGGTTTTAGTTGCGGTTATCATGATTTTTAGTGCCCGAGATAGCGTCAAGTTCAGTTCGTCAGAGAGAATTTCTGGGCTATTGGTTCAGTTCGAAAATTTTTCTTGAAGTCTGAATCTGAATTGTGCTTTCAACAGCAATTAATTTATTTTTAAAGTTTAATAAATTTTGTTGAATTGTCGAGCGAATTGTCAAATTTTTGACTAGAGACTTTGTCTTTGAAAACTCAAATATTTGATCTCCGTTTACCCGATAACTGGGTCTACCGTAAGACTTTTACGTATTTCCCTAGTGTACTGCAGGATATTGAAACTGGTTCTAGACTTGTAAGCCAAACTTTGAATCAGGCAAGGTAAGACTAGAGCTAGAATCAAACCTTGATTCTGGATGATCTAGGCAAAAGTTTTCTTTGGTTTAGAATGATTCTCTGAATTAATCCTGTTTTGAATGCGATATATTTAAAGTTCAAAATAGAAACGCATCATTTTTGGTGCCTTTCTTCATTTCCTTCTTCGGTAAATTGTTGATTAGTAAATTGTTGATTGTGTGAGCCAAAAGGTATGTTTCTGTTTTTTTTTTTGCACAAAGTACACTCTTCTTAAGTCTTTCAAGTGATTTCAAGTTAAACTCAAATGTTTATTCTAGTAGCACACTTTAGTTTGATCTTTAGACGAAGAGAAGAAAAAGAAAAAGCTTTAGTGTGATGATGTGTCATTGATCGTTGTGTGAGTGTCTCTTATCAAATGGACGGCCCAATGTATGCGCTCTTTTGCCGTAAAGAAAAGAGACGCCGATAGTCCCGAACAAAAAAAACTGAGGAGTGGAAAAAATTCCTTCAGCTTTCCCCATACTCCTTGCTTCTTTATGCGTTATCGATTTCAGTTTCAGGGGTGACTATGAGAAATTTCAGTTGAAATTTCGTAGATTTTAGTATGACAGAGTGAATTAATAGCAAATTTTATATAAAAATCCAGTGCCGGGGTAATTGGCACTGGATTTTTATATAAAATTAGCTATTAATATGGGTATCACGTTAGGCTTTAACTTCAAGCAAATAAAAAAAATCTGGCTTCAACAAAATCTATGCTCACTTTTTAAAGGTTCTAACTACTAGCTTTTATTTATTATTGTTTAAATAACAGATAACTTTAGGATTTTGCTAGAATACTACAGTATTACAATAATGTTCATCAAATCGAAACAGGTCAGATCTTTGCCTTGTCTGTCCTTCCCTGGCCTGGGCAGAAGCTTGACTAGACTTGACTTAGCTTAAAGGTTTAGGTTTAGCTTTAAAACCCTAGGATTCTGATAAAATCCATCACTACAGAAACACTTAAAACCACAAAGAATTCTATTTTAATTAATAGTAGTCGACTCTTCAGACTTCAACATTTTAACATATTCGCGATGATACGACTCGCGACGATTTAGCACTTTTTTAAGGCCGATTGCGCTGGAAATTTGCACCAAAGGGTTTTCGGGGTCAACAAATTCGAATTCGTACTTGGTTTTTAAAGAAAAATGCTTGATTTTTGGATATTGAATTCGGCTTAATTACCCAAGTGTGACCCTACACATCCAGGCCGTTTGCCAGAATGTGAAAAATTTCATGTTTATCTAATCGTGCGCCTTCTGGCACACGGATATAGGACAGAACCTAAACTTGGTCTGGCTCTTTTTTCAATTTGGTTTAATTTGCTTAAGCTTTTAGAGGATTTTCTAATGACCGTATTGGAAATTAAAGTTCCTCAAAAACTAACAAACGGATTCAGATTCAAAGACAAAAATCGCTTTGTCGTGAATGGGTTAAATCGGCTTCAACTCTGAGTAGATGCACAATTCTGCATTGTAGAACCATTCTGTATCTCTCTGTATAGTATACTTGAACTACTGTAACTGTAAAAATCTAGCCTTTTTCGAGATCTTGACTATCCCACTTTTAAAAGTAAAATAAAAAAAATATCTAATACTATTTTTGATTGATTCGTATCTTCTTTTTTTTATTTCTTTTCCCGTTCCAGCATTCCCTTTTATCATGGCAGAGAAGGGGGAAAATGACAGGAATTTTACCGCTTTTTTTTGCCACAAATCGATCAACAAATTTCCCCCATTTGATTTTTTTTAGCCTTTAAATGCTCGTTTAAATGCTCTTGATGCAAGAAATTTCAAAATGTTCAAGATTTCTTCCGAAAATTTGATCATACTTGATTTTTGAATCCAGTAAACTTATTCAATTGTTCATCTGAATTCGAACTGATTTTGAATTTCTGTTTCATGAAGCTATAAGCTCACCTATAGCTTCATGAAGCTATAGGTGAGCAAAATTGTTTCAAAAACGGTTGATTCATCGGCTTTTCCCCTCGTCATTTCTCTCTTTTTCCATTGAATATCTCTATTGGCACAGATGGTCGATTCTTTTTTAATTCTTCTTTTCAATTCTTCTTTTCAATACTTCAAGCCAATAGTGCTTTCTCTTTCCTATCTCTCTTTTTCATTTCAGTTGATCGAATCGACCTGGGAAAAACAAACATCGTATCGAGCAATCTAGGCTTTATTTCTTTCACTGATTTCTTAAAGCTAGCGAAATTCTTTGCATTTTATATTTAAACTTTGATGTTATTTTAAGATACAAAGACTATTTGCCAAGAAGCCTTTACTTGTAAGGACACTAAATGTTGACCCATTTTAGTATCTTTTCCACAGGACACTACTGTTCAAAAGCCCATTTTAGTATCTTTTCGAGCACTCAATCACACCTAGCTGGAGTCCTATTCATAATACTTCGTAACTTTTGTCATCCCATTCCTTGTTTCCTTCCTTTTTTATTGGACGATCTAGCTTTGCCATGTTACAGTAGTCAAGCTTGAGCCTGGGCTTAAGCCTGAGCCTGAGCCTGAGCCTGAGCCTGAGCCTGAGCCTGAGCCTGAGCCTGAGCCTGGGCTTGAGCCTGGCTAAACCATGAGCCCGATTGGAGCATTTTCTTGCACTAATAGTAAGATACATAGAACCAAGATCGATCTAACTCAAGCCAGAACGTACTTCATAACATTCTTGTCAACTAGTGGTCCATCTAGCCTCTCGAAAAGAGATCTCTTTTGATCTCTTCCCCTTTCTGTACTCCCTTTCAGCCCCTTTCCGATAAACAAACAGTGAAACGCGTCCATTGAATCTTTCCCCTTCCTCTGACCTTTCCCCTTTCCCCAATAGTCCAATACTTTCTTTTCGACCACCACTTTTTAATTCAAAATCTAATCGCTTCATACTTTTGTGGTTTTGTTTTGTCTCAATTCCTATCTTGAATGAAATCTCGTTTACATAAAAAGGATTCGTTTTGATTGAAAATCTTTGATAAAATGGAGCTCATGACAGTTTCTGCTTCATCAATACTCGTTTTTTTTCTACTTTCTGCAAAAGTTGTTTATGAAAGTAACTTTTTGCGGCTCAGCTAGGCCAGCCAAAGCTGAAGCTAGGTCCAATCTTTCCCCCAGCTCTGGCTTTCCGGTAGCAAACCTTCGCCACCTTTGTAAGTAGGACTGTAGGTAGTGTAGGCTGCAAAAATCACTGTTTAACTTGGTTTTGCAATTACAAATTTTCCATAAAACCCAAACATTGATCCATCGTTGCACCATTCCATCCATATCCATTCCCTTTCTCATCCCTCCCCCACTCTTTCCCATCGAAATCTCCCCGGCAATCCCCATCCACTTTTCCAAATCCAAAATGCTTACGTTTCAAGCGATTTTCATAAAAAATTTAGTGCTTTTCTCCGTTTGTTTCCCTAATGACCATTGTTCTTATTTTGGGCCAAGAAAAAAGATTTTCTTGGCCCATCTCCATTAAAACAAGTTCAATGGGAGCAGGATTCGTTCGTCTGAACTACGAGAGCTGATCAGCTTTTTGTTTTATATGGTAATAGCATAATCTTTGGTTTCCTTAAGCTACTTATCATTTAGTTGTTTTTGACAGTAAGCTAATGTCCAAGGTTGATCGATCACCTCCTTTTAAAGCTTTTCAATATCCTCCTTGAACTTGCCCGGTTTTTTTTGAGCCGAACCGCTTGATAAAATTGTTCTGAATATAATAAATTGTGATAGGGAAATAGGAGTCAATCTATTCTTGTCACTCTATTCTTGCCAATCTATTCTTGTCAATCTATTCATGTCAATCTTGTCAAAGTCAATCCATCTCTTTCTTTGGCGCTGATCTAATCTTTCCTTCATCATTTTCTGTCCGACTTAATTGAAGATTACGGCAGCTTTACTAATGAATTACGATCGTCTTATACCGTAATCCATTCTCTATCCGAATTACGATCGTTTTATACCGCAATCCATTCTCTATTTTACACTAACTTTACATTACTACCGGTTGCGAAAGTATAATCTTTTCCAATTGTTGTTTACTGTTTTATTTTGACTGCTCCCACTTTCATCACTTTTCTTTTCCGTGCTAATTACTCCCGTGTCATACCTGGATAGAAGCCAGTCAATAAAAGAGAAACGCGAGTTTTAGAGAAACATTTTTACCATGGAGATTTCCGCTATTTAGTTTCAAATATCACTTTTACGGCTACATTACAAATTGGAAAATTTTCACCTTTTACATTTCCTCGATTTCCACACGTATTGTGACTTTTTCGGGTAATTCGTTTAGGAAAAGTTGGATTTTTGAGCTTTAAATCACTTTGATAAACAAACTTGTTTTGCTGAAATTAAGTTTCCTTTCAAATTTTAATTGATTCGATTCTATTTTGAAATCTTTAGACAGTTTTGATTCAACTTTTTTTCTAGCTTTTCTTTTTCTTTCTACTCAAAAAGTCATCCTATGAATGTTTTTTTTCCCTCCGTTTTGTCTGCGAATTTAATTTTTTTTCCCGCTCTTTTTTCGATCAAAAAGAAAAGTGCTAAACAAGATCGAAATAAAAACAAAATTCTTTTGATTTACCAATCGATTCACGAACAAATAAAAGACTTCATTTCATTAAAAACTGGGAATTTCACATTGCGCAATTTACGGTACGATTTGGGGTTTACTGTTAAGATTTACTGTTAAGGTTTACCGCTAAGGTTTACTGTTAAGGTTTACTGTTAAGGTTTACCGCTAAGGTTTACTGTTAAGGTTTACTGTTAAGGTTTACCGCTAAGGTTTACTGTTAAGGTTTACCGCTAAGGTTTACTGTTAAGGTTTACTGTTAAGGTTTACCGCTAAGGTTTACTGTTAAGGTTTACTGTTAAGGTTTACCGCTAAGGTTTACTGTTAAGGTTTACTGTTAAGGTTTACCGCTAAGGTTTACTGTCAAGGTTTACTGTTAAGGTTTACCGCTAAGGTTTACTGTTAAGGTTTACCGTTAAGGTTTACCGCTAAGGTTTACCATAATTCTGCTAATACAGAGTGTCCCAAAAGATTTTTGATTTGAAGATTCTTTGTTTGCGAAAGTTCGCTTAAACTTTACGGAATGATAGGTCAACATTTAGTGTCCTGTGGAAAATTCAATGGAAAACTAGGTAGCTTTTAGATCTTTTAGCTCAAAATGCTTTTACAAGCAAAGGGTGTTTGGCAAATAGTCTTTGTAGCTTAAAATAACATCAAAGTTTTTTCGAAAAACTGTTGTTACCATTTGATAGAGCTAGGTTTTTTTTTCTTGAAAACAACCCACAAAAAATTTTTATATCTCAAAAACAAAAGATTTTCAAGCGATTCTACGAAGAGCACCCAAATCTCAAAAGCCAAAAAAAGCGCTATGACGACTTTAAAACATCTTGGTCAAAAAGTTATTTAAAGTTGCAACTTTTGTGCAAAAAAAAGTATATTAGGGGTAAAAGTAACTGAATTTTCATAATCCGACGTTAGTTTTTCAAAAATAGCGTCTTTTCCGAGTCAAACCGTTCCGTTTACAAAAAGTATAAGAACAATTGAACAATTGACCAACGTCCAATTCCACGAATTTTTCCGATCTTCATTTGTTCATCCCAGGTTTCTAGGGACCTCATTTTCTAATTTAAGAATTGAAAAATGTAAAATTTTAGATTACAAGAGTTTTATAAACTTTGAGAAAAGTTTTGAGTTTTGAGAAAAGCTGTATTCGATTCCATCACAAAATTGTCCAATTTCCAAACAATTTTCAGTAAAAATTTTTTTCTATAGTGTAAATATCAACAAAACATCACCTCATTCACTAAATGAAAACTTATTTTTTACGGGGGAGGGGCAAAGGGGAGGGACCAAGTCTAACTCGTAACTCAAACAAAATGTTTTTTTCCCCCCGCCAATTTTCCAAACAGCGTTGTGCAAAAGAGCATTGGTCTTCTCAAAGGAGGTCAAAAAATGACCTCATGTCTTTATTTTTTAAACCGAAATTTAATCTTTAACTCTTCTTTCTTATCTATGTATGTTTTTTTTTTGGAAACTGGCTTTCCTGTTTAATTTTGTTTAATTTTGTTTAATTTTGTTTAATTTTGTTTAATTTTGTTTAATTTTGTTTAATTTTGTTTAATTTTGTTTAATTTTGTTTAATTTTGTTTAATTTTGTTTAATTTTGTTTAATCCTGTTTAGTCCTGTTTAATCCTGTTTAATCCTGTTTAGTCCTGTTTAGTCCTGTTTAGTCCTGTTTAATCCTGTTTAATCCTGTTTAATCCTGTTTAATCCTGTTTAATCCTGTTTAATCCTGTTTAATCCTGTTTAATTTTTGAGTTTAATAATCTTTGGAAAAAAACATTCCTGTTTAATTTTGAACTTACCATGAAACTACATAGAATTTAAAATTCCCAAAACTTACTGCAAAAAATTTCATTTACATTTCAACCATCGCAAAATTCTCTTTTCGATTGAGTTTATTCGTTTTCCTTTAAAGTTTTCCTTTAAAATTTTAAATCTAAAATTCTCGAATTCCAGATTCATCTCAAATTTGGGCCCTTTTCGGAAAAAAGAAAACATAAAAGCGTTAAAAATGGGGCAAGCTGTTTCACGATCGGATTTTATTTGGACCCTCACTGAACAACCACATATGGATAGAAGAAAGACGATAGCTCAGAAATATCCACAAGTCAAAAAGGTGGGTTTGAGTTTAAGAAATTAAAAAAAAACAAAAAACAAAATGCTAAGTGTGCTAGAGAGGGATGTGTTTCCATTTTTGAGCTCAGACCTGCCAACGGCTTTGGTAGTGCAGTGGATTGTGTGCTGGTCTACGGAACCTATGAAGTTGTCTTGTTCTTTGTCTTAGTTTCGAACCTTCCTCCAATCTTTTTTGCTTCTTTGAAAAATCCTTTTTGACGCATTTACATTAAATATTTATGTTTTAGGCATCATTTTGCAAAACAATTTCCAATAAAAAACACTGTTTTGCTCCTAAAATTCCTAGAATTTGTAAAATCATAAAAAAATGATGTCATCTTTGTGTAAAAAGCGCAAAATTTTGTGTTGATATCATGAGAATTCATAAAAAAACTTTGCCTTTGCGTTTTAAAATCCGTAGCCTAGAACTCGATTAAAACTACTTTAAAAACTACGATTTTCTTTAGAAAATGAAAACTATAATAACTCCTCGAAACTCTGTATCTCGAGCCATAAAAGTTGATTTTAATATAGTCTTCATTAAATTTGGTTGGAATTTTGAAAGACGTGGAATTTGTTTTGTAAATTTATGTATAAGTACATAGAGAAACTCTGTATCAAAGTTCTTTAGAAACTGTAAAATGATTAGGTGCGTACTGTATTGCGAAGTGGACTAGATTATCGGAAAATTTTGAAGGATTTTTGAAGGATTTCCATCTTACTTTTCAATTTCAAACCACAAAGATCAACAGTTTTCTCCCAGAGATCTTTGATCAATTTCTAGATAGAGATCAGTAGAGGAGTGGTCTTTTTGAAGAGCAGAGGGGATACTATTTGTATGCGTTTCGCAAAGGCTGAAAGGGGGAGAAGAAGTGAGTGACACATCTTTATTGCGAACGATTCGAAAAGAGAAAAGAGGGGTTGTGAGTGAAGTGAGCTTTTTAATTGGAGATTTTTTCTGATGGTGGACATTGGTTGCATAGTTGAAATGGGAGTTTTTCTATGAGCGATGATTTCTATGACAAATTTTCGCTGAAATGATGAGTCAAATAGCTAATGGTAATGATCAGTTTTGATCGATGACTCAAATATTACTTTCGAAGAAGCAGGATAAGGTGTTGAAGAAAAGAAGCTGTTGAAAACAGTTCAACACCAATAAAAATCAACTTTGACACCGATTTCCAGCGATTGCTCAACTCATAACATTGCGATTGCGTTTAATTTTGGTCTTTTGATTGACAACAAATGTTTTGTATTCACATTTTTATCCACCAATACAATTTATTCAAATGCATTCACCAAATCAATGCAATAAATCAATGGAAATCTCTCTATGAGTTGTACTCGATGGGCAAGTTCTTGCGACGGACGATTCCATCGCCTTGGAACCATTCACGGCGGAATTGCTTGGCGGCACCGTCGGGGGTGTTGGTCCACTCGATCGTGATGCGGTCATTGTTGGTGTCCTCTTGTCCAAAAGCGAAGGCATCACACGACACAGCCACCTAAAGAACAGAAATTATTACTGCAAATGAAAGAAGCAAAATAAGGACAACAGATAAACTTACGAGAACGTCCTCCTTTGGATCCAAGACACCGCATGGTGGATCGACGCCGAGACGCTTCATATTGGTCGTCTTGAATGCCCATCCAATTCGACGACCGCCAGAATTGGTCACCTAAACAAGACAAATGATAAATGAGAAGATAAATGAGAAGAAAATCAGTTTAAAAACGGGTCAGGGTAAACAAAAAAAATCCAAAATGCATACCTTGATGTGATAGGTGTGCTTGTCATCGTAGGGAGCATTGAAGACGACTTTGGCATTTGGTTGAGTGATGATGTCGCCGGGTGGGATCGATTGAGCCATCTTTGAAGTCGAGAAGACTGATGTTCATTCGACAAAAGCGTTTCCTTTTATTTGATGGATGAATGTTAATTTGGGCGGTTTCAAATGTAAATTTGCCAAAATGAGACATTATGGTAATTTTCTGCTCGTTTTCTTCAATTTTAAACTACTTAAAGTACCTATTTTTCGATTCTTTCGATAAAATTAAGAAAACTAATAAAATAAAAGATTCAAGACTTTGAATTTAGTTATTCGGCGTTGATACCAGCTTCAAATATGTGGTGACAGCGATGGTTTTCGTTCAAATGTTCTTCTGTTGGTTGATTCAAGGTAAAAACCTTGAATTTCCCCTGAATTTAAGGATTATTTCAATTATTTCAATTGTTTTTTTTAGATGAGCCCTTTCTTTTGGTGTTTCTAATGGCGTATATCTCGGGTGGAATCATTAATCACGCGTTAACGCTCGCCATTCACGATATCTCACATAATACAGCGTTTGGACAAGATCGACCATTGGCGGTAAGTCTAAAATGGAAATCTTATAGCTTTTTATGCAATAAAGTGACCCAATCAAGATAAAATAGTGATTCAAGTCAATCCATCGCTCTTTCTTCCTTCCTTTCTTCTTCCTTTCTTCTTCTTTCCCTCTTTCTCTTGACAAGTTAAGGTACTGGATAGCTCATTGGCACCGGATAGCTCATTGGTACTGGATAGCTCATTGGTCCGGATAGCCCATTGCGACTGGATAGCTCAACTAATGATCTATCTTTAACTGGATAGTTAAAGATAGCTCATTAGTGAAAGCACTTGCCCAGAAAGCAAGCAGGAGGTCCAATCCGCTCTCCAAAAGTCTAACATTTCTTTCCAATTCCTTCACTTCTTTATTACATTGCAAAACTTTCCCTAACAAGCTCACCCAATTGCCATTTTACTTGAGATTCTCTTGAATTAGTGTCAAAACTTGTAACTTATTGTTAACTAATAAGAAGTAAAGATATAAATTAACACATTGAACGGCTTCATTTCAGAATCGCTTCTTCGGGATGTTCGCAAATTTGCCAATCGGTGTCCCGATCTCGATCTCCTTCAAGAAATATCATATTGAGCATCACCGATATTTGGGTAAAGAAAAAAAAACCTTGTACTTGTGCAGGGTAAATGTAAACGCACCCTTTCTGGTGCACGCAATTCTTTCATTCTCTTTACACGTTTTCCCAATTTTCGAGTGGTAAATATTAAATTAAATGCTGCCAGGAATGGTGTGTTTACGCTTTCGAGCACAAAGTACACAGTATGGCAAGCTCGTTAACTAAAATTATACAACTAAACTTAACATTGTTGAAATTTTCAGCTGAAGAGGGTTTGGACACGGATGTGCCCACGGAATTGGAGGGGATTTTCTTTAAGACTCCGCTTCGAAAGCTTCTCTGGCTCTTTTTACAGGTAAAAAGATAATTTCCAATAATCCTTAAAAACATATCAAAGTTCTATACAATAAATAAAAACATATAATCCTTAAACATCTCCAAATATCCAACCCAAACCAAGCCTTTTAGCCACTTTTTTACGGTTTCCGACCGCTCATCATCTACAAGAAAGCGCCAACCGATTTGGAGATCATCAACTTTATTCTACAAGTTCAATTTTTTTAATCTAAATTCAAATATTTCTAATTTAGATTGGATTTGACATCTTCATTTTGCAATTTTTCGGATGGAAAGCCTTGTTTTATTTGGTCGGCGGAACGATTTTGGGTGATTTTTGAGGGTACATTTCAACACTATACACATTTGCAGCAATGGGCCTTCACCCAAGTGCTTTCCATTTCATCTCCGAGCACTACTCCTTCTCGGATAAACAAGAAACGTATAGGTGAGTGAACCAAAATCTCTTTTCATAAATAATACTGTCCCCACAGTATATCCTGTCTTTTTTTAAATCCACTGAAAATCCAGTGGATTAGAAATTCATTGGAAATTGTATTCTGCTTCGAATTCATCGATTAGGTATTTGGATTTGGGATACGTAAGAATTGTAGACCTCGAGAACAGTGAGCCAATCATTGCCCAAATTACCAGTTAGATTGGATAACAAAAACAGATTGCAATAGCGCAATGACTTGTAGACTTGAAGAAAGGTCTGTTGAAGACATAAACAACTTGAAGACATAAACATTCGGATCTCTAAATCCACTGAAAACCCAGTAAATTTCTAAATCCACTGCGTTTTCTACAAAACTTGTGACGAAAACATCTGTCGATCCTTTTTTACCGTTGGCAATTCAAGGTTTTTCATGTTTTTCTCAGCATCAACCCTTTGATTTTGACTATTTTGACTATAATTCGATGCAGAATAAAATTGCGCGTCGAATGATATCAAAATCAACTCAAAATGTAATATACATGCAAAGTTATGAAGCAAAAGGCTAAGTCCCACCCATAATGGGCTGGATTTAAGTTTTTAGCCAACAATTTTCCTTCGATTTTACATTTTAAGTTAATTTTGATATCATTCGACACGCAATTTTATTCTGCATCGAATGCTAGTCAAAATAGTCAAAATCAAGGGGTTAATACTGAGAAAAGCACGAAAAACCTTAAATTGCCAACGCCAAAAAAGGATCGACAAATGTTTTCGTTACAAGTCTCGCTACAGTGCTAATAGAGCTCTTGCTAATGCGTTTACTAAAAGGCGCTCAGTTTAGAAAGCTACCGTAATCAAATCGCACTTTACGTTCAATCAATCTAATTTTGATATCATTCAATGAGCTTTTGAATTCCTCTCGTTAAATGATACCAAAATTGGGGTAATTAAATGAAAACTGTCAGTTTTAATATAAAAATTTTTAAAGTAGCAAACTATAGAAAGTCCACAGCTTATTATTAAGCTATCTAAGGCAAAAATTTGATGATCGATTCCAGTTACTATGGCTGGTTCAACTATGTGACGTTCAACGTTGGCTATCACATGGAACATCACGATTTCCCCTACATTCCTGGAAGAGATCTACCAAAGGTAAAAGAGGATCGGAAACTCATCTTCAGTAGTTGCGATCTCTTTCCTTAATTCGAGATTTTCTAGCAGTAGCCATCAATCGTAAGCGGTATCGATCAAGCTACAACCCTTTTAGTTACGTGCCATGGCTCCCGAATTCTATGATACCCTCGAGACACACGATTCATGGTGGAATGTCTTGCATGGATTTGTGATGAATCCGGCTATTGGCCCTTATGCGAGAATCAAGGTATGAATATACAGTACTACTCATAAGCAGCCTTTTATAAACTTTTTTTATTTAGCGAAAACCACGTGTCGATCAACAATTCTGGAGCGATAACGTGCTCACCGAATACGTTGATGCTGTAAGTTTTTAGCCATCGTAACCCGGGCAGCTACCGTAACCCGGTCAGCTACCGTAATCCAGGCAGCTACCGTAGTGGCCCAGCTACCATAGTCCAGCCAGCTATCGTAACCCGATCAGCTAACGTAACCCGCAGGGGCCACCCCCCCCCCCCAACCCCGCCCGGCCGCAAACCCCCCCGCCCCCCCCACCCACGCCGCCAGCAAACCCAACCGGGCCGCCAACGGGACCCGCTCAGATCTTCATGCCATAGTTTGACTTTTAAGATCTTTGTTTCTCCTACCTCTAACAATAGGATAGTTGATGTTACGGTAATCAGGAGACGACGAGATTGTAAAATTGGCCAACAGAATTACGAGTGAAGTCCCTAAAAGTCTGCAAGTCTACTTGGGTTACTTACGTAAAGCTGTAAAAATTACGAACTGGGTTAGGGTATTCGCTTCTTAAACGGTAACAATGTACCTACTGTAACATTTAAAACTAAGTTAAAGGTTACGGTATCTACCCTACCCAAGTTGGAGTAGGGTAGAGATAAAAATGAAACATAACCGTAAGTTTTGATCAACCGATCACCAAATCCCAATCCCAGCTGCTGCACTACATCGGCTATTTCGCGATCCGTGATGCGCTCTCCTCAACTCTTTCCGCGAATTTCTACAACGAAAAGCAGAAAAAGGGTCGCATCACGAAGAAAATCTTTTGATTTGTGCTTATCTGTCTGCTCTCGATTATACCGGTAAATTTAAATTTCTCAAATAGATTTTCAGATTGTCTGTAAGTTTTTCCGATTTCCGATTTCATCTCTTTTCTCTTTTCTCTTTTCTCTTTTATCCGTCCGCCATCCGATTTGACGCCAATTTGATCTCAACCCATTTCTTGTATATGATCTTTTTCAATAAATTTTATTAGAAGTCAAGCATATCACAGAAAACGTAAAAAGAAAAAACACTACCAGTACTAATAAGTTGACACCCGTTTCTTTCATTTCTCATCAATCGCCCATCCACAAGCCCGTTTAACTGCATCTTTCCATCGATGCAACTCGTGGTGGCGCTCTGAGTCCGAGATTCGGGGAGAATAGGAACGAACCTGAGACTGGAGAATTTTCAAGAGAATTAGACAAAGGTTAAAATTTGGGTTTCGAAGAATTGCAATGAATGCATTTATTGCCATGCACCAATCAATACTAAACCCTAAATGTAGGGAAGAAAAAAAAATCCATATATATGGGAACTAATAATCTAGCCGGCGGGATTGAATCCTTGCCCTTTTGTCGGCTTTGAAAGTTTTGTCAAACCAAAACCCTAGAAAGAGGTCCGCAATTGCCTGTAAAATGGGCAAAAGCGTCAATAATATGGAAGTTATTTGGATGATTCTGGTTTTGTTCAAAATTTTGTTCAAAGTCCGGCGTTTCCCCATAATATATTTGTTTCTGTTTTTGAATTTTTATTAACAAGAAAATCTTTGGAACGATTTGAACTGAAATATACAAGGCTCTTAACCAGTCGGTCATGATGGTAATGAATAGCCAATTTTGTTAAGCCGTTAAGCCTTCTCTTGACTTAACCTATCAATGAGAGTTTTTTTTCTGATAAAAGACTTGACAACTCTAAACAAACAAATCAAGTTGACTCGAAGCTCGAAGGTTGAGACAACTCAGTTTTTAGGATTTAGCAAGTTGTACAGGACTTGTAACTGTTTAGGACTTGTAACTGCTTAGGAATTGTACAGTTTTAAGAACTTATGGTTGCACAGTTGAAGTGTCACTTTTTGAACGTTTAAACGTCGAATATCAAATTCAGAAATCTGATCAAATTTGATATTGTTTTCCTTTCATAAATCTCACCGCTTGTTTCTCGGAAAGATTCTCGGGTTTCATCAATCCTATGCCAATCCCAGCCGCCATTGCAGCTCCCCAGCCCGAGACCTCGTGAACGCTAAATTTTAAGATTAAAACGAAGAACATTTGATTTATAAAATATGATTTCATGGCAATATATTGGGTTGGTGAATTGAAAACTGCGGGCTATTGTCATATGCGACAGTTTGAGCACTTTCTTCAAAAGAAACCCATTTTGATGTCAATGGAAAAGTTGTAGAGAATCAAAAATCAAGCTTATATCCAAATTCTCAGAAAGATTCAAAAACTAGTTTTCAAGAAATGCGAAATTTACGAATTTCCACAAAACTTGCATTTTAAGCGAAACTACTAAGTGTATCTTTTTGGAAATTTGGCTATAAGCCTAATTTTTAATTCTCTACAACTTTTCTATTGACACCAAAGTGGGTTTCCTTGAAGAAAGTGCTCAAACTGGTCTCCAGTCCTCCATTTTTGAGTCTCACACTTGTCTCACACACAAACCAAAATCCTACTACGAAAGAGGAATCCGCAAATTGCCTGTAAAATGGGCAAAAGTCGTCAATAATAATGGAAGTTATTTGGAATGAATTCATGGTTTTATGTTCAATAAATTTTGGTTCAAAGTCCGGCAGTTTTCAATTCACCAACCCAATAATATATTTGTTTCTGTTTTTGAATTTTTATTAACAAGAAAATCTTTGGAACGATTTGAACTGAAATTTCTGAAACGAATCCACCAATTCAAGAACACTTTCTTTCTATTATTTACAAATCAACTCCAAGTAATTACTCGTAAAAAATAAGTGCAGCTTTCCCTTAAAATGCTAGAGATTTTTGGAAAAATTTGGAAAGATTTATGGGTTGGTTTTTGGGAAATCACCTTGCAAACTTTTTCTACGAACTTTCTTACGAACTTTCTACGAACTTTTCTATCTTGCTGGCCTAATAACTCGATTTTCTACCTCGGCGTGTCAATCCGTCTTCCCATTATATCCGCTTGTAATTCGTTGAAGAGAATGTTTGACGTCATACCGCCATCCACCTAGAATTCAAGTCATTATCACCTATCCATTTATTCCATTACTTTAATAGCCGTAATCTTTGTATCTTCCATATCTTGTTCGACCGCCTCTAACATTTCGGCACTCTGGAAACAAACGGCTCGCAAAGCGGCCAATGTGATATGAGCTCGGTTCGCGATTTGCGTCAAGCCGCAGATCGTTCCTGAAAAATGCGAAATTTTCGATTTAAACTACAGTTCTATCAAATCAAGAAATCAAATTCTGAGCCCCTGCTACGTATTAAAAGCTTGTAATTCTTTCAAGTGAATCAAGACTAATTGGTAAAAGAGTGTCTTTAATCGTGTGTTTCCGTGTGTACTGAAACGTAAATGCACTACTTCTGGTGCACCACCTCTAGCCGTCGGATCCCAATATGGGGTATAGAGACCGGTGAATGCTGGCACAAAAATCACTCCCTCAGTCGAGGTGATTGATCGACAAAGGGCTTCCACTTCCGAGGAATCCTGAATATTTCAAACTTTGTGCCCATTTCAAGATTTTGTATTTAAAAAGATAGATAAAGCAGATCGAAATGTTGATTGATGTTGACACATCGATCAATATTTCGATCAGCATACCTACCGTAAATACTGTAATAGTACCCCACCCCCCTCGTACAGTTGCGTAGTCGCAAAAGTTTTTTAGTATTTCATTTTTTTCAAAGCGCCCGTACTTTCAAAAAAATGCGTCTTTGGTATCAAAAAATAGCTGAAATTCAGGGCTATTTTTTGATACCTTAGCGCGCATTGTAGCATAAACCAGTTTCGAGAAAAACGCGTCCAAAGCTAGACTACGCAACACTCCGCACCGTCATTATGCGGGTGGGGTCCAATTACAGTATTTATGGTAGTTCCTCAAAATCCGCTACAGCGAGGTAGTATGGTATAAGGCAATGGGAGTAGCTCGTTGGTAGATCGCCCGGTAATCCCGGTGATCGCGGCCGCGGTTGCGGGTTCGAATCCCGGCGCCGACCATGTTTTGTATTCGCAGCCTCAACCCATAAAAGGGTGTCCAAGTAGGGCTCGAGATCTAATTGTAAGTCAACAACGGCATGGCCGGATCCGATACTCAAATTTTAACCATGATAATTGTTTATTCCCCGACCTTAATGAATCCAAAATTGTCTCTCAAGAAGCGAATCACATTTCCACCGATGCTCCCCGAGCCCTCGAGCGCGTAGATCACGCAATCGGAACCGAACTGAACGAAGAATGATCTCTCAACGACATGGAGAATAATAACCAACTTGATAACCGACAGTTGTCAGCAAACCATTCTTGCTGATCAATGGTTGACTTCCGATGTTCGACAACATGAAAGTCCCGGTTCCATACGTGTTTTTCGTGTCACCCTGAGAATTGAGAATTTAAACACTTTTTTTGATGGTTATATTATCAAAAAAGTTTCTATTTATTATAAAATCATTACGCTAAAGTCGCGAGTATAAGTCCTGTTTGGTTTTCGCATGCAAATTGACGGCTGTCTCCGGTGCGGTGTGTCGAGGGTTCGAACCCCGCTGCAGCATAACTTTTTTGCTTTTTAAGAACAATAATAGAAGTAAACTTATTGAGGGTTATAGCAATTTTATGCTGTTATTTGTTGTTCCGGGCGTGGCTCGGCGCGTCCGCCTTGCTCCTCTCCGGTGCTCAGTCTTATGGATCCCTTCCTGGCCTCTTCATCCGGCCAAAGTCCACATCGACGGTCGAAAGAGATGCTTTCCAGCGTCTTCTTCAACACTATCGTCTGGATGTATATAACAAATAGCAATGGTGATAGGCTGTCACCCTGTAGTATCCCGCGCTCCAAGAACAATAATAAAAGCTTATATAACAATAAAAATGTATAAAAACCCAACAAAAAGAAATTCAAAGCAATTAAAGCGAATGTAAATTAAGGCAGAACTTATACTCGAGACTTTAGGGTACTTTATATTATCAAAAAAGTTTCTATTTATTATAAAATCATTACTTTATATGATAAAAATCTTTCTAACACACCTTTTGCAAGCACCCATGTCCAACCATTGCCGCTTGTTGATCACCCAAACATCCGGAAATCGGAATGCCTTTTAGAGGGCCTAAAATGCGCAAATTTATATAATCCTTAGAATTTCAAGCATTCAAGCATTTAAATTGCTTTTCGAACTTTCAAACCTCCCAAAAATTCCCCGTAAACCTCGGCACTTGAGCGTATTTTGGGGAGAATCTCCATCGGGATCTCGAAAAAGTTCGCCAGCTCCGAGGACCATTTGCGCTATAGGGTTTTTAGATTTATTTTAACTTAAATATTCAATTCTTTATTACTTTATGTAAATCGAACATCATTGTCCGACTCGCATTCGTCACATCGGTCGCGTGAATCCCGCACAATTTCCATAAAAGCCAACAATCCACCGTGCCGAACATTAACGTTCCTAATAGCGTCTAGGTAGAGTTTCTTTGGTATAAAATTTTGAAAACATAGATTCTAATCTCGAGTAGATGCAAGCTTATCATGTTTTTTTGAGTGATCGATTGATTTTTATTGATTATTATGCCATTGATTATCGGATAAATGCTTTAAAGCTTGTCTAGACTACCGTAGCCCGTAACTACTGTAATCCAACTAGTTTCTACAGTATTTATAAAGCTTTCTGCAACAATAGCTATTTGGAATTGAAGATAGGAAACAAGAAAATAACAATAAAAATTAAGCCAAGCAGATTATGGTAACTGGTTTAGAGCTAGATCTGCTTGACGAGTTCGGGCAAAATCCTCAGACAGTCTTGCTTCGCTCTTCGATTTTTTTACTGCCCAAAGATCCATCGAGCATGAAATCCAGTTCCCCCGCAAACCCTTATTCTAGGCTTCATTTTGATGCCAAAGTGGCTAGGTTCTGTTTTGACATTCTTTAGATTTCGATCATTTGAGATAAAAACTTTTCTGGACTCTTTAAGCTTATTGAGTTCGGAGCTCTTATCGAGTTATCGGCGAAAGATTGATCGAAATCTAAAGAATGTCAAAACAGAACCTAGCCATTTTTGGCATCAAAATGAAGCCTTAAATAATGGCTTGCGGAGGAACTGGATTTCATGCTCGAAGGAGCTTTGGGCAGTAAAAAAATCGAAGAGCGAGGCAGACTGTCTGAGGGTTTTGCCCGGACACGTTAAGCAAGTCTATTTAGAGCACCTACAGCTTTCGGAAAACTTTGCGGTGACTGTTCACTGTTCTACGCAAGTTACTGCATAGTTATTTTTCTTTTAATTTAACGATAAGTTGAGATCTTATTTATCGATCTCTCAACTACCTTTCTTCCTCGCCTCTTCCACTTCAGGCACATTCCTCAAAAGCCATTGGAGCTTTAAAACAGAGAAATATGGATGAATCGGAAGACCAGTTTTCGCTTTGAAATGTTCTTTAGATCTGGAAATTTTCACAAAATTGAGAATTTTCTATATAATTGTACTTTGATTCCGTTTTCTGAATAGCTTCATCAGCTAGAGCCGACGTTCTCGTATCCAACCAAACAATCGCATTGTGAAGGGGTTCACCCGTTTCCCGATCCCATACAACGGTTGTTTCTGGAATGAAATTCAAGCTTTACGTCAGACGTAAAGACCGTCAGCTTTACCCGTCAACGGTGCTTTTAATTGAAACATTTCAGTGATCTTTTTATTCACTCACCCCTCTGATTAGCAATTCCCACGCATTTGAGGCGATCAAGCCCGACTTTCTGCTCGACCATTTTTTCGGATACCTTAAAAATTGGGCTCTTGTTATCCGTTATTCTCTTTGAAGGCTCATACATTTGTTTAGAGATTATATGGTTCACTTTTATGTAGCTTTAACTTCAGCTTATAGAATGATATAAAATAGAGCTTGATTGGGCCACAAAATTCTGAGAAAACCATTTTGGGGACATTCTTAAAGTCAAAGGAAAATCACTGTGCAAATGACTAGTGAAGTGTTCTTTGTGCACAATCGCTCTCCATCCGGCACACAGTCTGGTGCTCCATTTTGGTATCGATGAACACAATTGTGCTGCCTTCTTCCAATGAAGTTACCTTCTAGCAATTTGAGCGCCAATAGATACGTCTTTGCGCTCTTTGTGCGCGCGCACAATCGCTCTCCATCCGGCACACAGTCCCGATAGATAGGTGCTCCCTTTTGGTATGGATAATCACAATTTTGCTGCCTTCTTCCAATGAAGTTAATTTCTAAGAATTTGAGTGAAAGCGCTTTTACTAAAAACAACTATTCAATAATGTCTCAAGGTTCGGCGAGCGAGCAGGCAGCAATCAAACTTCCACGTTAATGGGCAACTATTAGGTTGATGCAAAAGTCTTTTTCATTTTTTTCGTACTTCTTTTGAAAAATAACAAAGTCATCAATTAACCTATGGTTTGCTCTAAATGAAAAGTGTTTATTGTTCAATTTCCCATCTTTTTAAGTCAATTTGGGTTCACTTTCAAGCAAATTCGAGAGTGAAAACGGGTTTTTCATAAAAATCTATAAAAACCTCTATAAAGAAATTGGCTGAATCAATTTCTCTGAAAATCTGAAAAAATATCTAACTTTTTGTGCTCTATCTTTTATTTATTAACATCAAGATTGGTTTCCTTAGCTAAAGCGTCTAAAATGCATCATCGAGCCGTCGCCTTTTTTGACTACCCGACTTCAGGCTCTCAAAAAAATCTAGACATAAGAGATTTTAAACTCGTTTTAATGTCATTTTGCAGAAAAATAATTGGCCTTTCGAATGCAATAAACCGTTGTTCAATTGGTGCATTTGTTACTTTTTAACGGAAGTACGAAAAAAATGAAAAAGACTTTTGCATCAACCTAATATTTTTCTATAAAATCCCAGATGGGGTAGGAACGAAAAAAATGCGAATTTAAGTGTAAGTTAAGTTCGATTCGTTCGTTTCGTTCTTGCTCTTCAATTACCTTTTTTATACACTCAAGAACTGTCTCGTAGATCTCTTTCGGACACATCTCCACCCATCCTGGATGCGGAAAGAGTTGACGAACTTCGATCTAAGAAAGAATTTTGAAACTTTTTGTCATTTTTCGATTCTTTTCGTTTTTATTCTAACTACATCTCCGCATTTTTCACAAATCCTTATCAAATTCCTTTTCTTTTTCTTCTATTTGATCATAAAATCGTTGAGTGACCTGGTCATAAATTTTGTGCACTCCTTTTTGGGAAAAAAAGTCCAAAAAAAACGCTCCAAAAAAAGAACACAAGATTTTGGATATAATTTGAAGAGATTTGAAGTTGAAATTTGAAACCTGATGACTCGCTAAAAGATCCCCATTGTCAGCAAAAGTTGTTTACATATTTTTCTAAACTCACTAGAACGAACTTTACCCATTGTGGACAACGAACTTGACCCACTTTACCCACTTTCCTTTCTGCTCTCAAAATGCCTGAACACAAACTTTCTAGCGCACTCAATTCTTTTTGTTGCCAATAGAAACGTGGAAAATTAAGTGCAGTAGGAGGTGTGCATTTGCATAGTTCAAAGTGCACAGCTTAGTACCCACCAAGAGAAAAAGACTTACGAAAAAGACTAAAAGAAAAGAACACAAAATTTTGGATATAATTTGAAGAGATTTGAAGTTGAAATTTGAAACCTGATGACTCGCTAAAAGATCCCCATTGTCAGCATCGAAAAGGAGAAAACGCGACGATGAGGTGCCTTGATCGATCGCTCCCAAGAGCATCTCTCACCCAGAACACAGTGATTTCAAGCAGAAACTATGGACCTAAAAATCAACTTCGAAACTTGGGTAAAAGAATAATATAGTAAAAAAATTGGCAAAAGAAAAGGAATTGTTATGACTGCCAGTTGAAGATCATAAATATTTTGTTTAGAAATTGAGTCGCGAGTATTTTTGAGACGTACTTTGATCTCTCAAAGAAAAGCACCCTTTCTGGCACTTGAAAACGATTTCTCATGCACTATTTCGATGTCCTGAATAATGGAATTTTGATGGAAAAGTTATTTAAGTTGTAAGTTTAACTTGTAAGTCTAAGTTGTAAGTCTAAGTTGTAAGTTTAAGTTGTAAGTCTAAGTTGTAAATCTAAGTTGTAAGTTTTAGTTGTAAGTTTTAGCTTAAGTTGTAAGTCTAAGTTGTAAGTCTAAGTTGTAAGTTTCAGTTGTAAATTGAGCCCATCGCTAAGCTAACAAATGTCATATCTCCTGATATCAAATTTAAAACATTAACCCTAATTTCAAGCTTTGAAATTTAAAAGAAATAAAAGTGCAATCAAAAAAAGAAAGATATTAATTCTTAAAGTAATCCGAGAAAGGGATTTTAGATTGAAATTTTCAACTTAAAAAGGAAAAGGAGCTGATGTTTTGAGGGATCACTTTAAGGAATTGTTTTACCATCATTTTAACTTCATTTTAAAAGAAAAGTGTACAATTTTGAATGTAAATCTTGTTATCAAAACTATGATATCAAAGAAAATCAAAGAAATTATCATTAATGAATCGAAAACTTTTCTTTAATAAACTCAAAATCAAAGCACCACGTGGAGGGAAAAAGATTCCATCAAGTGCACGAGAAGAGAAAGTGATCGATGGGGGAAATCATCGGGGAAATCACAAAAAAGCCAAAAAGAAAGCCATTTCCCAAGAAGATCACCAAAAATCTCATTAAATTTGAGTTTTCTTTGTTTAAAATGACCTTTAAATAAACAAAAAAAAACCTTTTTAGAATCTCGAGATTTTTAGAGAAAATTTTAGAGAAATTTTAGAGAATTGAAAGTGAAATTGAAATTGAAATTGAAATTGCACTTTTAGAATCTCTCGAAAAAGTTTTGCAACAAATGAAAATGGAAAATGAGATTAGAAACAAGTTCTAGAGTTTCAAATTTGATAAAAAAAGTTGTTTACATATTTTTCTAAACTCACTAGAACAAACTTTACCCATTGTGGACAACGAACTTTACCCACTTTCCTTTCTGCTCTCAAAATGCCTGAACACAAACTTTCTAGCGCACTCAATTCTTTTTGTTGCCAATAGAAACGTGGAAAATTAAGTGCAGTAGGAGGTGTGCGTTTGCATAGTTCAAAGTGCACAGCTTAGTACCCACCAAGAGAAAAAGACTGACTATGGACCTACTATGTACTTTGAAATGAAAATTCTTGAAACACATCCTTTCTAGTACTCTAGTACTCCTTTCTAGTACATTTCTCATTTTTCATACTTCGTTATCTTAAGAAAAGTCATTGCGCCAGAAAGGATGCGTTTAGCCAAAGTATACTAAAGAACAAAGCAGAATAAAGTCTTCTGGAAGAAAAATCAATCCCAAAAGTTGACGTTTTAATCATTTGTTGATCGTTTTGGATAAAAAAAATGTCAATCGGTGAAAAGCTGAAAGGCAAAGTGTAACTCAGCCAACATTTTGTCCCTTTTCCCCTTCGATTTCCCCCCACGTGTGATCATTGAAGCGATAGAAAGGAAAAGAAAAGGCTGCTGTGGGAAAAAGCTCTCAAAAACTTTAAAAATCGCTGAAAGATTTTCGAAATTGATAGTAGTGTTCTTCAGCCGATTGCAGGCCAAAACACGTTCTCCATTGCAAGCATTGCAATGGAGAACGTGTTGCAAAGGATTGCAAGCACAATTGCCGTTAGCCACCGGAAGATCTCATGACAAATGACAAATTTAATAAGTAGCACGTGATTGACTAAATTGAGTTAAGAATACGGCGATGGGAAAGGCTTCAGGTTAAAGCAGCATTGAAAAACTCGGTAAGATCAACTCGATTGCAAATTCGGAATCTTCATTTAATATTTGGAGATTCACCAAAAGTGGAGATTTGGAGATTTGGAGATTCACCATTCACCAGTATTCGGAGATTCACCATTCACCAGTATTTGGAGATTCACCATTCACCAGTATTCGGAGATTCACCATTCACCAGTATTTGGAGATTCACCATTCACCAAAAACCTCACTCTAATAGTAAATTCTTATACTATTTTGAAAAAATCGTAAATTATCAGAACTATATTATCAGATCCAGAAAAATAGAATAAATCATTCATTTTGGTGACCCTAAATTCCTGAGTAAAGAACTTTTATTGTTCTTTGATAGGAAGGGATGCGGAGGGGTGGAAACACGTGGTCAAAATCGTTTTTTGCAAGATTTGGGGCGTTTATTTTGAAAAAATTTGACAGTTCTGTAAGTCGATTAACTTTTTGGGAAAAGTGAAAATGGAAAAGTGATAAATATTCATGGGCTTGAGTGGAAAAGTTTCGTTCTAGAGGGGAAATATCAAAAATATCAAATATCAGTTACTCAAAAATATCAAAAACAAATTAAAATGCATGAAAATATCATTTTGATGATCCTAAATTCCCGAAAAAAAGAACTTTATAGTTATATATCGCTTTTATGGAACTTCTAGTAATGTCTAGACGTATCCAGGAAATAAAACCTAGAAGAAGAAGAGGAAGAGGAAGAAGAGGAAGAAGAAGAAGAGGAAGAAGAAGAGGAAGAAGAAGAGGAAGAAGAAGAAGAGGAAGAAGAGGAAGAAGAAGAGGAAGAAGAAGAAAAAGGAGACAGCGGACTGGCTTGTGACCCGATTATTCGGGGTCAAATGGGCGCACGAATTGATCAGATATTGAATGGGAAAATAGGAAAATTTCATAGAAATGTGTACAGATAAAGGATTTAGGCATATAATTCTAAAATTCGAACAATTCTAGTAGTTTCTAGATGATTCTATGAGAGAGATTTTTCACTAAGAGGCAACGCTTATCTGGGTATCTTTTTATGGAGTACTGTAATTGATTCGTGTATTCTGGAGCACACAGGAACGATTACTATAGTTAAAAAATTATTCGGAGTGAATTTAGATTTGGGTTACGGTAGCAGGTTGTCTGGCGTCGTTCCCCTCTAAACATAAAATATAAACGAAAACTTTTCAAAAACTGTAGCAATATCAAAAAATATAATACTATACTATTATATAAAAAGTTATCTGCCAAGAAATGTTTAGATTTCAAAGGGATTTGAATAGATTTGAATAGATTTGAATAGATTTTAATAGATTTGAATAGATTTGAATAGATTTGAATAGATTTGAATAGATTCCAATAGATTCCAATAGATTCCAATAGATTCCAATAGATTTGAATAGATTTGAATAGATTTGAATAGATTTGAATAGATTTGAATAGATTTGAATAGATTCCAATAGATTCCAATAGATTCCAATAGATTCCAATAGATTTGAATAGATTTGAATAGATTTGAATAGATTTGAATAGATTTCAATAACGGTTTCAATAACAGTTTCAATTTCATTCAATACATTTACAAATCATTCAGTACAAAGCCATTTGGCTAGATATTGGATATATTTCAAGATAATTAACATTTAATATAGCTTAGATATGTAAAGTGATTAGCTAAGTAAATATTTTTAACCTTTAACAGATACTCGATTCATGCCTACACTCGATGAAAGTAGATGCGTTCAGAGATCGTTTTTTTGTACAAATCAATGATTTTTGGTAATTTTTGCCTATGAAAGTTGTATTTAAATGAAAATAAACAATTTAAAGACTATTTTAAAAGAAAAAAAAGAGATAAAAGAGAAACTTTGCCTTAGTAACCTTCACTTTTAAGTCAGTGAAAGTTCGATGTTCAACAAGACATCAACTTCAGTTTTCTATGCAATCAATAAGCTAGTAATTTTGAGAAAAAGATTAAATGATTTAAAAAAATAGAAAGATGGAAGTTGATTAAAAAATGTAATTTAACAATCTGCAATCTAGAAAAGTTTAAATCAAGAAATTAGATGATAAAGCAAAGAAATGATTGGCTCTGAAGATGGGATTGGACACAATATTCGAATACGATTAAACCATCAAAACAAATCAAATCGAAAATACACGTCATCCATAAAGATTGCACTAATATAAGGAGAAATGACATAATTCCCATCCCTTTCAGGTATGGGGGAGACTAAAGGACAAAAGGGGACTAAACGACATGATTCCCTTTGCACTTTGACCCTCACTTCTCTTCTTATTTCTTTTCTTTTTGGGGCAATAAGATAAAGATTATGAAATCGAGTCGATTTGAGGAAATCATTTGCTTAAAAGATCAAAAATCTCATAGTTAGTTCATGTTGGCACTTTTTTAGAGGAATCTTCTTTGCATTTCCTCAAACTTTCTGTGAACTTTGAGCTTTTCATTAGCTTTTCATTAATCCTTTCACTTATGAAATCTTTGTGTACTAAATGCTTATCTATTGGATTGGTGAATTGAAAACTGCGGGCTATTGTCATATGTGACAGTTTGAGTGTGACAGTTCGGATTTTGGTTTGTGTGTGAGACAAGTGTGAGACTCAAAAATGGAGGACTGGAGATGTCCAGTTTGGACCCAGTTTGAGCACTTTCTTCAAAAGAAACCCATTTTGGTGTCAATAGAAAAGTTGTAGAGAATCAAAAATTAGGCTTATAGCCAAATTTCCAAAAAGCTACACTTAGTAGTTTCGCTTAGAATGCAAGTTTTGTGAAAATTCGTAAATCTGGCATTTCTTGAAAGCCGGTTTTTGAATCGTTCTGCAAATTTGGATATAAGCTTAATTTTTGATTCTCTACAACTTTTCCATTGACATCAAAATGGGTTTCTTTTGAAGAAAGTTCTCAAACTGGGTCCAAACTGGACATCACCAGTCCTCCATTTTTGAGTCTCACACTTGTCTCACACACAAACCAAAATCCGAACTGTCACACTCAAACTGTCACATATTTCAATTCACCAACCCAATAAAATCTAAAGATTCGGCAAGAGATCGGATTTAGTTATTGAATTGAAACCGAAAGATCCTGATAGACTTACCGAAATTTAGGATTTAGACAAGACAAGACCAGTTTGTCACTCTTGAAACTTGTGTACGGCCCTTCAAAACAATCCTTAACATTTTCAAAGTTGCTGCTTTTGACAAACAGTCCAAATCCCAACCCAATTAAGCATCATTACGGCCACTTCTTCGAGTCAAGAGTCATTTGATTCATTCCCAAGTCGTGGTGAGAATGTTCACTCTGACAAGGGAAAGGCGCCCAGGCAAGCTGGCATTTTGACTCGAGAGCAAGCCCATCTTATAGAGTCGACCATAGGGATCTCGAATCCGTTTTTAGTTTTTCCACAACACGAAATATTTAGCATAGAAAATCACCTTGGATTTCGAGCTGGGGCTCCTTCTGGGTCTGTCACACGCTGCCTTAACAGCTGCTTCGATGGTGTAGTGGGTAGGCTGCTAGTCTGCTAGACTGGCGAACCTATTACGGCTCTCAAGTTCGAGTTCAGCCCTCGTCAAACTTTTTTGCTTTTCTAAAAAACTGTTTCCTTTCGTGAATTATTGACTCAATTTTTTGGATTTGATGTCTTTCCCTTGTGAGTCTAACTCTGACGCTTGGCTTTTGGCTTTGCCTGGCCTGGCTTACATTTCCAAAAGTAAGTCTCGGTTTAGAAAATCCCAGGCCTTGATTCTCTTGATGTCTAAATGCTGTTTTGTCAAAAGTCCATCTTTCAGTCAAATTTCTTAGAGTTGACAGTCAAGTCCTTAAGCTTTCTCAAGGGAAAACGAAAAACTATGTCTACAAAGTCAAGATCTTCATCAAAATAAGCTCAATAGCAAGTGTGAATTAAAATTAAAGGAATTCTACTTGCAAGAGTTGGGTCAGCCCCACGTGTCCCTCTTTCCCCTTTCATGAGTCTCTTCCCCTCTTCTTCTCTCCCCCACTTCCCCTTTCCCTCTTCCCCTCTTCCCCTCTTCCCTTCTTCCCCTTTCACCTCTTCCCCTTTCCCCTCTTCCCCTTTCCCTCTTCCCCTCTTCCCTTCTTCCCCTTTCCCCTCTTCCCCTTTCCCCTCTTCCCATACCCTCCCCTCTATTGATCCCTTTCCCCTTTTTCTCAGTCAATTCTTCTTTTCTATAGCTTGTCCATATTTGCCATATTCTTTCCCCTTTTCCCTCTTTCCTATTCCCCAAAATCTCCACTCGCCCCAGGCGCGATTCCATCGAAATTTTGTGCATTTTGCCGCTGAATGAATGAGAAATTTTTTCATGATTCGGTTTTTGTTCTGAACTTTTCACTGCTTGAATCTTTATACATTTAAAGCATTTTAAATAAACTTTCTCCAACTTTAAACCCTTTTCCTTTCCCCCATCGATTTCGTAACTTTCGACAATTTTTTTTTGTCGACTATTTCCCCTTTCTGTGCCTTTAGGTAAAAATCTTTTAATTATTTAGTTTTCAAGAATTTTTGTGATGACGAGGTAGAAAAGATCCATATCTAAAAATGGGCTACGTGCCGTTGATTTTGGCTTTGACGGCCGTTTGTGCACTCACGATATATTTATTGGGAAAATATGGTGAGTGCTTTGAATAAGCAAACATTTTTCTTTATAACTTTTTTCAAAAAAAGGATTGTCTTCAAAGTTTTTCGTTTAATAAACCAACTGAATAGCTTTGGGTTTTACATTTATTACAAAACAAATCTTTAAACACTAGGATAAGATTGATAGCTGTAAGATTGGCTTTAGATATACCAGCGTTTTCCTCCTAGCCGCAAATGATGAAAACCCTTTTTTTAAAAATACAAAAAAATGGTGATGATAGGAATCGAACCTGTCTTTCTTGGATTGAAAGATTCCGGCGCCTTAGACCAATCGGTCCCGCCGACAGGGTATTTTTTCTCAGAGTCGCGCTCGTTTTTTTGATTTTTAAAATTCAAAACTTCAGTATTTTTAAAAACTAATTTTATATTTTTAATCTAGAGATTCTGGGCTTTCTTTTGAGTTAAAAAACTTTTCTTGATCTTGTCTCTACATTGAGATACAGAGGCTTTAAAAAAAAACTACCCTGAAAAGTCACAATTTGCATTTTTAAGAAGAAAAACGGTTGAAGGAATCAAAAAAGAAATGGGTTATCTTAGAAATAAAAAGTTGACTGTTTGATGTGAGAGTTTTTGCTCAATGGGATTGTGGAACACGCGCCTACTCCCTTTGCCATTGCCAATCCAACTTTGAGCTCAAATTTCTTAGTGTTCGGCTGTTCAATTTAAATAGTTTTCATACCAATCGATAGAGAAAAACTTGACGCATATAATGATACCAATAATTTAGAAATTGAACAGCTTAATACCAAGATATTTGAGCTCAAAGTTAGATTGCTAATGGGAAAAGGGGTGGGGCGAGTGTCAAATGTCCGATAACCACCGTTGGTGACGTATGATCCGGACAGACAGACAGACAGACAGACATAGACAGATCCTCTTATAAAAGAGATTAAGTAAAAGATATATTCTTAAGCATTTTCTCACTAACAAGTATCATTTTTTCAATTTTACACACCAATTCAGGCTCATACAAACGCCAGCGTGTCTCCGTAACGGTTGCCGTGTTCATCGCTTGGTACTTCTCTCTGATCATCGTTTTCGTGTTACCACTAGATGTCTCAATGGTGAGTTATCTAAAAAAATTAAAAATCCCAGATTATCGTATTTATTCTGATAGCCTCGAATAGGAGCGGGATGATTGAAAAATCGAAACGCATCATTTCAGACCTTGTACAACAAATGTTTAACTCAAAAAGCCTTCGACAACTCGACCCCAACGAATGGCAGGTTAGCTTGATGGGTGGAATTTAAATACATTTACAAAATTTAAATACATTTACATTTAAAGATTATTCATAATCGAATAGTACCGAATAGTACCTAATTGTACATAGTACTATTAGCCTTGAATGCGAGGAGCCCGGTGGTCTTGTCGGCGGTCATAATCATAATCGAATAGTACCATTTTAATTGTACATAGTACTGTTAGCCTTGAATGCGAGGAGCCCGGTGGTCTTGTCCCAAATGATACCCTTTTGTACATGTGGCGCATCGTCTATTGGACAGCTCAAGTGCTATGCTGGTTGGTTTAGATATCTGATTTTTGGATAAACAAGCTGTTATCTTGATTTCATTATAAAAACTATTCTAGGCTAGCCCTTCCGTTGATGCAAAGCTATGTGACAGCTGGAGAGTTCACGGTGGGCGGGAGGATAAAGGTGAGAAATTGGGGATGAAATGGCAGGATAAGATTTATATATCAGTAAGGCAATGGGATAGCTCATTGGTAGAGTGTTGGCCGGGCAAGAGAAAGGCCGTGGGCTCGAATCCCGGCGCTAATCGCATGAGAGCCTGAACGTTTTGCATTTTAGCATTCCTTTAGAGAAAGCCGTGATCGTGATCACCGAACACCTGGGGTCTCAACCCTGAAGTGTTCAACTTGTTCACAATAGATCTATTACGACAGAATCGGATTCTGTCGTAACATCTCTATCTATCCAAGTCCCACAAATTTCCAGGCCTCTCTGTGGAGCAATGCCATGTATTACATCGCCTATTTTATCATTTTCGTCATCTTTATAGCGTACGCTGCCATGAAGGGCCTTTCATTGAATAGGTGAAATTTTTTTAATAAACGGAATAAAGTTTTTTGCAAAAACGGTGTGATAATTTAGAATTTCAAACGGTTTACAATTGAAATCTAGTCAAAAATTGAATTTAGAAACTGTATCAATTGGATTTTCTTTAGAGAAAGCCTCATCGTGATCATCGTTTCCGCGTCGAACACCTGGGGTCTCTTGTTGTTGGTCGTATTGTTGGGGCATGGACTTGTCGATTTGCCTAGACAACTCTGGCACACCGCTGCCACAGGTTATAGGGATTTTTTTTGCATTAAAAAGTGTTACAGTAATCCTTTAGATGATTTCCAAAATCATTCTTTCAGAATATCGCCTCAACAAGACTTTCTTCGACATTGACAAGCTCTCAACAGACAAACACGATGCCGAGGATTCGCTGAAAGATGTTTATAGGTAAAAAGGCATAGATTATTATAATATAATTTAATATTTCTGATATTATCATAATAATTATAGAATTTTTTTTCAGAGAAGCCCGGACGGTACTCAATTTGCTAAAAAACGAGCACTCATTGCGGGGAAAAGCTCAAACGATTGTGAGCCGTTTCCCAGAAGAAGTAAGCTTTATATTTAAAATAATATAGATCGAGATATATTTTCTTCGTATTATAATCTTTCAGGTGATTCGCGAGCTCTTCCCCAATCGCTCAGGCGCTGATTTCGAGTGTATGGGCGAAGTGGATCGAGTGTCGGCCACAGATGAAAGATATTTGGTAAAAATAAGCTATTTACATATAGAGACTATATGCTAATTTTTAAAACATATCAATTATAATGAGTGTTTTCTTTGAAATCTCCAGGTCCGGCTTCACACAAAAGCCATCGACGCCGTTCATCTTTACCAGCGAACGGCGGCGCATTGGAGGTTTGGCTTTTTTCAGCTTATTCACTGAATATTTTAATCATTAACGATTAAATAAGTTAACAATTAAATTTAAAATTACAATCAAATTCTAGATCAACAATGGACCGAGCTTTGTGGCTGGAAGAGGTGCGACAAGCCGAGCAAACGGGTGCACTCAATTTACCCGGCGGCCCGAGTCTCATTCCCGATCCGTTGCGGAAGCTCTGGCACACAAAGGCCAGGAAACCCTTCACTCAGGTATTAAAGAGTACATTTACAGTAGTTATAGCAAATATATCTAATTTACTCTATACACTAGGACCTTCCAAAAGCTAAGGTCCTCCAAAGGCCAGAATTGAGCAAGGATGAGATTTTCATCCCTGTAATTACCATTCTGATTCTGATCGGACTGATTCGTTCTGCCTTTATCTGATTTCTGACCTGACTGGCCTAAACATTTTTTGTTTTGACAACCCTGCAAGCCATACTTACCAGGGAATCCTTCAAAATTACGATCCTGAAATTAGAAATTTCAGAAGCTATCTGATTCCGAGGTGTAAACACTCCTTGGCATACCAAAACTGCTTACAAATCCTATTTATCATAAGCCGTTCTCGAGATATAAGCTTTCAAAGTTTCGGCAAATCTCGTCAAACAGCAAGCTAGCCTACTCAAAGCCTTGGTGCCGATCTAGCGGTGTGCCTCAGTAGCCTAGTCGAGAGTGGGCTAGCGCCTCGCACTTTTTCCCCCTGGCTCGTATCCTCTCGAAACACTTTTTTAAGGTTAAGGGAATACCGTTAACCAGGCGGTGTTTGCACCTTGGAATCAGATCGCTCCTGAAATGTAATTTTAAAGGCTTTCGCAATAAATCGCAACTTTTCCAGGTTCTCTCGATTCTTTTGATGGCGATGACAATTTTAATCCTCCTCTCCGAATGCACATTTTTCATCACATCGCGAACCCTTTCCCCATCGGCACTCATCATTCAAACAGCTGCGAATGGATTCCATTACAAATATACACAGGTTTAGGCATCAAAAATGATTACTTGAATAACCTTGGATCAAGACTTTTAAAGCTTAACTTTGCAGCTCTTCTCGATCGTGATTGTCGCCTATTTGTGTGCATGTGCGTATTTCACGATCTTCCGCCTCAAAATCTACAGCTATTATCATTTGGATCATCATGGGAACACCGATGAGAACAGTTTACTCTTCTCGGGAATGTCAGTGATGCAATAGGCTTAGGCTTAGGCTTAGGCTTAGATTTGTAACGCGTTTTCTAAAATGCACCTATTTTGGAGAAAAGTACCGTAGACATACTGTTAGTTTTCATCAAATCAGCCCAATTTTTATATCATTTACGGCGGCTTGTGATTTCTCATCGAATGACACGAAAATTGAGCTGATCGGTTCTTTGCATTTCTATTTGAGAAGCCATTAGCTTAATGGTCCTTATGGGCCATTAGCTTAATGGTCCTTGTATCCTTGTGATCCCGCAAGAGTATCTGAACTAGCAGTTTGACTACGGGAGTTTTCTCAAATAAGTGCATTTTAGAAAAAGGCGTTACTTGAGTGGAAAACCCTAATGATTAGCTCTACGAGTATTTCTCAACGTGTAAATTTCTAAATGAGCAATTCTTCAGGTTACTCTGCCGACTGACGCCTCCAATTTGCCTCAATTTCCTTGGCATGATCCATCTCGATTCCCACGTGACACAGCAGAAGAATTTCGGTGTCGAAACGCAATTCACAAAGGTTTAAAGAGTTCTGCTTATTTTATCGATGCAGTAAGTAATAAAGTTCTGTGGAATTCGATTTCTTTCCAGCTAATGGGTCACTTGGATCTTCTACCAGTTGTGGCCAAAGGAATCAACATCTATCTCCCGATGGCGATCATCGTTTTCTGTGCTCTCACATATTATAAGTGAGTCAAATTTTAGATGCAAAACATCTATAGTCTATCATTTTATTCAAGATTGGGCACTCGATTGTTGCACGCGATGGGCATTGACCAATATGTAGCCGATGACCATCTCTCAATGGATTTGGTAGGAGATTTGAGCAAAGATACCAATTACAATATTAGAATAACCTAGTAGCTTTTATTTTCGAGTATATAATCTTGCTTCAATTCCAGGTATCAGCCGGGAGAGCCCTGGTAAATCTCGAGAGAAATCGTCGCAGCCGGATGGAGAATCGAGAAGCAAGACATTCAGCTTTCACTCAAAGAGTTGTTGCAAATGCTACGGGTAAGGATTTTTGAATGACTCTAGGCTAGATCTATATCTCTTTATTAATCTGAAGCTCTGAAAATCTTTAGTCTAAATATTAGAGCTTGAGAGAATTTTCTAGATCGTCTCCGGTCAGGAATGCGTCGAGAACCAGAAGAGGATCGACGCCCGATTGTGCAAGAGGAAGTCTTCGAGTACTCTAATCAACAAGATCTACTCATCGATGATGGTTAGTTTTGAGATAGTAACAATTGAAGACTTCAAGCTGAGCTAAGCTGAGCTAGGCTGAGCTAGGCTGAAGCTGAGCTGAGCTAGGCTGAAGCTGAGCTGAGCTAGGCTGAGCTAGGCTGAAGCTAATCTGGAGCCAGGCTGAGCTAATCTGGAGCTAGGCTGAGCTAAGCTGAGTTAAGCCTATCCATATCTCTTATAGTTAGATCTAGACTCCCTAGTTTTAGATTAACAATACTTACTATTAGATGTGAGCATTGGTAGACTTTAACGGAGCGATTCCACATTGAATTGGCAATTTAAATATGAAATTTTAGGCCGAGTTTGCATATAATTCGCTAAAAAAACTGTTTTTCTCAAACAAACGAGTTTTCTCGTCCCTGTTTTGACCAATAAAGCTAAAACTTCTTTAGAAACTTCTTTATATTCTAGTTGTGCCATTTTAAAAAAAGTTTTAAAGATCAGAGCTAGGTGAAACACCCGGGAACCGAACCTGGATCGTGTGGGCTGTAGACAAGCGCGCTCTCGGCTGCGCCACGGCGACAAAAACTGCCGTATTTTCCCTAATAGTAGTGCACCGAGCCGAGTTGATGAAGATTTTACTGTTTCCAAGTTTTCACAGAAGCTCAACACTCAAATCCCCCACAAGCTCTCATCGTCAGCTACATTTTCCGACCTCACATCGATAGGTTCTCATAAACAGTTCTCGAGATTTCGAGTAATTTAGGCAAAGCCTACTATTAGTGCCCTACTATTAGACAGAATACGGTAGTTATATTCTAAGCAGGCAGAAAGACAGACTACAGTAAGCTAGCCCGATCTAGAGTCAGCTAGCCCGATCTAGAGTCAGCTCTGACTGACGGACACTCAGGGCTTCCTATAGGCCAGGCTCAGCTTGAACAATCGTGACTGGCTTCCTGATTTATACTCCTTGTACCTCTCACTAATCCCCCACAAGCTCTCATCGTCAGCTACATTTTCCGACCTCACATCGATAGGTTCTCATAATGGGTTTCGACATTTCGGGACGGGATTTCGACCAATTTAGGCAAAGCTTAGGGAAAATACGCGAAAATACGATATTTACGTGTTAAACTGTAATAAGCGACAATAAAATAGTCTCGCTAAGCAACCTGAAACCTTTGCAGATACTCGATCTTCCCGTCATCCAGACAGTGCCCATTTCTTTGATGATATGTGAATAAATTCCCCTCCCATTAAACCATAAACCGGTGATTTCCATCTTCGATCTCATAGTCAGTTGATTTTCAAACATCAAATTCATTTCAAATTCTTTTAGACTTTCAAAATTCTTTATCAAATCAATTGAGCTTCATATCTTTTTAAGTCAAAACTCTTTTTTTTTTTTTTCTAAAATATCGGGTTTACCACGAAATTTTATGCCATTTTTATGCCATTTTTATGCCATTTTTTTTTGTCATTTAGTCAAACCATTTTTCAAATGTGATAAAGAAATTTTTCTTCGAAGCAGCTTTATAAAGCACTACAAATTACCGTAATCTCATAAATATGTGTTATGTAAGTGAAGAAAAAGCACCAGTGGAGAAATTTGAATCATTTTCAACTGACTAACAATTGTAACAATTTTGTAAGCCGAATATGCTAATTTTCTCTTTTTAGACGAATCGGCCGTGCTTGTCGTCGCTACTGAAAGATATTCATGAAATTCAGTGCACTAGAAGGGGTGTGTTTACATTTTTGACCATAAATCACATCAAACTGGTGTACTTTTTTTTGCGTAAATCTAAACACACCTCTCTGGTGCACTGAATTCGTCGATCTTCCTCACAGGTGTCGTGAGAAAAACGGGAGAATTCAGTGCACCAGAAAGGGCACGTTTACACACTTTGTGAGCACAAAGTACATCTACCGTAAATACTGTAATAGTACCCCACCCTCCTCGTACAGTCGCGTAGTCGCAAAAGTTTTTTAGTATTTCATTTTTTCCAAAGCGCCCGTACTTGCAAAAAATGCGTCTTTGGTATCAAAAAATAGCCCTGAATTTCAGCTATTTTTTGATACCTACGCGCGCATTGTAGCATAAACCAGTGTCGAGAAAAACTCGTTCAAAGCTAGACTACGCAACACTCCGCACCGTCATTATGCGGGTGGGGTCCAATTACAGTATTTACGGTAATTATTTGACAAATACTTATTTGCAATTTAAAACTCACTGCAAATGAATCAACTTCGGGTCTGGCGGCACATACGAATCTTGACCTTTCGGCATGTTAACTCTGAAAGTTTTCCTTGAGATTTGTAGGCTCAAAAGGGAAATGCTCCAGCTCGCCATCGCCGATCACCATGGCATCTTTATTTATTTAAATATAGAAGGGGAAATGAAAAGAACGAAAATATTAGGTTGTCCGAAATGAAAATACCCTTTTACTGGAAAACAAATTTATCTCCACTAAAAAGAAAACAATACGCTTTAATCCAAAAGATACTCTCCGTTGTTGGCAATAGCCTTTCTCCATTTTTCTTTCAAATATCGGATCCCTTTGCTGAAGAAATCCTGAGGCTGCGAGTCGAAGTATTGGACTACCCAAATTCGGACTTCGTTGTGGTCCTTGAAGTGTCTATCGGCGAGGAAGTGCTGTATAAATCGATTACCACTTATTACCCTCGGAGGGTGCCTGGTCTGGACTATACGGCGGATGCGGGAGACATCCCCAACCCTGAGGCTCCGAGTCGCTGAAGTCGGATCCCTTTGCTGAAGAAATCCTGCGAAGCTGTTCACTACACTGAAAAAATTGCAATCGAAGTTGAGGGTATTTTCATTCCGAATGCCCTAATATATTAGTTTCCTATTAGTTTTGTTAAAATCAAAAAAAGCAAAAAAATCGAGAGGCGAAGACTTGAACCCGAAAAATAGATTTACTGCGGTAACCCATCGCGAAAACGGCAGTGGTTACGTCTAGGAAAAAAGCCAAAAACGAAGTCACAGCGTGACCTGCATGAAAGAAAGACCATATTATCTGTTTGGTGGAATTCCCGTCGTCTTATACACTTTGAGGTTCTACCTTCTTGTCAAACAGTCACCTCAGATCTATATGTGCAACAGTTGGAACGAGTAGACCAGACTCTCAAGAATCAAGGTCTAAACACAAGATAACTGCGATAAACACTTCAAGGACCACAACGAAGTCCGAATTTGGGTAGTCCAATACTTCGACTCGCAGCCTCAGGATTTCTTCAGCAAAGGGATCCGATATTTGAAAGAAAAATGGAGAAAGACTATTGCCAACAACGGAGAGTATCTTTTGGATTAAAGTGTATTGTTTTCTTTTTATGGAGATAAATTTGTTTTTCAGTAAAAGGGTATTTTCATTTCGGACAACCTAATATTTTCGTTCTTTTCATTTCCCCTTCTATATTTGAATAAATAAAGATGCCAGACGCCCAAGGCCACTTTGGGCGTCTGGTGATCGGCGGTGGCAATCGTCAGATCTTCCCTTGTCAGAGCCCTTTACACAAACCTTCGTTGATTGTTGAGAGCGACTCGGGTCCTCATTGTGCTCACGTGTTTCTGATCCTGAATATTCAAATGAACCCAAAAGAAAAACGATTTCAAAAACATGTTTTTTCTAGAAGAATTGCTGTTGTTTAAACCTAGAAGCTTATGAAAAGTTGTTTCAAAGTCCGTGAACCACTTGAGACTTATTTTGAGACGCTTTTTGAGAGTTATTCTCTCAAAAAGCGCTTATGTATTGGATATTAAGCTTAAATACAATAAAATGAAGTTTATTGTCATTCCCGCATTTTCCTTTTCACTCACCTTAATACAAGCACTTCACCTTAATACAAGCACTCCACGCGTACATGAAGGCGGCAAAAACGAACGGGAAAACGTCGAAAATGATGAGAAGAATGACGGTGTAAGCGGGGAAAAGCGAATTCTTGATGATCGGCATGCAGGCTCTCTGAAATTGGAGATTTCAAATTGGATATTTCAGAGAAATTTCAATTTCCACTTACAGCAGCTCGGAATTTCACGTAGATTGGATCCGGATTCCATTGACAATAAAATGAAGATTTGATTTCGTTCAATTGATATTCATCACGGGGGTAACCGGTGATGAATAAACGATCGACCATCTGCGATAAAATTTGAATGCGGCTATGATTGGGCATAAAGATATTCGGCTATGATTGGGCATAAAGATTTGGGATACTGTAAGAGCTTATCTCAGTATCAGCCAATCCTCAGAATTGGTTTATTCAATCAGCTTCTATTTTATATCATTCGAAAGCTCCAAATGTCTTCTTATTTGTCCTATTCCCATCATTTTTTCTTACCCCAGGAAATCTTGAAGCACCGAAGAGAAGTGGATGAAGAAGGTAGAAGAATTGAGCGAAGAACCAAATGAGACACGCCAAGATGACCGCCTGAAAAACAAATTTCAGAAGCACTGACAAGGAGCTCTGCCTAGGGAAAGGCACTAGATCAAGGTGACCTTTTAATATGAGAGCCACGGGGCTTTATAGAATTGGCTATGCTGATTCTGAATATGCTTTTACTTTTTCCAAAGTAGATCTGTAACGCGAGATATCTGGTATCAAAGTTTAGGCCGATTTTCGGAGTTCTTATAAGCTTTTTCTCTCTTCTCTTTAAAAAAGAGGGCTATTGTCACGGTGAATAGTGTGCTTCCCTCTAGATTTTTTTTGCCCGGGTTCGAGTTCGCTCCCAGTATACTCTTATTGCTTTTTTTTTGAGAAAATGATTAGAAAATTTTTATTGAATTGAATTCCATTAGTTTGTGGAATTCAATCCAATTCTATTCCGCTTATTGAATTTCACTATTTTTGCATAAGCACTCTGTGAAATCGTGAACAATGTTCACATTTATGTTCCTAAATCATTTCTAAACATTCTTCCGTTAATCAAAGTCAACATAAATCAATGCTGATGCCATAAACATTTTCGAAGAGCATACCGGGGACGAACTTGAACCCGGGCAAAAAATTCTGGAGGCGAGCACACTATTCACCGTGACAATAGCCCTCTTTTTTAAAGAGAAGAGAGAAAAAGCTTATAAGAACTCCGAAAATCGGCCTAAACTTTGATACTAGATATCTCACGTTACAAAGCTCCTTTGGAAAAAGTGAAAGCATATTCAGAATCAGCATAACCGATTCTATAAAGCCCTGTGGCTCTCGTATAAAAAAGGCTACCTTGATCTAGTGCTTTTCCCTAGTGAGCTCTTTTCCTCAAAGTACTCCTTTTTCTACACCATTTATTTAATTCTACTCACTCGATAAACAAGCTTGAATCCATTTCCATCGACGAAACCACAATGAACAAAAGTGAGAATTGGAGTCAATAGGATGGCGATCAACAGATTTCCCAAGAATAACCACCAGACTTTTGAGTGAACCTGAATAAAAGTAGAATTTGAGTGCACTGAAAAGTTGAAGCACAAAGTGCTGAGGTGAAATTTGAACAGCTTTCGAATGAAGATTTCAAATTGTTAACAAACCTCGCTTAACATATATGCATCATGAGCCAAATCCTCAACAGTCATCCATTCTTTTCCATCATCCGCTGTCACATTTTCCGAGTTCCCGTACTCATCCAACATCACCGCTTTTAGTTCCTATAAAGAAATATAGAAAATTTTGATTTCGGAATTTATGCAAGTCTACTTGGCAACATGTAGAATGGATTTTTACTTCTTCAAAGTCTTACTTTAGCAATTTGATGAGTTCGATTCACATAAGTGGTCAGCTCGGAGTGGACTCCTTCGTGGATTAGCTGAAAGTTGTATTCACGACAGAATAGTCGGAAGTTTTTGGCTTGACTTTTCAAAGAGCACTGTCAGATTTGGGACCACGAAGATTGCGTCACTGTGTAAAAACGAAAATTTGCGCCGAATGGAATTGCCAGAGCCTTCGCTTTGTGTGAGTCTGATATCAAAATTTATCAAATTTATCAAAATTTATCAATTTATCAATTTAGCCTAACTTCAACCCGCCTATTGATTACCCTAAAGTTGAGCAATTCTAAAGTTTCAATAAGATTTGGATAGCTTAAAATTTGCTTTTTCTAAATCTATTTGAGTTTTTAAAAATTGATTACAAAAAAGTGTTTAATTCATGAGTTGAAGTTAGGCTGAAGGTTGAAGTTGAAATTCATGCTCCCCGTTAACTGTTTGCCTGCCGCCCTCCCGTTAAGCGATAAGATCCAAAGTTTTTTATACCTCCATTCCAATACGGTTCCTATTTGGGTCTAATACGGTTCCAATACGGTTCCAATACGGTTCTTCTTTTGAGCTAACACGTTTCCAATGCGGTTCTTTTTAGATCCAATACCTATTTTGATCGAATACGGTTCTCATACTATTCTTTTTTGATTTAATACGGTTCCAATACGGTTCTTTTTAGATCCAATACCTATTTTGATCGAATACGATTCCAGTACGGTTCCAATACGGTTCTTTTTTTGATCTAATACGTTTCCAATACGGTTCCAAATCGGTTCCTATTTTGGTCTAATACGATTCCAATACCTTCCAATACCTTCCCAATACGGTTTCAATAGGGTTCCAATACGGTAAATGTCAATTCAATTCGGCGCAATCTTCACGATCTCTCAGATTTGGCTTCTTCAGGACAAAAAAAAACGTACGGCTATCAATAATTGAAAATCTAACCCCATAAACGCAAAGCACGGTGGCGATAATGACGAGACAGGCAAGTACGCAGAAACCCAGACGACGATCGATTTTCGACTTGTACTGCTTTATGTCCTAAATGTAAATTTTAAAAAAATAAAAGAAGTTTAAGAATTTTGAAATATCTAGAGCTGTTTTTTCTTCAAAAACCTACCATTTTCTTTTTATAAGTGGACATCCTCGAATAATCAATTGGAATAATCACTGAATTTTCAAAATAAACTTCAAAACTAATCAATGTAAAAAATTGTAAGATTGTACAATTCTTGGGTCAAGAGATGTGAAAAAAAAGTGCTTGACACGAGTGGGGTTTGGCTTCAACAGAAAGAGAAGAGAGAGGTGATTGGGGGAAAGAGTTTCTTTCTTTTTTTTTTTTTTTTGAGGTAAAACCCTTGAGTTTGTGTTCCAGCTTCTTTCTCCCTTTTGCACTTCTTTTCATTTTGAAATCGGAAAAAGAACGGCTTGGGCTTGGGCTTTTGAGTGAAAAGATCGAAAAGAAAGACGAAGAAGAAAAAAAGAAAGAAAGAATGCTTGAGTTGTTTGGTCCTTCTTTTTTGGAAAGCTCAAAACACCTATCATTCACCCCATTCACTAGAGTGTGTTCCTCGCGAGTAAGTAATTACTCGAGTAAATTTGCATGAGTAATTGTCGAGTAATACGCTTTCTAAAAAGGTGCGCCTGCGGGAAAAAATATAAAAGCAATTTTTTTGCGCAGGTCTTGGGATAGGCTACTTTGGGCCAAATTTTTTGCGCAACTGGGTCATTTGCGCAACTGGGTCATTTGCGCAACTGGGTCATTTGCGCAACTGGGTCTTTTGCGCAACTGGGTCTTTTGCGCAACTGGGTCTTGCGCAACTGGGTCTTTTGCGCAACTGGCTTTGCGCAACTGGGTCTTTTGCGCAACTGGGTCTTTTGCGCAACTGGGTCTTTTGCGCAACTGGGTCTTTTGCGCAACTGGGTCTTTTGCGCAACTGGGTCTTTTGCGCAACTGGGTCTTTTGCGCAACTCGCCATGACTTTCTTCGAAGTCGGCCAATCTTTATGATTTTGGTGTCATTTTGTTACACTTATTGAGATCTACAAAATGGAACCAAAATCATAAAGATTGTGTCACTTAGAAAAAAAGTTATGGCGAGTTGCGCAAATGACCCTGTTGCGCAAATAAAATGGCGGAAATTAGCATACCCCCAGGTTTTTCCCAGCCTACCCCAAGAAACCGTAGATCGATTTGTTTATTATTTATTTTAAAAAGTAACCTTTAAAAAAAGAACATGGCTTTTCGGCCTAACTGATAGAACGGAATTTTTCGAGCTTTTGAAAATCCCGAATGAATTCGAAAGTCATATGCTGTTGAAAGTATTCTTTTTGTGAATCTAATGGATTTTGAAATGCTAAACAAATATGACTTTAGATTTAGCTAATCGTTATGTTGAGATTACGCACTGTACCATAATTTACAGACCTAAAATCGATCGTAAAACTTGATAACTGACGCTCAAAATCGATCTTTTTAAAAAAAGCAATAAAATTACGATCCGGAATCGATCGATCGATCGATTCCGGATCATTACTATTACCGGATGATTACTATTACCGGATGATTACTATTACCGGATGATTACTATTACCGGATGATTACTATTACCGGATCATTACTATCACCGGATCATTACTATTACCGGATGATTACTATCACCGGATCATTACTATTACCGGATGATTACTATTACCGGATGATTACTATTACCGGATCATTACTATTACCGGATCATTACTATTACCGGATCATTACTATCACCGGATCATTACTATTACCGGATCATTACTATTACCGGATCATTACTATTACCGGATGATTACTATCACCGGATCATTACTATTACCGGATGATTACTATTACCGGATGATTACTATTACCGGATCATTACTATTACCAGATCATTACTACTATTTTGAAAGTTCAGATAAAGATTTTAAAGTTTAATGAAAAAATTGCTGAAAGTGTCAAAGAACTGCAAGAAAATTGGGGCAGTAAAGATATGAAAAATCATTTAAATTTTGCGAGTTTAAGAATCAGAATAAACATTCTGTAAAGCTCGCTAAATAGATCGACAATATGAAATTTTTCAATGATTACAATTCTTTTTAAAGCTATTGAAAATTGTATAAGAAAATTGGTGAGACCATCGATTAGAAGAACCCGGTTTTTTCACAAAATTGAAAAGACAAAATTTGAGAAACAAATAAATTGTGGGAAAAGTGAAAAAACAAAAAAAATTCTTCTTTGGTTTTCATTTGGTCAATGGGAAAATCAAGGACAAGAAATTAGAGAAATAAAAAAAAATCGTTTCTCAACAAGAAAAATGATTTACTTATTGGCTTATTGACAATCCAAGCAGGGGAAAATCAAGGAAATTAGGACATTGGGTTAATTTAGTGAAAGAAAAAGTGGTTTATTGAACTATTGAACTATTGCATAAGTTGAATGTCACTTGATTTCATGATAAACTATTCAATTTCTCTTAGCCAGGCTTTTAAATAAGTGATCGTGCTTTGAGGATTCATAATTTTCTCTAGAGATTATATTATTCTTAACTTTTTATATAGTTTTAAAGAAGACATTTCAAGCTTTCGATTGATATAAAATAAAGCTTTTGAGTGGTGTCTCGGGTGATTATTGTGATCTTGTTTTGTCGCTGATTCAACTGAATAAAGCATATACATTGCTGGACAATGAAATATCATATTTGAAAAACGATCGTCACTTTCGCGCGTCTGTAACTCCCCTGTCTTTACCTTATTTCTAAATATTAATATTACCATTGTATAGCCCTTGAAAAGAGCTTTCAGAAAATGTATAACACTAATAGTTTAAACTCAAAGACAAGGGAGTTACAGAAAGTGCGAAAGTGTTTTTTCAAATATGATATTTCATTGTCCAGTACTGTATATATGTCGAAGCCGTTTACGAAATTCAGCCGCTAGCGAATCATTCGTAATCGGCTAGCCGCTGACGAATGATTTGTAATCGAAATTCAGCTGCTAACGAATGATTCGTAATCGGCTAGCCGCTGACGAATGATTCGAATCGGCTAGCCGCTAGCGAATTCGTAATCGGCTAGCCGCTGACGAATGATTCGTAATCGGTTAGCCGCTGACGAATGGTTCGAATCGGCTAGCCGCTAAAGAATGATTCGTAGTCGAAATTCAGCCGCTAACAAATCATTCGTTAGCGGCTGAATTTCGTTAACGGCTACGACATATATAAAGAGAAAACACACTTAATTTGATGATAAACTATTGAATTTCTCTTAGCCAGGCTTTTAAATCAGTGATCGTGCTTTGAAGATTCATAATTTTCTTTAAAGACTATATTATTCTAAACTTTTTATATAGTTTTAAAGAAGGCATTTCAAGCTTTCGATTGATATAAAATAAAGCTTAATTGGACGATAAAATTCTAAGAAAATCTCATTTTTAAAAACCAGACTAAGTAGAATTTCTCGTTTCTTTTTTTGTAAAATTTAGACCCCAATTTTGTTTTGCTACCCTGAAATCTATTTTGTGTTTTATAATATAAAATTTTTATATTAAGATATCAGTTATCTATATTGAATACACAGATGTGAATTCAGCAAAAAATCTCAAGAAACAAACGTACAACCGTTTTCGAATAGTTCTTCGTCATTCCACCGCCCGTCAGCGTTCCATTGCTACCCTGGAATCCATTTTGTAAATTTTATATGAAGAGTTTAGTTATCTAAATTGATATGAAAAGGTTGACATATCTTATTGTTAGTAATATTAATTTTTTTTTGTCAAACACACCTTGTGGTAGCTGCGAATCGAACGCGGGCTTTCCGAGCCGTTCGATTCGGGAACTCTAAAAGGGAAAACTGAAATTTGGAAAAGGAAAACTTCTTCTCATTTTAATAATGCAAAATCTAGCTAGTATTTTGAATTTCGATCATTTACACATTTTCATTTTCCCGTCGAATTGGTGTCGGCGATGTGTTGGGATCTTTCTCGAATGAGGGATTCTCTTGTCCCTCGGACATCTCTACAATCAAATTTCGAGTTAAACCAATAATTTAGGAATGGAAATGAAGGAAAAGGGAAAAAAGGAAAAGGGGAAAAAAGGAAATGAAGCAAAATTTTAAAAATTCTGAACCCCAAGAGTTTTCTTTTCAGCCAACAATACTAGAGTGTCAAATGTCAAATCTGAATATTTTAAATGATAAATGGCCCAAAGCTAGGATCAAGTCCGATCACCAAGCTATCTACTATATATAAGCGACGTCTGTCCGTCTGTCTGTCTGTGCGCGGCCATTGGCAAAAAGGGCGGAGCTTAGCTTAGCTCAAGAAATATTGTGAAATAGGAAACGGGTTACGGTAGAAATCAACTAAATCTCCTGAATATCTTCTACAATTTGCATGATATTCAGTTGATTTCAACTGTACCCTTTTCCTATTTTGCACTATTTCTTGAAAGGAACACACCTCTAAACAATACTGCACAATCTTTTGCATTCCCAAGCTCAAGATATTCAGTATTTTCAGGCTCACTTTCAGAGTACTGTAGTAAAACTTGAAAGTATTCTTGGAATTAAAAGAAACATCTTTTTTTTAACCGATGAAAATCGAAGAAACATCTTTTTCTCAAATCAGACTTCAAGTGCTGTCGGAAAGCGGTAATTTAACGGCAACATTTGTAAAGAAAAAGTGTTACAGATGGAGCAAATTTGGATGTAAATATGGATTCATAATGTTACAGATTCATAAGATACATTCATAAGATCTTTCTACCTTAAAGTAACCTAGAACAGCTACCGTAGCCCTAAAAAACCGGGATCAAGATAAAAATAAAAGATTCCTAAGAAACCCCGATCAGGAACTAAAGGAAAATCGATGTGATGATGAGAAATATGGAAACATCGCGGGATATCGAATGTTTTTTAGGATTTTTCTCCTTTTTTTTTGATTGGAGAGCTTAAAGGCGAAGAAAATGGAGCATTCGGTGTGGAAAAAAAGGAGATCATTTTGAGAAAAGGAAACCGAGAGAAAGAAGGGGAAACTGTTTTGTGGGGAAAGAGGGGAGGTGAAGGACGATTGATCCAAACACACACACTAACACTTTGTTTTATTGCAATTGTTGGGTGATGATGAAAGATGATTTCGTGAAATAAAGCTTAGGTTCAAGTCTCAAAATGGTCTAGTAATAAGTCCAAGTATAGAAGGAGTAACGAGAAGATCAAAGATTTGTTGGTGTTGAAAATCTTTAGCAATAATAGGGTTTTTAAAGTATCCATGCTTTACAAATATTATGGTAATCAAATCGAGCCTTTGATTTACAATTGAACAATGAAATTCTTTAAGCTTTAGGAGTATGGGACATTCGATACGCGCCCCGCTCCTTTGCCATTGGCAATCCAACTTTAAGCTCAAATTTCTTAGTGTTCGGCTGTCCAATTTAAATAGTTTTTATACCAATCGATAGAGAAAGACTTGGCGCATATAATGATACCAATAATTTATAAATTGAGCAGCTCAAGACCAAGATATTTGAGCTTAAAGTTAGATTGCTAATGAGAAAATGGGTGGGGCGGGTGTCAAATAACCTTTTACCATTTACCAAGATAGGTTTCTTTGGACGAAAGTCTCCAAATCGCGTAATCGAGTTCACCTCCGAAAAAAGTCCAAAAAAAAACATTTCTTAAGATTTCAACGATTTTTATAGAAAAAATATTAGCCTTTTCTAATGGGGTGTTAGATTTTCAGTATTAAATCTAATCAGTATTAGATCTTTTATTAGAACAATAAACACTTTTTATTTAGAGCAAACCGTGGGTCAATAGGCGAATTCGTTATTTCTAAATAGCTTTTCAAAAGAAATTTCCAAAGACTTATCGGTCAACCTAATAGAATAAAGGTATATCTTGGTGTTGGGCTGTTCAATTTATAAATTATTAGTGTCATTAGATGCGCCAAGTCTTTCTCTATCGATTGGTCAGCTAAAATTTCATTTTTTAATTCAAATATTTTAAATCAGTAGACTTTCAAAGCAAAAACTTTCGATTTATTAAAATTTTCATGGAATTTTATCCATATTTACTCTCAAACGGCTTTTTTAACTTTAAATTCTTATTTTTTTACTTGACCTCAATCGATAAAAAATAGATCGCAAAAAGCTAGGTTTATAGCCAAATTTTCAGAGCAAATTGTTCAACCAATTTACCTTCTATCGAATTTTACGCAAACCTAGTTTTTGGGCTCAAATTTTCTTGGAAACGGGTCCAGATTGGTGCAAAATGATAGAAAAGCTAACCAGTTAACCTATGTTTTGCTTGAAAAAGAAGCTGTTTATTGTACAATAAACAGCTTCTTTTTGAAGAAAACCTTAGGTTAGTTGATGAGCTTTTTCATTTATAAACAGATTAAATCAAAAAAGTGTTCAAAGACCAAGCTAATAGCAAAGGCATTTCACAAGCGAAAATCGAAGACCACCGATTTGATTTCACAAACGAATTGCCTCAGTCGAGAGAAACCAAGTTTAACGATCGTGTCACTCGCCGAAAAGAGTCGAAAAAGTCGAAAAAGTCAAATGCGCACTCAAAAAAGATGTAGCGAACATTTTAGTCCGAAAACCGAAAACTTGCCTTTTCTAAAGTATCACAAAGCATTTGTAATAGAAATTTGTGATACTTTAGAGAGGCAAAATATAAATTGAAAGAGTTGAACTTGAAAGTCTAAGGATCAATGAGAAATTTAAATAAGTGATCGTGCTTTGAAGATTCATAATTTTCTTTAGAGATTATATTATTTTCACAGTTTTTTTTTTTTTTTTAGTTTTTCAAACTTTGATCAGTATTTTTGATTTTACTAACCTCTGCAGAGCTTTGAGAATTGGGTCAAGGTTCATTTTTGCCATTTAGCACAGAAAAAAAGGAGAACTTTAGTCTCTTTGTGACTAAAACCGCATATGATATTTCATTGTCCAGTAGTGTAGCTGTTACACAGAAATTCTATCAGATAACTATAAGCATTAAAATATTTTAAAATCAAAACCGCAGGCCTTTCGGTGAAATTAGATCAATTAGCTAGAGTAAAATTTGAAAAAAAACGAAAACTTTTCTGCGACAAACCTGTGAAAGTATAGCTTGTCATCTTTAATCACCGGAAACGGAAGCATTTCGATGTTTTTTTCGTCGACTTTCTTTTTTCGCATCACGGAAAATATTTTCAAATTTTTGTGGGTGTGGAAATTGAGAACTTTTTTTTTTGCATTTCGCTTTTTGCGCTTTTTTTTTGTCTTTTCTCAAATCTCCAATTGAAAATTGAAAGACGACTTCGAACACAAACGATTTTCAAAAAAAAAATTGATAAACTAGGTGTAAGGGGAAATATTTTTTGGATTTATTGAAATCCTGAATACATTTATATACTAGTCACACTTAATTTACCGTAGCCCGTCTGATCTTTTGAATACAGAGCGGAGAGTCTTTGTTTCAACTTCCAACTTTTCCAAAATTGGGGGGGTGGGACAAATGCGACCTTTTTTTGCGCACCTGGACATTTGCGCACGCAACTTAACGCTTTTCCGCAGTTTTTGCCTTTTAGCCCAAATCTGATGTGTCAGCGAGGTCTGATTTGTCGAAATTCGGAATCTACGCATACGATTCCCTTCTATGAAAACATTTTTGAAGCTCTACGGCCTTGCCTAAGGCCTTTTCCAGCAAAAAAAGGTGCGCAAATGTCCAGGTGCGCAAAAAAAAGGTCGCATTTGTCCCACTCCCTAGAAATCTCAATGATTCACCTGTAATCTTCAAATTTTTGTTTCCTATCATTATTTTTGATTTTACTAACCTTTACAGAGCTTTGAGAATTGGCTCAAGGTTTATTTTTGCCATTTAGCACAGAAAAGAAGGAGAACTTTAGTCTCTTTGTGAAGGTCATTCCGAATTGATCCGAAGATTTGATTATCAAAGGGGAAAACATCCGCATTTACAAAAGCAAAAAATGGGTATATAAAAGGTTTCTTGTAAAAAAAGAGTTCTTCAAACAAGAGCGCAACAATGAGGCTTTACACTATTATCTTTTGCATATTCGGATGCTATCTCGTGGCCGCTGATCACTCGAATCTAACAATCATACTGTAAGTTTGGTTTTTTTATTTCTCTATGTATAGGTAAATTATTTGAATTGAATACCAACCGGGATCTGGATTTTTTGGGGAAGAACGGCTTTTGTCAACATGGCGCAGTGGAAAGCGCGCCGGTCTATCGTTCATACGATCCGGTTTCGACCCCCGAATACGACTCCAATTTTACTTTTTAAAAAATCCAAAAGCACGTTGCACAACTACATTGAATTCCCTATTCAACGGCGAAAAATTCATTGCAAACGGTCCTCTGGGAGTTGAAGAATAGCGCGCACAGACAGACGGACACACAGACGACTTAGTCCCTTTATATATAGTACATACAGCGTGTCCCAAAAAGATTCATTTCGGGTGAAATTTTAAAAATATTTCCGGTGGCTCAAGGTGGTAGGTATGGTGGAAAAATGGTTTTTTTTGAGGTCGGGAAATTTTGATGTTTTTTCATGATTTTCACCATAAGATGACTCCCAATTACAAGAAATTTTTGAGGCATTACGGTCATCATCATCACCATGAGACTTTTGCCATAAAATTAAAACTTTGTACTGGTATCGTGGTGTCATATTAGAGTTAACATATAAACTAAGACTTTTAGCCAAACACTTTATTCATCTTCATTATATTGGGTTGGGGAGAATGAGTCGGCGCCGAAAATCAAAGAAATTTCTAAAACTTATAGCAGACTTTGTCAAATGATATGCGTTTGATATCCGTAGAAGGGTAACTAATTCTCTACAAAATAATATTTAAAAGAGAACTCAAACAGCGCCTCAACTCAACAAAGGATCATTTTTTCACAAAATCGATAAACTGTCATCTAGAGTAAACGGTTGGAGGGATCTTCCTGAAAATTTGGTAACTTATGTAATTGAGTGTGCTCTATCTTTTTTATATAAACACCAAAGGAGGTTTATGTGGAAGAAACTGTTCAAGCAATGAGTCGGACTTTTTGTCATTTTGATTAGCTGTGTTTGGGAATCCATAAAATCCCAAAAAAGAAAAGCTTTGTGGAATCTCTCAAAAGCCATTTTGTAAAGAAATAGTCGACCATTTTGATGAAACAAAACGTGTATTTAAAGAAGGTTTTATGGGTGCAAAAAGTTTCTTTAAATTTCGGCGCCGACTCATTCTCCCCAACCCAATATGATAATCTGTCATACATAAGAGATTTTCAACTCGCCTTTTTTTTAAAGAAGTATCCCGTTTTTCCAAGAAAACGCTGATCAATAAAATGTATGATTTAAATTTGTAGTGGGGGCTTCTTTCCTCTCATTGCGTTTTCAGTGTGGAATAATTCTCACAAATGCATTTAAAAATTAACCCCCCCTCAAAATTTTTTCTCCTTGTTGGGGGGCTTCCGTTTTTTTTTTTTTTGTTTTGTGGCTGTTGTGGTGGTCTTTTTTTCGCTGCTTTGGTTTTCTCATTTTTTTTTTGATTTTTGGTTTTTGCTTTTGGCTAGTTATCCTAATAGTGTTTATTATGCACCACGATGTCAGTAAAAAGTTTTCATTTTATGGCAAAAGTTTTATGGTGGTGCATGTAAATTGCATGCACCTAGCTTAGCCTATTCAAAATTGGTTACCATAGTGGCTCAAAAATTTCATCTATTGGATGCCATGATATGGTGAAAATCATAAAAAACATCAACATCAACATTTTTCGACCTCAAAAAATCATTTTTGCACCATACCACCTTGAGCCAAATATTTTTAAAATTTGGCCCGAAGCGGATTTTTTTTTTGGGACACCCTGTAAATGATTTCTAGATGCCCGGACGGCTACCGTCATTTTCGACAAACTGACATTTGTTTTAAGGTGAGTACTGGAGACAGGAAGTAACGGTTTCAAAAAAAAAGAACTTGATTTGTGCTCCAATTGATTTCAGAATGTTGAAAAATTTTGTTGATGCTGAATGCAGAGAGAATCATTTGAATTTCCAGAAAATAGATCCTTTTTCGTAGTCATGCTGACTGCTGTGCTGTGCTGTGCACCGAATCGAATACAGTGTGTCCAATCAAAAAAACAACGTTTTTAAACCGGAATTCCTCAGAATTTCCGGTCGCTAGAGGTGTGGTGTCATAGTGAATGATTTGTGCTCTAAAATTTTTCATATTTTTTCACAAAATCACCATGTCTCGATAGGGAGTATCATGAGATTATGGGTGCCACTATAGTCACCACCATGTTACCATCAACAGAGCAAAATTTACACCATAGAGTGAAGACTTTCTACTGATACCTGTTTCGTGTCACATTAGAGCTAACATATAAAACTAAGATTTCTAACCAAATCCTTTTTTGAGCAGCATTTCCTTGAAAAAATTAGGCACCTCGCTAAAGGCGGCAGAGAACCTTATGTACGAGAGATTATCAATGATTTAGATGTATATGTCGTAGCCGATTATGAATGAGTAGATCTAGGCGCGTCCAACCATCAAGTGCTTGGTATCATTCAACGCAGAATCATTGATAATTATATTAAATTTTTTTAAATTAGAAAGATTGGATAAAAAGAAAGAAAATTACGAGGCTTCAAAGTTTTCTCACAAACAAACAGTTTTTTTGGCTCTAATTTTTTTTCTTTTTATCAAATCTTGCTAATTAAAAAAATTTAACATAATTATCAATGATTCTGCGTTGAATGATACCAAATACTTGATGGTTGGACGGGCCTAGACCCACTCATTCATAACCAGCTAAAATTCATAACCAGCTAAAATTCATAATCGACTACGGGGGTCCCGATTTTGAATGAAACGTTGTAGCGCCCGCAATTTTTAACCTAAACTCACAAATTTGGTACCAATCGACGCAGAATTTAATTCGCTACGAAATGATATAATATTGTTCTTATACCCCATACATTAAAGGGTCGCTCTACTAGAAAGGTTTGCCAAAAAATTTCATTCATAATCGGCTACGCACATATAAACTGTTTGGTTAGAAATCTTAGTTTTATATGTTAGCTCTAATGTGACACGAAGGTATCAGTAGAAAGTCTTCACTCTATGGTGTAAATTTTGCTCTGTTGATGGTAACATGGTGGTGACTATAGTGGCACCCATAATCTCATGATACTCCCTATCGAGACATGGTGATTTTGTGAAAAAATATGAAAAATTTTAGAGCACAAATCATTCACTATGACACCACACCTCTAGCGACCGGAAATTCTGAGGAATTCCGGTTTAAAAACGTTGTTTTTTTGATTGGACACACTGTATTCGATTCGGTGCACAGCACAGCACAGCACAGCACAGCACAGCACAGCACAGCACAGCAGTCAGCATGACTACGCCTGTCTGCTAGACATACGATTCGAGAGACTTTTTGAATCTCTCGAATCGATCAGTTCGGCCATATAACGGGGAAATTTTATTCTAGAAACGTTGGAGAGACAGAAAAAGTGCATGTAAATTGCATGCACCTAGCTTAGCCTATTCAAAATTGAGATTTTGCAAACATTTGCAGGGTTTTTGGGGTGCTAAAAATCGTTGTTCACTTCAATTCGCTTTGTGAAAATCTCGAATTAAACCAAATCAATTCATTTTGCATTTTTTTACGAATCAAATAGAATCGCATCTAATTGGAGCTGACTCGATTTGACTTTTGATTTGACATTCGTGTCTCCTGCCTGCTTGCGGTTATCCCATTAACGGTCACAATGTGAGAGAATTTCAGCTCGTTCGAGCCGACGCCGACGTGAGCGCTTTAGAGGCTCGCCGGGCGTGCATCCGATCGCACGATGGGGTGCTCAGCTCGGTGCACGGGTTGGCGGAAAACGATTTTGTGCTTGGTCTGAGAAAATCGGTCTGGGAAACTTGATCGAGATTTATTCAGAATTGGCACGAGAGATGGGGATTGATAGCTTCTGGCTTGGGGGATACGTTGATGTAAGTGCAATAGAGCTGCTGCGGTTTTCTTTATTTCTCTTGCTTTTTGTTAAAAAACACTGATAGCAACAAAAATTTTACTTGATTTTTGGTCATTTTCTTGACTTTGCTACGGCGCTACAGGGATTTTTACTTAATCCAATCGATCTTTTAGATGATTATCTTCGAGGGTATCCGACAAAATGCAAAAATTTCACACATTTTTTGTAGGCAAAAGTCGGTGGCTGGAAATGGTATGACGATAGCCAGAATGACTTCGAGAATAATTGGACTGATCAACCACGGAATGGCACTGAGAAGGCGTATCTTTATGTGAGTTTCAAATAGAGATTTTTCAATGATTTGCATTGATTGCAATGATTGATAGATTTGATTGATTGATGATTTGATTGATAGATTGAGTTTGGGGTGCGACCCGCTTTAACCTTATCGTCGAGGAAGATTTTGCTTCAGAATAGCCGAATTGCACAAAAAGGTTAAAAGGGTTTCCCCAAAGCGCTTACAACATAACAAGAACGCGCAGCATCCAACACAAGATTAATACTCGTCGGTGGCGACACAAATGTTAGTAAGCTCTTTCTACAATGTTAAACCAGTTATCTAAACAGGATTTAAAACCTGAAGGGTAGCATAAAGTAAGTTGAATTTATCATTTCACTGTTTATTAGTACAGAACCAGAATGCAACAATACCCATTACAAAAACAGCATGCGCATCAATAGAAACAACAACGTCCCCCAGGAAAGAAGGCAAAAAAACGCAGGCCAAAAAAAATCATTTCGGGAAGGGAAAAAAAAAGACGAAAAATGCGACGCGAATAATTGCAAAATAGGAACGCAAATAGGAAGGAAACGGATGCGACCATTGATAAACTTTAATTGATAGATGCTTTCCGGAAAAGCGGCTTCTTTCTTCGGCGATTGGGCAATCGGTGATGATCGAGCGAGGCTACCAGCTTTTCTGTGCCGTACCCCATCAATGACCAAACTATTTCAAGTCTCAATTGTGTACAATCATTAAAAAGTAAATTGAGTTCAGAAAAAAATGAAATCATAAAGTTGTTTGTATGCGATTTACGGAATAAATAACTGCAATGTAAAAAGAACAAAAAAAATGGATTTAAGCCTCCACTCTTTCAACTCACATTTCAACAAAGACCTCTTTTGATCGATTTTGCATCGTTTAGTTCTATTTTCTGCATTTTCTTTTTGGCCTCATTCCAATAGCTATAAAAAACGTGGAACACAACTGCGCAAAATTATTGCAGTCAACAATTGCCAAATTTTATTTTTCGACAAGGCCTGGAAAATGCCTGAAGTTCCCTTAACATTAGATTAGCATTTAATTTTAATTTCATTTAGTTTTAAACGGACGTCCGGATCCGATTTGAACGTTAGTTCGTAAACGGACGTAGCATATACCGTATTCTCTCTAATAGTAGTGCACCCCGGCGAGCCGAGTTGGCGACGATTTTACGGTTTCCAAGCTTTTGCAGAAACTCAACACTCAAATCCTCTCACTAGATCTCATCGTCAGCTACATTTTCCAACCCCACATCGATAGGTTCTGATAAGCGGTTCTCGAGATTTTGAGACGACAATGTAGGCGGCGCTCAGGGTGCACTACTATTAGAGAAAATACGGTACTTGGCCCGCTGGCCGACCGGTTAAGGGTTTTGTCTCTTAAGCGGATGGTCGAGGGTTCCAATCACGCTGGCAAGATAAGGCAACATCACAAGATCACTTTAACAGCCAACTAGATCTTATCGTCAGCTACATTTTCTGACCCCACTTCCATCTCAATTCTATTGATTCAATGCATATACCGTATTCTCTCTAATAGTAGTGCACCCCGGCGAGCCGAGTTGGCGAAGATTTTACGGTTTTCAAGCTTTTGCAGAAGCTCAACACTCAAATCCTCTCACTAGATCTCATCGTCAGCTACATTTTCCAACCCCACATTGATAGGTTCTGATAAGCGGTTCTCGAGATTTCGACCAATTTAGGCGACGCTCAGGGTGCACTACTGTTAGAGAAAATACGGTATACTTTATTGATGAAATAAAGTGATCCAATGAATCACAGAGTAGAATAATGAAATTTAAGAAATCATACAGGACAATAAATGATAATAATGATAATAAAAATGCAGAAAAACAAGAAAAAGACTTTCAAGAATATACAGAACAAATTATAAATAACAGTCCTAAAATAAAGTTGACAAATTGAGGCTAGAAATAGCTGTCTTAAAACTAGAAACGGAAGTGCATTTTCTTAAATGATTTAGAAGCTAATTTCAACAGTTTACGATTCGGCTGTACGATCTTGTCTACTACTCACTTCAAAAGAGCAGCCCCAAAGACGGGCTCCATTGAGCAATGTGAATAGCCAATGACCGTCTACAACGCGATCTGTATCGCTCCATAAATTCGAATAAAAATATTATGGTAAATATAATTTATAAACACACAAACATAAACGCCGCTTAACAAAAAGCGTGCAAATGTTGCTCGCTAAAACGGCGAATTCGATGAATGATATGATCGAGATTCCACAGAGAATGCCGAGGAGCTCGCCCATGTTGTCGAGAAAGATGTTGAACTGAAAAAATTTCGACTCATTCGATAAACAGCATAAGTTTTATGGAATTGTGGTAAAAGTATTGTGTTTGTGAGTCTTTTTTTGTGGTAATCGCTTGTAATATAGCTCACCGGCTTCACATAGATTAGGCAGGTTAATTTCTCGAAGTTTACCTGAAAAGTTATCGATTTCAGAGGGCTCACACCTCGATTTTGACCGTAGCCATGAAAGCGGCTTGGCATTGTTGCTCTCTGCTTGCGATTATTTAGATTTCTTTTATTCATAACTCTTAATTCATAGATCTGAATTCATAGTTTATTGAATGGCTTTCAAAGTCCGTTATCTATTTAGATTTTTCAACAAATTCTTCATCTTTTGCATCTTAAGCTAAGCTAAGCTAAGCGGGCTTGCGAATGAATCGAATGAGTCGAATGAATCGAATGAATCGAATGAATCGAATGAATCGAATGAATCGAATGAATCGAATGAATCGAATGAATCGAATGGATCTAATGAATCGAATGGATCTAATGAATCGAATGGATCTAATGAATCGAATGGATCTAATGAATCGAATGAATCTCCCGAATGAATTCGGAAGTCATATGCTGTTGAAAGTTGTTCTTAGTGCTCTTTTTCATTGTGAATCTGATGGATTTTGAAATGACTATAATGAAATGGCAAGTATGACTATATAGCGATAACCCTGTGACTATTCTTTCATTGAAAAGTCTTTTCAACACTTTACTAGAGTTTTTCCAACAGAGAAAAATCGGGGTTCGTCCCTTTGTGATGAGTTTTATCCTTTGCCAGCATACGATTCGAATTCCTGTTCACGCGCCGTTCAAGGTAAACACAACATAATTTTTCATTTTTTTCCGCCCTTCCCTTCCACTCAAGCAATCATTTTTTGTACTATTTTACGACTCGAAGCGAGCCTAATAAAAATTTTGACTGAAACAGATAAAAGAGAAAGGGAGAAAAGCCCGTCAATCATTGATGAGGAATTTGAAATGACAGATTACCTTAAAAAATTAGTAATTTCTTTTTTGTTTACTTGAAGGGAAAGACTTTTAAAGACTTTACAAATTTCACGTTTGTTTGTTCGCTTGTCGTTAGTTTATTATAATTCAAAAATGCAGTCAAAATAGATGAACAGGGCCAGTCTTCAATGAACAGGGCCAACTCTTCAATGAACAGAACAACTCTTCAATGGCTTGATGGAATCTGGAAAGCAGAAAATTTTTTAAAGTGTGACAAAGACCGTAATCTGTAAACATATAAGGATTAGGTGATGCAATGGGAATGTTTGTGTGCTTCAAATTGGTTACTGTATAGTTCCTTTATAGTTTTTATTTGGTTACCGTATAGTTCCTATTTAGTTCCTATTTGGCTCCTATTGTTGCATTTCTTTTCCAGTTCAAGACTAATGGTATGAATATTCTGGCTGGATTACGGTAACCGCAAGATCGTTTAGAAGTTGATGAGCCAGAACAAAATCGGTTCTTATCAAAAACAATTTCGGAAGCGATTTCGGAATCGGAATTCATAGCATTCAAAATGAGCACAAAGTGAACCACGTACTAAGATCGGAGAAAGAAAAGAAAAGAAAAGAAAAGAAAAGAGGTTGAACAGGAGGTTGAACAACAACAACAATGAGGTTGAACATTCAGAAGATTTCATTTCTCGAATTTCATGGCAATAAAAAATTGAAGCGAGAAGACAAAAGGTGATAAGAAGCCGGTAAAAGCCGTGTTTCTTTCTTTTTTTCCAAAAATTCCCCTACTACAACTCATTTTTTCTCTGTTTTTTTAGCTGATCCAGATTAGAAACACGTGTTTTTAGAGTTTAAAACTATAAAAATAACTTTTCTATAAAACTTTGCAGATTTGCCGATTGATCTTTGTGATTATTTAAATCTTCAATTTTGGGCGTCACTGAATGGCCGACGGTGGGCCGTCTAAACGCGAGAGAGCTTTTCAGCTCATCTCTTTCGGTGTTTTCATTCTCGGTTCTGTCATTGGAGTCACCGGAATCGTTTTGGCAATCGTTTTTGGGACAAAATGTTTGAAAAGCTCAGAAATTTGCTAGAGAAAAGGTGTTTTCAGCGTGTGATTGCAAGACCACGCCAACGATTTCCCCAGAAAATGGAGTTTGCAACACGAAATTGTTCAGGTGATGCAATGGGAATGTTTGTGTGCTTCAAATTGTTTAATTTCTTTTCCTTTTCTTTTCAAGACTTCAAGCTGGTCTAATCTTGCTCCTGTAATCAAATGTGTAAAGTAATCATGTTAAATCATGTTAAAATTGAAATCTGTATTTGCACAACCTCTGGCATATTTCTATATTTTCTTGCGAGTTCTCGTTTTTAAATCGAGTGACTTAGTGTGCTGAAAAACGCGTGTTTGTAGCAACACAAAGTACTCAAATCGCTACGTTTAACTGAATAGTTGAATAGTTTTTTGAAGGTCTGCTTTGTGTCTGAACTAGATCATTCACTCAAATGAAAAAAAGATGTTAATTAGTCCAGTTTTATATGAAAACAGTTCAGTTCAGCTAATCATTCAACTCTTCTAATTTTCAGCATTCGAAGTCCGGTTAAAGTCCCGTGGAATGATGATCTGTTAAATAGAGAAAGTCCACTCTTTCAACAACGAAGTCAAGAAGTGATTGCTTCGGTGAGACTTCCACTTTAGCAACTTAGCTTGTTAGATAACTACCGTAAATACTGTAATAGTACCCCACCCCCGTAATGACGGTGTGGAGTGTTGCGTTGTCTAGCTTTGGACGAGCTTTTCTCGGCACTGGTTTAAGCTACAATGCGCGCTTTGGTATCAAAAAATAGGCCTGAATTTCAGCTTTTTTTTGATACCAAAGACGCATTTTTTGAAAGTACGGGCGCTTTGAAAAAAATGAAATACTAAAAAACTTTTGCGACTACGCGACTGTACGAGGGTGGTGGGGTACTTTTACAGTATTTACGGTAGGTTTCTCTTCCACTTCATGTCAAAAATTCAAATCAAACTAATTTTCCTATATCCTGTACTGTTTTTTTGATGCTCAATCTCAGATGATGAACACTTTGTCACCGCAAATGCTTGAAATGTTTTTTGATCGAGCTGATGATGACGATAATTCTCTCAACTACAAGATTGATGTCAATTTGTTTGAGTGAGAAATGGAGCTTGATAAAAATAAAGCTATACAAATCTTAAGCATTTTTATAGTCTAACAAATTTAGAAAAGATTCCTCTTCCGATCAAATCACTTATGTTTATGCAGTTGGAGCTGTAAGTGGAGTAACTTCATTGGATTCGATGCCCGATCCACCAGAAATCTCGAAAACTTTGCAAAATTCTACGATTATCACGGGAGATGTTAATGTTAATAGTAAGTTATAGTAAGTTATAGTAAGTTATAGTAAGTTATAGTAAGTTATAGTAAATTATAGTAAATTATAGTAAATTATAGTAAATTATAGTAAATTATAGTAAATTATAGTAAATTATAGTAAATTATAGTAAATTATAGTAAATTATAGTAAATTATAGTAAGTTATAGTAAGTTATAGTAAGTTATAGTAAATTATAGTAAATTATAGTAAATTATAGTAAATTATAGTAAATTATAGTAAATTATAGTAAATTATAGTAAATTATAGTAAATTATAGTAAATTATAGTAAATTATAGTAAGTTATAGTAAGTTATAGTAAGTTATAGTAAATTATAGTAAATTATAGTAAATTATAGTAAATTATAGTAAAATAGCCAGTTAGTAAGTTAATAGTCTTCAAAAGTTCTCTTTAAAAGACTTTTCGTAGTCTTTGTCATCTTACAAACGCACTCTCTGGCACACTCAATTTTTCTCGTTTTCCTCCTAGAAAACCTCACAAAAAATGATGAGATTAGTGTACTAGAAAGCATATGTTTACAAGAAAGAGCACAAAGTTTGCTCCAGTTCTTGGTTTACTGTTTACAATCTAAAATTTAGACAACACAATGCAATTTTGCAAAATTCCGGACTTACCTCAAACTACGACCAGCTCAAGCACTAGCCCAGCATGGACACAAAGCCAAACCACAGCTTTTCCTTCAACTGATCAACAATCCACTTCTTGCAATTGCCCATCTTGCCCACCAGCTACCACGTGTCCGATTGTCACTTGCCCAACGGTTTTGACAACTGATTGCCCGCTAGTTACTTGTCCAACAACTACGACTTGTCCAGAGATCTCTTGCCAAACTACTTCACTTCCAACAACACCGTTAAGCTGTCCAACTTGTCCGACAACGACTTGCCCCGAAACAACTTGCCCGAGCCTAACCTGCCCACAGATCACTTGCCCAACCACTTTCGCAACTGATTGCCCACAAGTCACTTGCCCAACTGCAACAGCTTGCCCTTCAACTAATTGTCCGGCATGCTCGACATCTTTGCCGACAGATTGCCCACAAGTCACTTGTCCAACTGTTACAACAACTACAACAACTTGCCCAACTTTTGTGCCGACAGATTGTCCTACTACAACTGCACCAACTTCCCCGTCAACCACTTGCCCAACTGTTACGTGCCCGATTTCGTTTACAACCGATTGCCCGCAGATCACTTGCCCTACAACAACATCATCAACTAATTGCCCAACTTCCGCTCAAACTTGTCCCACTCTAACATGCCCAACGATCACTACTACGATTTGCCCGGAGCCAACTTGCCCCACTCCCACAAATTCAACGAATCCGTCTTGTCCCACGGTCACTTGCCCGAGTTTATTGGCGACAAGTTGCCCGGAAGTCACTTGTCCAACAATGACTTGTCCAATAATGACTTGTCCGACCCTGACTTGCCCAACGGTCACTTCAACGGTAGGGCTTTGAATTTAAACCATGGAGCAACTGTTTGTTAAAACTATTGAAATTTTCAGGTCTGTCCACAAGCCACTTGCCCAACGAGTGACACAACAGAAACTACAGTCTGTCCCACTCTCACTTGCCCGACGGA